CCCAGTCACCAGGGTTACTCGGGGTACTTTTGACTTGAACTCTGCAGCAATCAAACACTTAAGGCTCACAGATTAAGGCAAAACTTGGGCTTTTAGCCCCTGAAATCACAGCTGAACATGACAAGGTCAAGAGGAAGGAATAAAACAGGCTGAAACTTACCAAATGATGTAAAATGACTAGTGTTAAGAAACTACATTGTGCTAAATACTAGAAGCCAAACTAATGATGGGCTTGGGTCTGCAAAATGTTTGATTCTGGAAAAGTATTAACTGTAATTTTTACAGATGCTCCATCTCACTTTATCATGAGTCACCAATCTGTGAAGACAGTGACTTAAAGCTGCATAAAAACCCTACCTCTTAAAGAACAAAACAAAACACAACGAACCAACAAATCTAACTCCTGTTACTGTGCACTTCCGGATCTTCTCCCCATAGCTGGCCTTTCTCCCCACACTCCTCTCTGTGTTTTAGTTGAAGATGATATTTAAGATTCAATTCTAAGCCATGTCTTTCAGAGACACTTGTTTCCCATATGAACATAAGGCATATGTTAATGTTACCAGAAATTAGGGCAGCTAAATTGACCTTTGTCTTTGCATCTGACAAGAGATGAATGCAGGCCAAATGCAAACTTATAAAGATGGTAAGAAATTTTATTCGAAAAGAAATAGGACAGAAAAAGACAGCATATGACAGACATGCCACAGCAAGACAGCTTCAATCTATCTCAGCCATATTGTGCCATCTACCTGGTTACAGAGATTGACCTTGGGTTAAAAAGGGAGAATTGGATTCCTCCAAGACAGCTTTCTGATTGGTGGTGATGGTGTGTCTCCTTTCTTTTTGCTATAAGGATGGATGCCAAAGATTTAGTGTCCTGTCCTTATTTCCCTGTTCTTTTGTAACTCTCTTCTCCCTGCCTCTTGTCAGGCAGGTTTTGGTTTATCAGCTTATCCTGCTGTCTGCAAGCTGTATAGGCTGAAATTCCCTGTCTGCTTAATTTTTTTCTAACTCATAACATATCATTATGAGACTCCTGATTTACTCTTGTGACAATCCATTTTTTCATATGGGGTCCTTATTAAGAATGATGAAAAGGACAAGTATAATGGGAATGGGCACCCAAAGTAAATATGTTCATAATAAAATGTTTAGCCTAATGAACTCACCTGGATAGCCGTGTTGCTTACACTTATGCAAGTTTGTTTTCAACATTGCTTTTCTGTTCTCCCCCTCAGTCCCCTTTGTGGAGGAACTCACAGCTTCTCAGCTCCAGGCAAGGTCATCATGCTCCTCTCCTTATCTTGCTGACCTCAGGATTGAAAGAACATTCAGAACAAGACATACAACTTTGGAGAGTAAAGCAGTACACTAGCAGATGAAACAGATCAAGGTTTCACCACCAGAGCTAAAACCAGGCCTCAGCATGTACATCCAGAAACCCATAGACCTGGGCTTGCCTTAAAACCCACTTACCCATCTTAGGTGTAGGACCTCAGCTTTTGATAGCAGCTCTGGGCAGTCCTCATCTTGCTTTGCAAAGTTAATAAGCATTTACTTCCTTTTCTCTCAAACCCTGCTTCCATTATTTTGTGAACTGGTACTGAGCCCAGAGGATTGAATTTCTGGTAGCACAGGGAAGATGCTTTCTTTTTTTTTCTCCTCTTATATAAGAGAACAACCATTTCTTTTGCCCATATAATTTCAGTCTGGATCCTTCCTTTTCTTTAACATAAAGTCAAATTTAAGGAGAGAATTGAAATGTAGAAACTGTTATATACAGTAAGGTCTCAGTAATGTTATTTGTAATATGAAGAACTTAGAAACAAAATAATGTCCATTAATAGGGGAATGGCTAAATGGTGGATTTTTTTTGTGTGTGTGATACTACTGGAGCTTGAATGTCAAGCTCTCAAGGCATTCAAGCTGGCTTTTTTGGTGCTCTACGACTTAAGACACATCTCCACTTAAGGCTTTTTGCTAATTAATTGGACATATTCGTGTCACACTCCCCCCACCCCCCAGGCTGGCTTTGTAATATCACCATCAAGATCTCCGCCTCTTGAGTAGCTATGATTCTCTGTGACTCACTGGCACCTTCCCAATTCTTTGCTTTTCACATGAACGCTATGAAAGTAAATACTACATCGTATATACTACAATTTACGATATATGTATAAATACTACTTTTCCAGGATTCTCTTGTCAAGGAACATTATAGCTATTGTTTATCATATGAACTTCTAAACCGATCCATTGATCCTTCAATTAAAAGCACCAGATGCAGGGCTGGTGGCTCACGCCTGTAATCCTAGCTATTCAGGAGGCTGAGATGTGAGGATTGCTGTTCAAAACCAGACCAGAAAGTCCATGAAACTCTTTTCTCCAATTAATCACCCCAAACTGGGGAGTGGCACTGTGGCTCAAGTGGTAGAGCACTTACCTTGAGCTGAAGAGCTCAGGGAAGGGCCCAGGCCTAGAGTTCAAGTCCCATGACCGACTTAAAAAAAATGTACTGGAAAGCACCAGTTGACAATGTATGTTTTTAAGACTCTTTGAACCCTGGGCCTTCAAAACATACCAAAGTAGCCTCCTTGGAAAGTTCTACTTTTGCTTCCTTCTCCTTTTGTCCTTGTGTCTGCATTCCACATTCTAAGAAGGAATTGCCATCTAAAAAATTTAAGATATTCATGGCTAACTAATCTCTCTGTAGAGTACAGGGACCAGAATACCTTCTGACTTTTGTAATTCTTCTCTTCCATAGGCTTTAGTTCTATGTATCCACTAACATAGAAGAACACCAGAGTTAGTCTGAGGAGCTCAATGGTGATTACAATGTTCTGAAGATAAAAGGAAGACCCCTCTCAGCACAGAGCTCTTCTTGCCCTGCCCCTCCATCTTTTTCCTACAAAAGCCTTGTGTGTTCCTGAAAACCCCTCCCCCATGGAGCTCTGAGTGTCAATAACTCATCCACCTACTCAAGATACTAGCTCCAATTCCCTCCTCCCAACTGCTTTCCAGAATATTGGCCTTGAAGTGCTAGGCAGTCTGGACCTTGTTCCAGTAACAAAACTCCCTGCTTTGCTACATCATAACTTGTACTTAATTTTAATTGAGGAAAAAAGACCCACCTTAAACGTAAATTCCAAAAATGCTGATAAAATCTGGTCTTTTTCTTGCTTCTCAGAGATATTACCAACACTGTCAAGATGGGGCTCTTCCTCCCAGCAGTGAGCAGTGAATTTAGCCTTTTATTTTCCAGAGGCATATTGGTAATATTTGGAGAACCAACACTAAACAATGATAGGAAACGTATGTAATATACATGCAAAAAAAGACCAAAGGGCTCTACAAAAACAAAATATTATAATGGTTACTTCGTGCAGTTGGTATCCTGTCAATTTTTCAAATGCTTTTCTTAGGCTTCCTTCACTCACTAAAAATTCACTTTGGTATAAGCTACTTTTTAATGGGAAAAGATCAAATAAAGGGAAAGCTGTGCAACTTGTTATTCTCTTTGTTGTCTTTTGTAAAGCAATCAATAACAAGCCAGACAGAAATCTACTTAGGTAGGAAACTGAGCTATCCATATTCTAATTATGCTTGTGGGCTTGAAACACTTGTGGGCTCAGTTGTAATGGAAATGTTCCCCAAATGCTCTAAAAACACTTAGTTAATGTGCAGAAACAACAGGAGACATCGATGCTGGGCAGTGGAGGGGCTGTGGTATTTAATTGGACCGAAGCTTCAGACAGTGGTTTGCTTAGCATGGAGTTACATAAATGCTGTACACCTAACATATCACTCACAAGTCTCACAAATTAAAAGCCAGGCTTTAATTAAAAGAACTCTTGTAGTCAATGGGTTTTGTGTGATTGTTAAATATAGCTCCTAAAAACCAGGGAGAAAAAAAAAAGGCTGGTATATGGGCAGAGAATGTCATAGCGGGGGAAGGCAGCCGTCAACCATTCTCTGGTCTCCCTGGCAGTTACCTGTTTTGTGTCAAGTTTTCTAATGCAAATGAACTTTGATAGTCTGACTGGTTCAATTGGCTGTGATTAGACCAATTAATGTTCAGCCATCCAGATAAATGTTACCTCTGCTACTAGACAGTAACCTATACTCTTGACTTTGCAGCCTTTGCTCTGGTTGAAGTGATCTATGGACGAAATGATCTGTACTGAGACCCAAATACAAACAAAAATTGGAGCTATAAACAAAGAATTCAAAATATTTCACTACGATAGGACCAAGAGATTTGCACAGCTGTTATGCTGGGTAAAGACACAGTAGTGACTGAAAGAAAGACAAAAACACTAAAATTAATCTGGTAACTTTATTTAATATTTTATCCATTCAGCAGCAACCAACATAAACATCAGAGCTAACAGAATCTTTTTGAAATGTTCTGCTTTAGAGCTGCTTTAGAAATACACACACACAGGAGAAATTCAACTGTTCACTGCCAATTTTTAATTTTATTTTTATTTTTTAAAAAAACAGCTTCCAGAGCAAATAACACTGATTTATTCTGTGCCCAAGCACTAGTTGAGAAAACCTATTAAATTACACAAGAAAAGGAAATCAAAGAGACTTTGTTATCTTATGCATGTCATCTATTTAAATGGAAAGTTTTGCTTCTTTAAAGCAATAGAAATACAGTTTCCTACATATATATATTTATATATTTATATATATTTTAGAGTGTGATTACAAACACAGAGTGTTATTTTCAAATGCAAAAGCTAGTTCAAGAAATTTCCAACTGCAAAACTTGCAAGATACAAAGCTAAAATCCATATGATCCTTTCCTCAATTATGAATACTTTCACTAAACATAAATATTTTTAACATATATTAATTTTTTCTGACATTCAAAATTGTAAAGTCAATATGGCAGAATTATTGTTAAAAGCACATATTTACAAATCTTCTTTTTCCATACATAAAGTATTTGGCATAATTATAACAATCATACTGCATCCACAACTGTTTGCTTTTCTTTTTCTTTTTTTTTTTTTTACACATAATGGTATCTTTTATTAAAATTAACCAGTTATGTACAAAAATACTCGAACATTTATTATAGAAAACCTCTATAACCAGCCTCAACAGTGTATGCCTGCTGAATGGTTTCATTAAGAGAATATAAAAAAGTGGTCACTGCCTTCCAGGTTAAGCTATCAACAAAAACAAACCCAGTTAAACTAAACTGAGTTTCCCAACAAAAGAGGGAAAATATTTAACAGTATGATTTAAAATACAGTTCATAGCTATTGTCAGTTGAGTGTTATAAACAGTCAGTTAATGAAAAAAAAAAGATACAAAATACATTACTACATACAAGGTGCTTTTTTCCACACTCCTACTGCTTATACTCATGTCTACCTAGAGCTAAGATGCTAAATTGCGATATTCAAGCTAGAACCATCTACAGTCAACTCCTCCAACCAAAGGATCACAGGATTAGCTGGGAAGCCAAGCTCCTCAGGTAAGAATGCAGTCTGGAGGAATTATTTTTTATTCTGTGCAGGATTCAAAGTTAATGTCCTTGCCTTTTGAGAGGCCTTTTGTCATTTAATCATGTTAATATATTGTCACTAAGGTTTTTTTTTCTTTATTCACGTTATTGATTTAATACTGTCCTGTATTGATTCCTGAATGCTTGTTAATGAGACACAGTAATTTGTGCCTATTTAATACTTGAACATCTGCTCTTCTTCAATGACACATTTTATATAGGAAACGATCAAGTAAGGAAGCACAAAATTCAAGTAAACATTTCTCTTGGGGTCATTTTGCTTAATCTAGCTGATTGGAGCTCTGAAAGCAAATTGCACCTGGCAAAGAAATACAGTAGATAGCATGGCATCAAGGGTACTAGAGAATTCACAAAGTCGAGTTTTAAGAATGTAGACAGCTATCAAACACCACAAGAGTCTCCACCAAGTGTTTTGTTTCAAGAACAAAACAATCCAGGCAACTCCTTACGCTTACTGTCTAAGGAGCTGGGCCTGCGTCCACCTTCATTCAGAGACTGGGGGCATGGATCATTCTGCTCCAAGAAGAGCCAGAAAAATGAGTTGTTCACACAAGTCTTCCAAAGCAAGGACGCTGTGGTTGGATGTGCACTCACCAAACAATCCTTCTCCCAGCATCCAGTATTCAGTGAAAAGTATATAACATTGGTTGTATTGTTTGACAATATCCTATCGGGTTTAAGACTGAAACTATGCTTTTTTTTTTTTTAAAAAAAAAGTGAACATAAAAAGATACAAAAGGACTCTGGATCGCCATTCACCACTTTCCCATGAGACACAGCCATAGCTCACGAGACACCTGCAGTTTGAGATCAGTTAACTTTTAGTATTGTGCAACATTAGATTGGGAAGCGAGTGGTAATTCCATTCATCTGGAGAAAGAGAGCTGAGTAAGTAAAGTGCCTGCGCTACACGTCTTATGCTGTAAACGGCCACAGAACTCACCGCAGGGACACGGAGAAGTGATTACAACTGAGAGACCTTGCGGGGCAGGGGCCTGGGCCTGGGCCCCGGCTCAGTCCTCCGGGTCCCGTTCTCCAGGTGGCCGGGCCTGGCGGCCAGGGGCTTGGGGGGCAAGGCAGGAGGTTCGGAGGTGGCGGGGATGGAGAGGCTGTGAGGTAGTGGGACGGGGCGCCGCAGAGTCCGCTCGTAGACGCTGTAGGGAGGGGGTGTCTTGCTCTCCTTGCACACGGGCTCCTCGGGTCCCCCCGGCCCCCCGAAGCTGGACAGCGACACGGACTGTTCGTTCACCTGATTTTCAAAGCCTGAGGTTTCCGACGTGCTACACCGGCTGAGAGACGAGATGCCGCTGCTGTAGCTGCCCGACAGCACCGGGGAGTTGGAGGTCAGTCCTGGGGAGTGGTACTCCACGGGGGAGGGGGTGAAGGACTGCGCCGAGCCCTGAGGCCGAGGAGAGGGGAGGAGAAGGGGGAAGGGAGAAGGGGGGACACAGCAGAGTCAGGGACTCAGTCCGCAGCTTGAAGCCCTGGCCTTGAACGCTGGAAGGCCTGACATGCATCACTCACAACGGATGTGTTAGCTACTACTACTACCACTAAATTGGGGGTGGGCAAATGCTGCTCTTCAACGCCCCAGCAGGTGACCCTATTTCAAGATAGCTTTTAAGGATGTGACTTTGGCCCTAGTCCTGCACTGGTTTCCCTACAAAAGACATGTGGACAACAGGGGATTGGGAGAAGACTGCACACAGAAAAAATCCTCTCTAGGAGGACCCAGAAAGGCTAGCCATGGAGAGACACTGAGTTTGTCTTTGCCTCCATCTCGGACTTCCAGTCTCCAGACTCTAAGACTCCAAATGGAAAATAAGTTTCTGTCATCAACGCTACTCCTGCGTCTCCCCCCCCCCCCCCCCCCCAGCTGTGGTACTTTACACTCACTCAAGCTGACTAGTACACCCAGACACACAGCTGAGCGTTGCCACAGGTGACACTGGAAATACCCATCAGCCACTTTTACTTATCTGCGAGACTCCCACCCCTTGACCACCTGCCATCTGCAAAGAGAAAGGATAAATCTGCAAGAGAATCTGGAGGCATGCCATTGGTTCTGGCTCTAATAGAGAGGAAAGCGAACTAGAGAAGTAGAGCTTTGGGGGACCCATTTGCAGTGTCCTGCATGGACTCCCATGGCTGGACTCAGGGGAGCCTAAGGCTGGGGAAGGGGGTGCCCTTCCTATCAGAGACCTTGGCCCTCACATAATATTCCTGAGCTGACATGTAGACTGGGCTCTAGCTGAGATGTGAGCTGTTTCATCGTTGGTTTTTCTTTTTGTTTTGTTTTAAGCCCTAATAACTTGCTAATTCTCAAAAGCAGACAATGCAAACAGAACTCCAGATTTCTGGCATTTCACAAAGAACTGAAAGTTCTATCACGACAGTGTACATTTCCTTAATGGAGATAATCTTCTGAAGCCAGGCAGGGCCATCTTTACAAAACAGGCCATGAAGGTTTCCATTTCCCCATCAAGTCACCCTCTGCCACACAGTGCTCCACCCAGCCTCCTCCTGATCTATTTATGAATGGCAGCTCTTCCCCTAGTCTGGCATCCTACTCTGTTGTTCCCACATTTGGGGTCCTCAGGATTTGTAATGAGAACTGAGAGATGTTCGATGGAAAGATGTTGCCATAGAGAAAGGCTGCATTAATAAATTCATTAACTCTGGTGTATATTCAAAGCATATTATCCTATTAAAGAAACCCAAACAACATGGTTTTGGCCCAGTGCTTTCTAAGCTTATTTGACCACACACTATTTTTTCACTTATCACCTAATGTCCTATAAACGCATGTTCCATGGAACACACTTGGAGAAAACACTTCCCCAGGCTAACTCTACCTTGCTCTCCAGTTTTAAACAAAAACAGCATTGATACATACAAATCCTTGTAAATTAAGTATAGCAACTAGCAGATACAAATTCATTGCTGTCTTTGTCAAAACTTAGACCTCAACAGCAAAACAAGGCAGGTTAAGTCCAGTCTTCTCTAACAGACTAATCCTGTCACTTAATTGTTGGGAGAAAAAAAATCCAATCAAAGTCTATTGGTGAAGGCAGTGTGACCTGCATTCTAATGACAGCAAAACTCACAACTTGGTAGTAGTGTGCCCTCTAAATGAAAACTGAAGTTACAACACAAGATTTCTATCTATCTTCTTTTACAAGCCCCATTTGTGAAGACACAATTACAACACAGCCTGTGGCTTGTAAAAATACAGGTCCGGAGAGACATAGTATCTGCCAGCATGCTAACTCAGACAGTTTGACAGCTGCTACCTGAACACATTCAGCCTGTGGATGCTTTTTGATTTTTGTTGGTTGCTTGAACTCAGGGACTTGCCTTCAAATGGCTCTACATGTTCAGCTGGCACTCTATCACTTGAGTCACACATCCAGCCCAGCTGTGTGTTGGTTATTTTAATGGCAGATTCTCACAGAGCTTCCTTTCCAGGCTGCCCTAGAACTGAGATCCTTCAGGCATCAGCCTTCTGAGTGGCTAGGATTGCAGGTGTGAGTTATCCATGCTCAGCTTGTGAGTGCATTTTGCTCATTAGGAATTAATCTCCTAGCTAACCTGTGGTCTTATACTCAACCTGCATAATCAAGTCAAAAAACACAGATGATAATTGCATAGCAACACGTGGAAACTCTTAAAGAAAAGTCAAGTTGCTGCCCTTCCCTCTTTAGGATGACAAGCAATGGCTTCCAAAGCAAACGCTATCATGTAGACTTTATGGTAACAGCTGCTTTGCAGAATGGCAACAATACCTGCAAAGCATCTGCATTTACTAGCAGGTTTCTACATCAGAAATTGTGGTGATGCAAATGAAATCACACTTCTTTTCCAACTATTCTCATTGTTTCCCAGATTCTTGCTATCTATCCTTAGCAGCACAGATGCATCATGCCCCCTATATTTGCTGAGGCAAATTTGTCCTTTGCACATTAGCTGGAACTCTCTCATCAATAGGAAACACAGAGTGTGTAACTCTGAAGTCACTCAGGTACTGAATTGTTCTTTCAAGGCTTTCTCCAACCTCTCTTATTTGCTTCTGGTGCAGCCAAGAGCTCCAACCTCTCCCATGCACCGACAAGCCCTGCAGCTGCTCTGATTCAATTTGGATAGAAGCTAAATATTGTGCTTTATCTTCAGGAGGGATCTGGATATTTAGAGATGTAAAACACCCTGCCCAATTCAAATGTCTGACCTTTACCCATTCCTATGGTGGGTGGTCCTCAGATTTTTTTAAAATCCATTTTTACCATGGTATACTATGCATTTTGAATGTAAATTACAATTTATGGTATAAAATGGGGTATAAGAGATAAAACGGTGAAATTTAGTTTGGATGAATTTAGATGGATGAGGCTGATGAGAACGGCAAAAAACAAAACCCCCTAAAGAAGTAACCCTCCCCAAATCAAAAACAAACAAAATTGCCAATCAAAGAAAACAAAGCACCCTCCCAAACCACAGAATATTTAGATTGACTTTTTTTAATATAAATGTGTGTGTGTTTGATGTGCTCTAACCAAAAACAATAGGCTGGAAATGTTCAGGGAGTTATCCAGGGACCATACATACATACATACATATATATATATATATATATATATATATATATATATATATATGTATATATGTATGAATTTTTTTCCCTTCTTTTCTCCCTTTTCCTTTTTTCAGGTAGGACAATACAGGATGGCTCTATTCTTGCTAGGCAGGCACTTTACCTCTTGAGCTAGAATTTTCTGCTTTTGAGACAGGATCTTGTTTTTTGTTTTTTTTTTGCCTAGGCCTGCCTGGACCATAATCCTCCTATTTACACTTCCCACTAGCATGACAGGTAGACACTACTGTGTCTCGCTTTTGGTTGAACTGGAGTCTCATGAATTTTTTTTTTTTCTTTTTAACCAGGCTGGCTTCAAACTTATGATCTCTGTCCTTTGAGTAGATGCTGCCTAGGATTACAAATGTGAGTTCCTAGCACCTGGCGATGGGATCATATTTCTTACCTTCGTTGAGGAGACATGCTGACTAGTTTTTTAGGTGCTCGTGGTTATTATTTGGAGAAGAGGCTCATAATCCAAAAGAGGAAACAACAACAAAAATCATCTTTTCTTCCTCATTTCCCCCTCCCTCTTCCTTTTATACCTTTGTCTTGTTTGTGTGAATAAAAGCACCGTTTTATGTACTTGGGATGAGACTTAGGAAATAAATAGACCTGGGCCAGTCTCTAGCCTCAGCCTAAGGAGAGCCTGTACCTTCAATGGGGACCGGCCGGCCGGCGAGGGCGACACTGATGTGGTGTGTCTCGCTGGTGAAGCTGTAAACGGAAAGAGAGAACATGTCAGCCAAGAAAAAACAGACAGCTGAGTGTCTGCAAGTGCCCTCCACTGTGTGCAAACCCAGACACTTAACCCAGTGCAGAAGAGCTTCTGAAGCAAGGGGTGAGGAGAAACTACACGATGCTCATCTGGGGCAGACGAGGCTCATGAGGAATGATGTGACCAAGACACGGGCCAGCCACGGCAATGCTGAAAGCACTGTGTGAGAACCAAAAGCTGGCCCAGCCTCAAGGTGTTTTCCCATCGCTTAGTCTATGCATGCCATGGGAGTACAGAAAACCATCCTCCCTATTCCTCCCCTCCCAGAACAGATGACCCACACATGATCCTGCCCAGGAATATCCCTCTTCAAATGGTGAGCCTTCTCTTCATCCCTTAGATGGGTATCTGTGGACGCCATCACTATCCCACCATCATAGCAAGGACAAAGGATTTCTCTGCTCTTCCCACGGGCTGTTCTGGGCTTCTTGGGCCTCACAGAGCATTGCTCTGTGAATGCATGGATCAAGCCAGCTGCCTAAAGCATGCCTGCTCAGGGGCAAAGCAGCCCAGGAGAATGAACAGGAAGGTGAGGGCAAGGGTTTTTTTTTTTGTGGGGGGGAGTCACACTTTGCCATCCACAGAGAGAATTCGGTTGAAAGCAGGCAAGTTGCTCTGTAATTAGCTGCCACTCTCTCAGCGGTCACGTTCAGGTTTCTAACTGGCAAGAAAACTACAGCAAGGTTGAAAGGAAGAAAGACAGAGTGACAGAGACCCACAACATGAGCACAGACAAGGACATCACATCAGACCATGAGAGAAGTCAGTGCAGCAGGGACGGCAGCCCTGTCAGGGTAACTATGAGAGGTAAGGCCACCAGGGAGCTCTGATCCCAGGGGACCAGGGAGAGTGGCCTCCCATCACTCTGTGCACGCAGTCCAACACGTCACCTTCCAACACCTGCTTGAGTCCTCCTCTCCCATCAATTGGAAGGTGCACACGCCCTGAGCACTTCTCTGGAGGAAGAGATTTCCACAGACCTCCAATAGCCCCACCCATACCTCTACAGTTAGCTTTGAACTGGTCTAGGATTCTACCACCAAATATTATTATTCCTTAATAATACCTATCAATGCTTGGCTCCTTTTTAAAAAACTGCCTTTCCAGTTCCCGTCTTCACTGACACAGCCAGGCTAAGTTGGACACTGCCTAAATATACGCTCATCATGAATGAAACACAGACAATTTTGCTGATGAATCTTAATCTTCCGTGAGCCCACTGATTTATAATAAACAGTAAAGTTAGAGTTCTGAATTTTTTTTGGGGGGAGGAGGTAGTACTGGAGTTTGAATTCAAGGCTTGTGCTTGCTGGACAGGTGCTCTACCACTTGAGCCACACTCTTTAAGCCCTTTTTTGCTTTAGTTATTTTCAGACAGGGCTTCATGTTTTGGCTCAGGAATGGCCTGTCTTACCTCTGTCTCCTGTATAGCTAGTATGATAGGTATGTACCACCATATTTGGCTTATTGGTTTGAATGAGGCCTTGCTAACATTTTTGCCCTGGCCAGCCTCAAACCATGATGTTCCTCATCTCTGCCTCCTCAGTAGCCAGGATTGCAGGCATGTGCTACCATATCTGACCTTTTCAATAATTGTAAGTGACTTGACTTTTAGCTTTGACAAATTTAGAACTGGGTACTATTGAATTTATTTTTTATTTTTGTTGGTCATGGGGCTTAAACTCTGGGCTTAGGCGCTTTCCTTGTGCTTTTCAGCTCAAGGTGAGCGCTCTACTGCTTGAGCCACAGCGCCACTTCTGGTTTTCTGTTGGTTTATTAGAGATAAGAGTCTCATGGACTTTCCTGTCTGGGCTGGCTTTGAACTGTAATCCTCAGATCTCAGCCTCCTGAGTAGCTAGGATTACAGGTGTGAGACACCAACACCCGGCTTGAGTTTATTTTTTAAAATAGTAAGGTCAACTTTCTTTTCTTAAAAAGAAAAAAAGAAAGAAAACAGGAGGACTATATGTAAGGTATAACAAATAAAGCACTGATGATTATTTCAGAAACCCTAACATTCTGATTCAGTAGGTCTGAGGTTAGGCTGGAGAATGTGCTTCTTGAACTACAACCCTGAAGGACACAGTTCCCTGAATCAGCCCTGTGAGAAACACCATTTCTTCCAGCGGCAGATAACTCTGGATGCTAGAAGCCCACTAAAGTCACGGTTACTTAGTTCCTCTGCAGGGGCGACTGAAACTTCGGCATGAATCCAGAATTAGATTGGAAAAAGCAGCTGAGTTAGCAAACGTTGGTAAGAATCAGGTGTTGCAAGCAAAGCACAGAGGACATGTGAGTGGCCTCCTGGGTTAGAGGGCTGAGGATGGGGCGTGGAGCCGGGCACCCGAGGAACCCTGCCAGAGGGGCTTCCTGGGGGCCCATCATTGTCTGACTCAGTGTAGCCCAAGTCCAGGAAAGGGAAGCACAAGAAGCAAATTACATAGCTGCCCCAGGTTTTACCTCAGCGATCACATTCCTACCTTTCTCTGAGGAATTCAGGACATGCTGGAGTGCCAATAAAATTTATTTTATAGAGCGATTAGTCAGAGGCTTCAAATACCCACCAGTCTGTGTGGGTCTTGGAGGGACAGGGGGGGAGATAAGTTTCCCACTATCCGACATGTTCTTGGCTTCCTTCCCACTGTCCAGGCTCCAGCTGCTAGGGGTGGGATTCACAGCTGGAAGGGAATAACACAGCTAAAAACACATGGTCCAGCTTTCCTTCCCAATGCTTGAGATCTCAGCAGCAAGTTAGAACTATCCAGAATTAAAAAAAAAAATCAACTGGATTAAAAAAAAAAAAAAAAAAACCTAAAAAACCAACAAACAAGAAACCTCCAGCATACTAAACCTTTGTTAATTGGCTATCTAACAATTGACACTTAATTGGGTGATAGCAAGTCTCTCTCATTTTTCTTAAGCTGTCAAACATGAATACGAATCTCTACTTTGCAATGTGTATAGTTGTGGGAAAACAGGAAGATGATAATCATCGCTGTATTTTAAAATCAGGTTTGTAGTGGCGACTTCTGGATAAATGGCACTCAAAATAGGAGTAGGCAATAGCATGCTATTTCGACTGGGTGGTAGAACTGGCCAGGCCATGTCACCTCACTGACCAATTCTTTGAAGAAAGGACTCTTGTTCCTGAAATCAATAGATCATAGTGAAGTATGCTGTTAAGAAAAATAATTTGGGATTCTGACAGTTATTCTTATTTTGTCATCTGTCTGCTCTGGGCTTCATTAAGATGTAAGAATATAGAACGGGCCCACTGGGAACTGGAACAATTACACAGGTTATGGAAGTCACTGCCCAGCAATGAGCTCTAATAGTTATGGTCCAAGAGATTGTTCCCTGTGCAGATACTGCCATCTCATGGACATACTGGGGAACTGCACATTGTCTCATTAAATTACTGCTTTGGTTTAATAGGGATGGAATTGCTTTTAAAAGATGTTTCCCCCGCCCCGCCATGCCTTTTAAATTTGCCTTGTGGTTTTTCTTGAGTAGAAGAGGTGAGAACAATAGCACATTCTTAAATTCTGCTGGCAAAGATAAACACTTGACTTACAACATTAAGGCTAATTTCCTGTTCTAAAATAATTTTGGCCAGAGGCCTTCGCTAATATCTATGTTGCTTTAGAAAGTTTCAATGTTAATGTATCAGTGTCCTCAAATGGTAATGCAGTCTCATTCTTAACGAGTGCAATTAAAGTGCACTTTACCGGGACATTTCTTTGCAAACTCATGATGATTTATTGGGGGGTGGGGGGAAATGCGGCATTCCTATTTTTTTTTGGGGGGGTCTGGTCGTGGGGCCTGAACTCTGGGCCTGGGCGCTGTCCCTCAGTTCTTCAGCTCAAGGCTAGCGCTCTACCGCTTGAGCCACAGCACCACTTCCGGCTTTTTTTTTGCTTATGTGGTGCTGAAGAATCGAACCCAGGGCCTGAGGCATGAAAGGCAAGTGCTCTACCACTGAGCCACCTTCCCAGCCCCAGCTTTCCTATTTTTGAAGCCTGGCTCTGTGGGAGGCAAATGGGTGAGTGGCTTGTGCAAGCCCCACCTCCATAGTTGTAAAAGTGACAGTTAACCCACTCTTCTGCAGAGTTGCCCATACTGATGCCAATTGGATTACCACTATGCATGTGTTTAGTTCTCATTTGCCTTGAGGCAGGGCACACTCCATTATGCACTGCATTGCAATTCTTAAACAGTAGTTAATTGTAAAAGAGCCATCGCTGCATTACCACAAACAACGGATGAGCTGGCTGAATGAGGAGCTCTGTGAGGGAGACAGGGCATGGGGCACAGAATCAGTCTGGGAAGTTACTCTTTTTATTGTGCTGAAGTAGTAGCTAATTGGCAACTTCGTCTCTGGAAGAGCAGGCATAGCCCGGGTGAGTCACTGAATGACAACAAAAATCTTGAAACACAGCAGGGGCGGGGAAGGGGGATTCCCACTCACTCACATTCTCACATTAAGTCTCACAAGTACATTGTTGACGATGAAAGCATCATGGATAATTGACCTCATGAATTTTGAAGAACAAAGTCCTGAGCTAGTCCTGAGCAGGAAGGATCTGGAGCTCTGCCTTCCACGTGACACACGAAAGGGAGAAAATGAGGGTGAAACAAACCCCTAGGCATGTCAGGACTGATGAGGACTGGTTCACACTCACCTTTCTCAGGAGCAGAGAGGTTTGGGTCACTGCGTGGCAAGGCTCCATCACCAATATGATTCAACAGCATCCTCTGGAAAGGGACGAGAGTCTACCATTACCAGGCAGTACAGTGACATGTGAGACAAAGTGACATGATTACCTCCTTATGCAAACTTTTTGTTCAAAATGGTTTCTATGGGGTAAGATGAGCCTGGGAACAAAGAATTGAATTATACTTAAAGAGAAAAGACTCAGGTTTTGAGAAAGAGAGCATGGTGTTTAAATGGTAAGTGATTCTAATGAACAATCCTATTGAATATATGGGAAATATGCATTAAATTATAGCTAAGCTATGGTGTTCTACATAAATATAAAAGCCAGACTGGAAATATGAAATATAGGTAAAAATTAGGGGAGAAATATGAACTTACCAAAAAATAAAAGTCTGAAGTGAGTGGACTTAAGCCTCCCTACAATTTATAATCTTATGATAGGTATAAAAACACAGTAAATAATTAAATAAATTAAATAAGCAAATAATTAAAATAATAATTAAGCTCCACTTCTGGCCTTTCTGGTGTTTAATTGGAGGTAACAGTCACTTTCTTGCTCTGGCTGGCTTTGAACCACAAGTCTCAGATCTCAGCCTCTGGAGTAGCTAGGATTACAGATGTAAGCCACCAGCACCCAGAAATTTGTCATCTTTAACCTATCTAAAATGGCCCTGCCAACTATACATTTTTAAAGTATCAAGTCCTTTCAAATAAAATGCACCACGGCCGGCCGTGTGAACTGTTGTAATTCTGACTACATACATACTGCTTCAGTTTTTTTTTTCCAAAGCAGAAAACTCAGGGGTTTAATCAGGGAGGTGTTCCGAGTTCCTCACGCTGGCAACATGACCTAAAGCAGATGGGCCAAACTGCAAAGTCCCCTTGAAACAGCCATGACAAAGGGAAGTAAAACTGGTTATCTGGTTCAGCCAGACGCACTCCGATATCATTTCTGCCAGACATCACTGCTGTGCAGGGAAGGTTTCCTGGGACTTTCGAGAAGATCACACAATCAGCAAAGATCAACCAATCAAGCCAAATCCCACTCGCTCTCATCTACTTCCAGATGCAGCCACAGACTTCTGCCAGGATGGTGTAGAAAAACAGAGAAATTAGCCAGACAGACAGAAGGAACTAGTTTTCTCCTCTCTTAAATCAGTCCCAAATTAGCTGGGAAACTTAGGGCTACACATGAATCATTAGTTTTAAACCTCCTCTTCGAAGGTACATCTTAAGTAGATAAGAGGCAAGAGGAAAGAATGCTGACAGTAGCATATTTCTCCTCCAGAGGTGTGTGTGTGTGCGTGTGTGTGTGAGTGTATGTGCGCGCGCGCGAGTGCCCTGAGGTTTGAATTCAAGGCCTCTTGCTTGCTAACAGGCTAAGGCAAGGGCTCTACCACTTGAGCCAGTCTGCCAGCCCTTTTTCTGTGGGTTATTTTTGAGGTGGAGTCTTGCTGGGCCAACCTGGACTGGAATCCTCCTGTTTGTGTGCTTCCCCACATAGCAGGGATGGCAAGTTCATGCCACTGCATCCAGTCATTGGTGGAGATGGAGTCTGTGACTTTCCTTGCCCAGACTGGCTGCAAACCTCAGTACGCCAATTTCTGCCTCCCAAGTAGCTAGAATTGTAAGTTTGAGCCAACCGTGCCTGGCTAGTTATTTTTGAGATAGTTACTTTTTGAGCTATCTCAAAATATTTACTCATTTGCCGGCACTTGTGTCTGGACTGTGATCTGCCTATTGTATGCTTCCTAGAAAAACCGGGACCTACAGGTATATGTCACTGCACCCAGTTTCTAATATAGGGAAGGAGTCTCACAGGCTTTTTTTTTTTTACCCAGGTGGGCCTGTAACTGCAATCCTCACAATCTCAGCCTCCCATACAGCTAGGCTAACAAATGTGCACCACAGATGGCTATTGCTTGTGAAGGGCTCTCATGTGCCTGGGCTAGCCTTGGAACTGTGATCTTTATGATTTCTGCCTCGCAAGTAATTAGTAATCACAGGCATGAGGAACTGGCAGCCACCTTTCCCTGTATCTTTTGCCTATAGGAGGAGTGACCCCCAGATTTCTGCTAGATGCCAACCACACGCACAGACAGCTCATTCGCCCAGCTCTCTCTGGGAATGTAGTCAGATCATGGAAAACACAGGCATTTCCCATTTCCCTGGGTTTTACCACAGGCACTGACCCCTGCATCCCTATCAGAAGTATGGTTCAGACAGAAACCCCTAACAACAGGCAGAAGACAGAGGTAGCTCGTCACCCAAATGGCCTGTGGTCTGCTACCACCCCTTGGGCAGCTATGCACACAGTCTCTGTGTGCTCCTGCAGTGATGGGCCAGCATTGGGCCTGTCTTCTTCATCCACACAAGTACCTGGGAGGGCTCCACAGCTGTCGGGTAAATGGCACTGCATGGTCTCTCCCGTGGGGACAGGCAAGAGTTTTCTCTGGAATGTTTATGTTTGTCAGACAACAAAGGAGAAGCTGGGAAGAGAAGGAGGAATCATCAGTGTGGTGGTGGTGTTGGACCTGCTTAGAGGAGGAAAAAGGGGAGCTGGAGCAATGAATCCCAGGAGAAAATGAAGCCATGGTGTCTGGGGTCTGAAAGGTTCTCTGGGCACCTCCCCCCTGCATTTAGGCACTGACCTCTGGCACTGGAAGGAGCAGAGCTTGTGACGTTAGGCGAAGCAGAGTGCGTAGAACTCAGGCTTGAGGTAGACGGGCTGGGCTGTGAGGACAGAGGATCATCGCACACTGTTCAGAGGCATCACATGACAAGGACATATTTGAAACAAAACCGCCCACAGCGTTTTTCGTTCTTTTCCAATTAGCAAAAACAAAAACCCAAGGCCAGTTTGCACGCTGGCTGGAATAGCCAGAAAAACCTTACTAACTCAAACTGATAAGGAGCCTGTCTGGATTGAGAATCTGTGATTTTCACAAGTGCCAACAGAACACGTTCATATTAGTTTCAATTCCATTCTGTGATTCTACCCCAGTCAGTAGCTCACTCCTTCACCAAAGTGTAAGCAAAACCAGTTGCACTTCTAAAAAGCACAGAATCTGACTTCTTATAATCTTCCGAAATGTTCAAAGCAGGGCTAAAAGTAGAGTGCTTACCTAGTAAGCACAAAGCCCTGAGTTCAAACTCCAGAACTTCAGAAAAAATACAGTAATAATGTCCAAAGCATAAACTGGTAGATACATGTTTTGCCCCTTTTCCATGAACAGAGGAGGGGACAATTTCTTATCCCGTTTGCTTAATTTTACTGAACGTTCCTAAAGGCGATATGCGCAACATCTAAATAAAATGTTCTACTGAGTCATGTTGCCTCTAAAATAACTAAAACATTATGCATTTTCTTTTATAGTGAAAATTACTTGCTTTGTATATATATCTACATATATACAATATATATAAAATTAGTAGACAACATTTTATAATGGACTCTCCCATCATTCCTTGTTAGAGAGCCACATGGAGCTATGGAGAGAGAGGTGGTATGTGGTAACATGCTCCATGAATCCAGGATGGAGGAAGCAGAGAGTAGTCAAGGTCAGTGTCAAAGCTAACCCCGGGCAGCTCGCCTGGGTTTCTCCACTGCTTGCTCATGTCTTCTTAAAGGGAGGGGCATTTTGGAGAGAAACATCTTTGTAGATTCCAAAAGACCAATAAAGCCATAAGAGTGTTTAAAAGTTGGTCCTTAAGTCAAGTTCTTGCTTGAAGGTCTGTTCGTGAGCACAGCAGAATGAACAGACACTCTCAAGATTGAGACAGAAAAGGAAAAAAAACACGAGCAGACAAAAAGCTAATCAAGTACCTGCATGTTAAAGACTTCATCAGAGCTTTCTGATTGCCCTGTAATATTGCTTACTTCAGCAGAAGCTTGGGAGGACAGGGAGGAGGAAGAATACCGGTTCACGGCTGGGTAACTTAATGGGCTGTGTCAAGAAGAGGAAAACAAAACAACACCAAAAACCATGGTCATTAACTCAGTCTCATAATTGTACTTTGTCGCATGCTGGCATGGTATAAAACGCCCAAGGGAAGACAAGACATATCCTATTTTCTCGTCTCCTGTTTACCTCAATCTGATCAAATGTTTCAGTTAATTCATTTCTCAGACTGCTGCTGTTTTACCCACGGCAGATGCATGCAGCTGGAGGGCGGGCTCAGGATTTTGTGCAGGAATTGTGTTATTTAACAAATGATGCCATAGAGAACGTTGCCAAATCATCTTGTGGGGATGGCAAATTGTCAGGTAATTCTGAATACGACTTACCTGCGTCTAGGAATTACCCTGGTACCATCTGGGCTCATGGAAGCGGGCACTGAGCTCCGACACACCCGAGGGCTTCCATTAGGGAAATGGACAGGACTGGCTTGAATACAAGCAGAGAACTCCTAGAGGTGTGATCAAGAAAATACCCCATTACAGCCCTGAGAGAGGGCACACTGTGCCATATTTTTAACATGGTACATAAGCACATTCAAGGAATCTATTATAATTTCTATCCCTCACTTATTTTCATAAAAGGTAAGCATGGGAATAGCAGACAACCCAGCTGTAATATGCGAAGGCTCCCTGGTAAATGCTGCAGTGTGGCAGAAACCCCAAAAGATGTCACTATTGGACGCTGAATCGGCTCTCTAGAAAGAAGCCAGTGATGTTTGGGTGCACATACCTGTATCCCTAAGCTCGACTTCATCACAAAGAATTGGTCCACCAGCTTTTTGTGGAGGGGTCTCATATCTTGCGGAACAAACTTCTCATGCACAGCCAAACCGAATTCCAGAATTTGAGCCTAGATCACAGTATGAGGGGACACCCACATCAGGGACTTTTTCCTCACCAGTGTTTACCATAGACCAAGCACAGAACTGTGTACTTTTTCTATGCTGCAGACCAAGTGTGCACTCTGAACTCCATTCTTTTCATCCTTTACATCTGACCAGTCCCGTGACAGGTGAGGAAACTGAGGGACATGAATTAACAGTTCAAATGGGATTTGAGCTTGGAACTGGCTTATTTTGGGCATTTGATTTTTCCCTGAGCTTCTTCTACTCTGTATTGGAGATCTTTAACTATACTCTATTTAATAGCCAGCAGCCCTCTGGCTCTTTCCTGTTCTCAGGATGGGGAGAGAGGGGTCAGAATCCAGTCCATGTTTGGAAAGCTGGTCCCTCAGGGATCTCTTCTGTGGACAGCTACCTCTCACCCACGTGACCATCCTCTCCCCATCAAGTTCTTCTGTGCTCCCTAATTCCTCCCACAGAGTCTCAAACACCTGTTGAGGAAGGAAAAAATGAACAGATTCAACTCTGCTCTGCTCACCTCTCAGTATTGTGTAAAATTTTGATTGAACAGTAGCTATCTTCTACATTTCACAAATGCCTGCAAGCTAACATAGTCAAAAGAATAAACTTCACAGTCTGTCAGAAAAAAATACATCATCCATTCACAAGGTCTTGCTTGTATCTTTACATCTTGTGAAGATTTGAGGTTGATAGCTCAAGGTCAAGCAAGACTGACCCCAGAGGGAGAGAGCACCGATCATCTCCCCTAAAGAGGTAGAAATTGCTCTGGAGGGCCCACTTACTACCAGCATCTTTGCATAAAGGCAAAAATACCTTAAGCTGAATATGAAGGTAGTTGTGCAAGGAAGAAATGGAGTAGAATATGTGTTGAGGCCTAAAGGGAGAAGCTGACCTTTGGGATGAGGGGATGGGAGGGACGTAGGAGTGGAGACTAAGTGTAGGAGTTAGTAGTCTTCCCTATTTTACGGTTTTGTTTTTGAGACAGTCTTCCTACATTACCCAGCCTGGCCTTGAGCTCTCTATCCTCCTGTCTTCCTCTTCAGCACGAGGATTACAGGTATGTGCTGAGTTGAGTCTTTTCCATTTTGTTTTGTTAATTTGTGATGAGGTCTCTAGACCAAGCTGTCTTTGAACTGTTCATCTCTCTGCCTTGACTTCTTAAACAATGGGATTACATGTAAATGTCACCATACTGACCTCTCCTCCATTTGAAACTCTAGCTGTTAGGCGAACTCCCTTTCAATTAAATAATGTTGCAAGTTGGGTCATCCAGAAAATGAGACTCTGTGTGAGATCTTCATGGGGAAGAACCTGGGAATCATTGCTAGAGGGTAGAGCAGAAGCAGAACTGGCCAGGAAATAAAAGTTGAGCTTCATGGCAGGATGCCAGCCCCCTGACAAACCCAGGACCATCTGGAGCTTGTGAAGCTCTCAGAGTTGATGTGTGCTGGCCTCAAATGTCCAGGCTTTATTTTGTTATGGTGGGCAACTTGCTGTCTTATTTATTTTTGCAGCTAAGTAGGAAGAAAAAATACTTCTTTGGAACAGAAAATGATGAGTTATATCTAGTTTTGTCCTTATTATAAATCTATAGGCTTAGTCTGTAAAACATAAAATTGTTCTAAAGCAAGCTCTCCATTGCCCATTCCTTCTTATAGCACTGGAGTAACAATTGCATTCATTCATGCACTCCAACTATTCTGAGGTGTCCTAAACTTACTTAGGCCAAAAATTTTTTTATGACAAGTCAGTGATAAGCCTATAGGAATCTTCAGGGAGAGAACATGTAAAGGGAGAGACTGCATGAGATATTTGTTATGGTGGGCAACCTACTGTCTTATTTATTTTTGCGTGTAAGTAGGAAGAAAAACAGAAATTGGCAATTGGAATCTACTACAGGTAGATCACCAATGCATGGGACCACGTAGATAATTTTAAAGTAAGACAGAGAGAAAGTGATCTAATTCTACTACTTACTTGCTCAAGCATCAGCTCTCTTAACCGTGCAATTTTCTCCCCATCTTCAGGATGGCTTAATATATATTCTTTGACAAAGAATGCCTAGGAAGAGAGGGGTAATCAGTGTACTTCAGAAAAGTTACCAAGGAAGTAGAAGATTGTATCTATATATGTCTATATATATCTATACATATCTATATCTATATATGACTTTGCATCTTTGGGGAAATGACATGATTATAAACCACATTGGGGAACAGATAGAGTAATTCCTATCTGTGTGTGGCTGGACAGAAGGAAGTCTAAGGAATAGGTTGTTAAAGGAAAAATCAAGGCTTGCAAACCAGTTCTCTTGGCAAAACAAAGAGCAAACCTAGGTCAATAAGTTATATGGAGTTCTGTGCAGAAATAAAGTGTGACTGAGATGATAGTCTCACATTCTAGATAAGTGCATCTTTCTAACTAGGACAAAGAAGACAGGGGGAAAGTCCACTTAAAGTCTCATCTACACAAAATCAAACTTTTCTATGCCTATGAACCTTTATGCAGAGGAATTATTTTAGGCCAGCATTGCATAATCCTAACCTCTCATTCATCCAAATCTCTGTCTCTGTCTCTGTCTCACACACACAGACACACACACACACACACACACGCACACACACTTGTTCCCAAAATATCACATGTTGGAAAAATAATTTTTGCTCTATTTTGGCAAGGGCTCTATTTGTGTCAATTGTGGCCAATTGTTTATTCATTGATATGGAGTACATACTTTGAGAAGAGAGTCCCAAAACCCTAAGAATACTTCTGTCCAACACCAGTCCTTAATCCTCACCTCTTGGTACCGGGAAACACCACCATTCACAGCAGCATCAATGACTCCGTTCAGGCACATGGTCAGGGGGTTAATGTTCTGCATTTGTCTAGTCTGACACTGACTAATCAGAGTCTTCAGCTGCTGATTCTTATTTTCCAACACTTCGATTGCATTTTCCAGAGGACTCATTTCTACCTGAGAAGCAAATGAACATACATATATATTGACTTTTGTGGCACTCAACAATGATGACAAAGGGACAAGAAAGACAGAGGAGACAATCCATATTCTGCATTATCATGATCCCCCTCAGCGACTACCAGTCTCCATCAAGAGCCATCCTGGAGAAGAGACAAGGGTGGGCAGACCAAGTTACCTGATCACTAGTAAGGTCTGCAAAGAGCAGAGTTTTATATTCAAATGAAATGGGCTTTGGATAATCAGTGGTTATCCATTCTATATTGGCAGTGCAACGATCTCATACCCCTTAAAATAATATCTGAGTGTCTTATAGTTTCCTTTTGAATAACTAAATATACATTGATGTTCAATATTATTATCACCTTTCTAGTGCTTCTTGGAAACAAAGTACCACGGGAGATACAAAGATGCACTAGAGAACCTCTGATGTCAAGTAGGGGACCTATGCCCATACGGGCCCATATGCACACAAAGGAGTACCATAAGGTGGTACAGGATGGCACTCAGTTGGGAGTTATAGACAGCCAGATAATCCTATATATACACTTCAGGACCCATTTGTTGAAGTGGAGCCAAATAGAATCATAATGACTTACTGGCTGTATAGAAGATCTAACTGTGAAAACGATAAAAAGTACTCTTCAAATGGATGCCATTGGGCTGATATTGTCATTGACAATCCCTTAGAAGAAGTCTGCCAAGCAAGCTTCCAGTGATAAAGTAATTCAGATTTACAATAAGCACATTTAAATGCTGGTTCTTTTAGTGAAAGAAACAAATTAAAAGTTTTAAAAGGTTGCCAAGTCCATCTTAAATGAACACTGAAAAAAATCCAGAAGTAATTTAACTGTATAAAAGCTGAGTGACAAATCCCTTGTACAATTACTTAAACATAATAATAATAATAAAAAAGAAAGCTTGCCAAAATATAAACCTTGTTCTAGGAATATGTACTAAAGATATTGTTCTAGGAATACGTACTAAAGATACTACAAAGAGAAGGGAAGATAAACAAGAAGATATGAGAAGATATCTATCAGTAAATGTAATCATCAAAGAGACACTGTGCAGATTTCACAAACTTTTAGCATCGTGGTATTAAATAAAAATATACCAGACTCAGAAAGACATGCATGTTTTCCCTCATAGGTAGAATCTAGGTCTAAGGAAAAAAAGAAATGAATATCAAGGAGACTGATTTTAGAGGACAAGTGGGAGGGTGAAAAGAGAGGGTGAAGGGGCTGAATATGGTTGAACCATAAAGAGAATAATGAAACACACTACAATAGTGAAAAAAGAGGAGTTAAGAAAGAGAAATAGAAGGGATGATAATGATCAAATGACATTATATGCATGTGCAAAAATACCACCTGAAACTGCTTTGCACAATTAATATATGTAATAAAAACAACACAAAAACAGTTTTAAAAAAGGCAAAAACCCTAATAGAAATAGGCAAAAGGTTTAAATGGCCATTTGTTAAAAAGGAAGAAATTCAATACCAGTAAGCTTCATTTATGATCAGGTCTGTCATTGTGATGATGCTGGGAAAATAAGTATTTGTAAGGACAGTGATTCCTCCACACAGGGCCTAAGAAGATACAACCCATTATCAATCCATGAGTCGAAGAGTAACTGGGGCTATCTTCGGACATATTAATTCACTTTTTTACACCTTCCATTTTAATAGCACGAATAAGTAAATAGTACAAGAGGACGCTCTTTTGATTGTCTAGATATGCATTTAATATGCCTTGATCAGATCCACCAGTTCTATCACTCTCCTTCATTACCCAAGAGAAGTAACAGTGAAGAGACAGTCAAAGATGTATTGAGACTATCCATGCTGTCTTCTGGTAGCTCATGCTTATAATCTTAGTTACTCAAAACTCTAAATCCATAGGATGACCATCCAAAGACAGCCTTGGCAGAAGCGTTTTCAAGACTCCATCTGTGTCTCCAAAATAATCAGCAAAAAGCTTGGTTGGAAGCATATCTCAAATGACAAGAGTACCAGCTGAGCAAGTACAAAGCTCTGAGTTCAAACCCTGGTAACAATCCCTCTTCCTCCAAAAATGAATCGCTATCAAATAATTTTCACCAGTCCGCAATGGGATCTTTGGATTTTTTTTTTTTTTTTTGGCCCGGTTGTGGGGCCTGAACTCTGGGCCTGGGCACTGTCCCTCAACTCTTCAGCTCAAGTCTAGTGCTCTACCACTTGAGCCACAGCGCCACTTTCAGCTTTTTTCTTTTTGCTTTATGTGGTGCTGAGGAATCGAACCCAGGGCCTCAGGCATGCAAGGCAAGCGCTCTACCACTGAGCCACTTCCCAGCCCCATCTTTGGATATTTTAACATGAAGAATTAGGAATGGTCTGGGTACGGTGGCTCACACATATAATTCTAGCTGCTTAGAAGATAGATTGGATACAATTAGAGGACAGCCTGGAAAAAAGTTTGTGGACCCTTCTCCATATCCTAATAAAAAGCTAGGTGTGGTGGTACACACTTGTCAGCCTGGCTATTTGGGAAGTAGGAGTAGGAGGATTTGTAGTCCAAGCTGGCTTGGGAAAAAAGACTCGATTCAAAACATAAATAAAAAAGGCTGAAGATGTGGCTCAAATAGTAGACTACCTACCTTGCAAGCCGAAATCCCTGAGTTCAGCCCCTAGTATTGGAAAGGCCCAAATTAAACCAAACCAAACCAAACCACCAACAACAAAAAATCCAATCAGGAGCAATACAAGAAATGGCTCTTTTCACATTTAGGACAGGAGATGTACAAGTGAGTATGGAACATCTTGTCAAATCAGAAAGTAAGGAAAGAATGTGGGAAGAAGACATGAAAGAAGTTGGCTTGTGATCCATGGTCCTCTTTCCAGGGTAATGTTCTCAGGGCTCGGAAAGTCTCAGCGCACCTCTCCTTGTCACTCGACCCTTCAAGTCAACAGACTAAGGATAGTTGCTAGGATAAAGAAGTGTTATCTTGCTGGGCACCGGTGGCTCATGCCTGTAATCTTAGCTGCTCAGGAGGCTGAGATCTGATGATCACAGTTCAAACCCAGCCTGGGCAGGAAAGTCCGTGAAACTCTTTTTTTTTTTTTTCGTCGGTCATGGGGCTTGAACTCTGGGCCTGGGTGCTGTCCCTGCGCTCTTCAGCTCAAGGTGAGTGCTCTAACACTTGAACCACAGTGCCACTTCCTCCGTGAAACTCTTATCTCCAATAAACCACCAGAAAACCGTACCTGGTGCTGTAGAGTGCTTGCCTTGAGCTGAAGAGATAGGGGTTAGCACTCAGGCCCAGTCAAGCCCCATGACTGACCAAAAAAAAAAAAAGAATTGTTATCTTCAGAATATGTTTAGTACGAAGTCACGCATCAAAGGATTTCTTCAAGTAAATGAACTCAGAATCCATAAGGCAAGATTAGAGAATGTCACTCAGAAGTTGGAATGTTGCCTAATCTGTATTTCATAGTTTAGATGTGCTCCCTTTGTGAGGAACCCTGTGACTCTCACTTAGAAAGGTCATCTGTTACTCTGAGTTCAACTATTGTTGTGGGGTTGAAGGATATGGTGTGTGTTACTTGATGTCTTCAAGTCTTTGCTTCAAGTGAGCATCCTGATTTACATGTCTGATTTGACAATCGGATCTTTGTAAGACTAGGTGGGTACTGTCAAAAACACACAGGAGGCAAACCAAAGAATCTCCTAATATGCAAAGATGACACAACTGAATATGAATAAGTCATTTAAGGATAAGAATAACAATTGCAATTAAATCAATCAAGTATAGGATCTCCTAATAACACTAAAAAAAAAAAAAACCAAACAAACAAAACCAAAGTGATTTTCTTGTTTCCCTTGCAAGGTGCTTGGTAACCAAATGATTTTGGAAACTTCAGATACAGGGAAAGAACAGAACATTCTATTCCCTTTTCGATGTCTCAGGGTAATCAGATTTCTTTTGCAGAAGTCTTCCAATAAGTCAACAAAGATAGGATGATAAAATATCACCATTTTTATCTGTGCAAGATGAGTGAATTTAGGCAATGATAATTAATAACTGATTATCACAAAAACAGAGAAAGAAAAAGACAGGTAAGAGGCTAGGCTGCCTATTTCGCCATCTGTCTCCTTGCCAAGGCTATGGCTTCCCAACTCCTTAATGCTGTCATTCCAAGGTGGCCAGGCTCAGCAAGACCACCATGTGCCACAGCACTGCTCTGTACTTTGACCTCTAGCATCTCTCAAGCGGCCACTTCTTGAAAGAGAACCTCAAGGCCAACACAGAGGTTGGCGGCAGGGCAAAGCAGTATCCAGAGATTTGATTCCAGATCATGCGATCACATGCCTGATGAAGTCAGAGCTGGAGAATAGGAATGGACAACAGTGGCTGCTAGATAGTTCTCTAAGAACACCTGTACAGGCTGAGGCCAGGGGCAGGGGTGGGGGGATGAATCATGTGGATCCAGTGATTAGTTTGAACATTCGATTTGAAACACTTGAATTCACTCTTCTAAGTGAAAGGGTGTGTGTGTGTGTGTGTGTGTGTGTGTGTGTGTGTGTATGTGTGTGTGTGTGTGTGTGTATATGGATTTCAAGCTACCTCATGTATACATGTTGATTATGTCACTAGAGAGCCATTAGTTCAACAGGCGGATGATAAAGTGGAAGCTGCCAGGCTAAGATGCAGCATCCAACCATGTAATTGGCTACATCAAGGCCAATCATCTAACTGTAAAAAAGCCAAGGAGTGCTTCACCCATTTTCTGGGGTAAAGACTAACGAGATCTGACCTTACACTGATATATGTCTCTCAAACAAGATCACATCATTTCCACCAAAAAAAAGCATACTGATGTAACTATAACCCCTCTGTACAGCATCATCTATGATACTGTACAGAGGGGTTATAGTTACATATATATATATGTATATATATATGAAGCATACTGAGCCTGCCCTGTGGAAGAACCAGAATCATGTGGTCCTTCATACAATGGTATGTGTAGTACTGGTCCCCTGCCTAAATTAGAAGCAAGCTGAGATAGCATGCAGTATCTTTTTAGTCTAAATGGTAAGAAGATAGAAAAACCAGTAAGTAGAAAGAACTCACCAAGAGAGCCCTCAACCTTCAAAAGAAGGTGCCTTGGAACATGTGTCAAGCCATTCACAAGGAAGCAAAACCAAAGTGGTTTTGGAATGGTGTCTACTTTTCCATGGATCTGGTGGTTGACAGCCACGCTGTTGCTATAGTCTTTCTGCATGGAAAGTTGGTGCCTTCTGGTTCTTCCTACCCTCCAAAGGCTGTTGACCTATATTACCAGCAAGCCTTAGCACACCCAGGGTTCTATCCCTGGCCTTCACTGCTGTGAGTCCCTATGGTGATTACTGAGTCAAAGCTAATTGTACTCTGTGGCTGCTTCTCTGGTGTGATGGTGCCGATGGTTGTTTTCTTCTGGTAGGAGCAATGCCTTCTCTTCAGCCCTACTTCTCAGCCATCCTGGCATCTCCTGATTGCATTTTCTTGTATCTATTTTGTCTCTTCCTAGACTATTAAATAATATGGACAGTTACCGCATTTATTCTTCCCCAATTCCACTTTCTATGAACTAAGAGCAAGGGGATTACACTGAATCTCTTCATGCGCTGGGAACTGAGCCATGCAGAAAGTTTTACTTTAAAGAGCCTGTTTAATTCTCACAGGCTTATAAGAAAGATGCTCAAAAGTCTTTGGAAATCCTCAAGAAATATGGAAAATTTCCATTGATGGAAATGTTGAATCTCATATATAGAGAAGTAGGAATAAGATCATATGGAGTTCCTGGACTAATGGAATAATTAAACAATTTTTTTTGTATTTTACACAAAATGAATTCTGAACATGCTGCTAGGTAGTGGTGGCAATCAAAGGTTTTTCTCCTGAGTGACCCAAGCAGGTGATAGATAGTCAGTGAAGGGACTGGAGCCTGTGGGGTTGAGGCAAATATTGCATTAGATGCACTGAGATTGAGTATGACAGCTTTCCAATGACACGAAAACTATTGATGCAGGTGAGAAATAAAGATAATAGTATTTTGTCTTTCATTATATCAATAAAGCATTTGTTGAAAAATTAAATAGAGAAAGAGAGGGAGAGTAAGGCAGAAGAAAAGGGAGAAGATAGGAGGGAGACAGAGAACAAGAAATATATAATACCAATACTGCTACCACACTTTATATAGAGATTGTCTCTAGATACAACCACGAATTTATAAGAAATATAGGCCACGGAGAGACAAGTTAAACGACCCTACTGGGATACACTCTACAAAATGAAGACTTATGGGAATGTTTCATAAGAAACCACCTTGTTTCTTCAGTAAGAATATCAACAAACAAAATACCTGATGTGATGGGAATATACAGATTGAGGAAACTTGTGAGACAGTAAAAAACATAAGCAGTGTCTTGGTGAAACATGAATAAATATTATATATTTTATGGCCAATGAATTATTGCTGGTCTTCTGGATAATCTAGTGATATTATGGCTATATTACTTTCTAAGTACACATAATGAAATCCTTGTAGATAATGTTTACGATCTGTTTCAGTATAAGTACAGTTAAAATTAGCCATTTTTTCCTAGCAGCTGAAGTAATCTGATAGGTGAATCAAATTCATTTTATATTTTCTTCCTATTCATATGCTGTTACTTAAGTTTAAAATTTGGTGCCTGGTTACCCAGTTCAGAAGAGATTGAATGGATAAAGGTGTAGCAGGACAATGAGGCTACTCCTAGTGTACAGTACAGTAACAGACCAGTAGATGGCGCTGATGGTGGGGACTGAAGAAGAACAGATTTTGGGTGTATTTTGAGAATTGACTTTGTTGAGGGCTGAGATGTGACAATATTCTTGCTGAATTTTAAGGAGCCATTATTTATGGATTCTAAATCACAAAATACCTTGTTTAAGAATTTTTAAGGATTTACTTTTGTACCAGGAAAAAACATAGTTGGGAGGTTTTAAAAAAATCAATACATTTACAAATCCTAAGAAAGAATAGTTCAATTACATCTTAACAAAACTGAGTCTATGATTTAAAATAGGTCTCACTACATATGAGACCCTGATCTGAAACTTTTGATGCCCATTTATTTTGAAACTCAGATCTTTTCAGATTCTAGAAAGGTAAGAGAGAACACTTGTAGTATAGTAAGCTCAGATCCACTAGGATCTGAGCTATGTCTGCATTAATCAACTGCATTAATATTTCTTCAGTGACACATGAGATTCATTCTAAAGGACAGAAGGTTAATGCATAGCACTCTGTTAGAAGATTTCAGGAGGATAAGCAAATAAACTCCAGAGTCACAGTAATATACCTTCTGGTTTTCAGATTCTGGTATTAGCTTGTAAGAAATATGAAATGTCAATTCATTTTTCCTATGCTTGATGAGCATCTACTATGTACCCCTGTTCTTGAAGACTTCCAACAACAGGAATTGAACCAAAAATCCAGTAACTTTAGTAGACAGCCAGATGTTCCAGGCAGCAGAAACAAAAGAACACCACCATGCCTTCTAAGAGTGGGCAGTGCGGGGGACAAAAGAAGAGAGTTTGATTTATTCTGACAGAACAAAAGATTACATATTCTAATAAAGCAGGCAGCTGATGTTTGAAAGGTGGTGTTTAGTAAAGCTCCTTTTATTATTACCAGCATGTTACTTTTCATTAACTCTGTGTGTGTGTGTGTGTGTGTGTGTGTGTGTGTGAGTGTGTGTATGTGTGTGTGTGTGATGTTTTAAGAGCCAGGATCATTGGTATGACCTTGCAGAACTTAATACCTTGAGCTCTACGGATCTGAAAAGGCTCTGTGAATCCCTAATACAGAAAGGATGATTAAGAATACTTGTGTGGGTCAGGCCCCTGCTGCTCAGTGAGAAGTACAACACTAAGACCCTTTGAGCACTGTGTGGCAGCCACCTCTTTTCCATGGAAGGCACTAGGGTACACCAGATAAGTAACATGCTTTTGGTGACCCTTGGCTGTATAGGAACATAACTGTACTGATGCAATCTGATAACTTCAGTTTGATTTTTGTTTGTGAACCTTTAATTCTTTGGCACTGCAAAACAAAAATCCCATCAAATCCTCAGCTTCATTGAACACGATAAGTTGATGTTTCACTTCTGAGAGATTTGGGGTAGAAAGACAAGAAACCTTCTTTGTTCAATAATATGGTGGGGCCTTTATGTAAACTAGGTATGGGTTACATTCTATTTCCACATTCTTTCAGGCAGAGGATTGTGGTAATCAAAGGGCCGGTCTCAGCCATGATGGCTGTCTCAAGAGAGGAGGAAAGGATGTCATGAGGCTGTAGGGCTGTGGTTCAACTGAATGTGCTCTCAGCCTGGAGAGCAGTAGAGACAGCAGGGTAGGAGGTTTCACTCTGGTTGAGACTGCCTTTAGTTGCTTTTTCCTTTTTCCTTTACAATGGGGATCAGTGCTGAGGGCATATTTGACAATCGAAGGGCTCCTGAGTGCTGAGGTTACTGTAAGGCCAATCTCCATGTGGTGTTCTACTCTGGGCTGCTCAGTTACTAATATACCACCATCCCTTCCAATGCAAAATACCCAGACTGGACCCTGTTTGTGAGACACTGTGCTGGGGCTTTATAGTAGCTTCCTACTGCCTATAAGGAAACCAAGGCTAGAATTGATGAATAAAACTGGCTTGGGACTCAGAAAAATCTTGAGTTTGTGTCTGTTCTTTTGGGACATCTTTTGTGTGACTGCTGGCAGCAGAGGTTTTTAACTTCTTGGTAAAGGAGAATGAGAAAGCTGGGGAAAGAAAACATATGTCATAACTCTGAGATGATAATTAAGTCAGACAGGCTAGGGAGTCTTGTTGGCACTGGCCTGCCACGTGGTGGTTAGGCAGCAAAGGCCATGTAGCTATCTAGAAGCATCAGGAGAGCTGAAACTCCAGGTTTTCACTCAAGAGGGAGAATCTTTAAAAAAAATTTTTTTTGCATGCTACAATCACATTTATTTCCCAGGAATTCCTCTAGTTAGTTGGGCTACTAGACTATTAACGCTCAACTTTACAGCCTTGGTAATAGCAGTGAATATCATCAATAAATATTCCCTAAGTTACTGGAAGTGAATCCAGGGACTTCAAATCCAAAGCAGAAGCAATTAGTATTTGGCCCGACCCAGATGGGCAACTGTGATGAGAAAGCACTTGAGAACAAATGAGCTCTGATTCTTCTTACCACTTCTCGCTTTTCCACTTCAAACCAGCGGGAAATTCCAGGTAAACTCTGCACCAAGTATAAGGATGTCCTCTCCACCCAGAGACTCTGAAAAATAATACAAATTAAGTCCCCAAGATGCTCTTCTTCTACCCAAGATGCACTGGGTTATGGCACAATGACGAAGCTTGCTCATTTCTCTCAGGCTTTCTCTCAGGAAACTATCGCAATAAGATGCTGTGGAAGCTATATTCATGACTCCATTGTATATTGCCTGAAACTTTAAAAAAATCTATGCAGAACAAATGAGCCCCAACATCAGAAAGGAAGCATCAAAATACAAAAACAGGCTGTCATGTTATTTGCTAGTTCTCTAAAATTTCAATTTAAACTCTTTCTTTTTGTTGTTGTTGGTGGTTGGCTTGGACACAGGGCCTGGGGATGGTCTTTAAGCTTTTTTGCTCAAGACTAGCACTCTACCACCTAGAGACACAGTTCCACTTCCGGTATTTGAGTGGACTTTTCTTCCATGGGCTGGCTTTGTACTATTATCCAGAGAGCTCAGACTCCTGAGTATCTAGGATTATAGGCACAAGCCACCAATGCCTGGTTTTTTAAAACTCTTTTCACTTCTCAAGCTTCAGTTATTTTTATCTGAAAGAGCTAACAGTACTTTTATGAGCTTGTCACACAAGGTTAGAACAACAGTATCCTAAGGAAAGAAAAGAGCTTCAGGCACAACATCAGTAGCTCAATCTTTCTATGCCTGAAAGAAGCAGAGGTGTGGCCCAAATGATAGAGCCCAGGCCACAAGCAAAAAGCCTAGTGAGAGCATGAGGCCTGGTGTTCAAACCCCAGCAATGGGACAAATAAACAAAACAAACCCTGAAGGAGACACCTGACTTGCCCCAATATTGCATTCTAATTACTTAGTCCCAGTGACACCCACTCTAGAACTGGCTCCCTCTTCACTGCCATTGTCCCAGTAGCCAGTTCCCTGGGCCTGCCCAAACCGCTCAATCCCAGGGCAACAATATGTTAGAGCAGGGGTTCCTTCTCATCAGGATGAGATGCCTCAGGACAGGACGACCCACAGCTGCCTTGGGTACCAGCTGCTGTTTATGACAGGGTTTTCTTTTGTTGATGAGATTTGGGTATCTATGCCTCATCTTTCTTATTTAAGGCAAATGTATTCTGGAGAGGACAGCAACTTTACAAAACTCCTTGGAGTTGTGCCATTTATCCAAAGAACAACCAAAAAAAAAAAAAAACAACTGGAAGGATTTCTTTGCATTAGCCAAGAGCTACTGAGATCATTATGGCAGAATCCCTGTGAGAAGGTGTTCTAGTGGTGATGGGGAGGAAAGCAGATACTGGTGCCCAGGGAGAAGAGAAAGGGAAGTTTAAGGTGTGTGTGTGGGGGGGGGGGGGGAGTGCACAAGTGTGCATCCATGCAAGGGAAGGAGGTGGCATGTGAGCTGCATGCTGAAGAGTGTGCAGGAGTTTGCTGGGGGAAGGTGGAGGCTCACAGGCAGTAGGAAGCAGCCCATAGACACAGAGTGGCTTGTGAAAAGAAAAGCTGGATCCTGCTGGAGCTGAGGAGGAAGAGGAGGAGGAGGAGGAGGAGGAGGGGGAGGAGGAGGAGGAAGAGGGCGGGTGAGTGGGTTGTGGTGAGGACAGGTTTCTTGAGTTGGGGAAGGATAGTTTGGAGACAGATTGTGAAGGCTAGAAGCTCAGGGAGGGGAGGCCAGATTTACTCTTCCCTTCCCCAATGCTGCTATGTTGTTGATAAATATTTAAAGTGATGGCCACAAGGAAATGTAGGATAGTGGAAAAAGCAACAGGGAGGGGTCAGAAGATATGGGCTCCAGTGCTAGCCTTTTGGCAGGAGTTGGTGGAGGACTTGGACAAAGTTAGCTGTTTGAATCCAATGCATCTTTGACTTGGTGGAGAACTACATCATAGACTGATTAGATCAGTGGAGGACAAAAAGACAAGTGCCCAGAAAGAACTAGAAAGCCATCATGGATCCTTTCAGTATCATTTCAATGGTCTTTTCCAATGATCTTCTTGCTTTACTACTTAACCCATCAAATCGGCTTGCATAAAGACTCATTCTTTATTCAGCCCCATTGAAACTGCAAAACAATCCCAGACTCCCTTTCTGACCTCTTGACTGAGCAATTATTAGAGTTATTGCGGGCAGCACCGAGAATTGAGTGCGGTGTGGTTGCCAGGAGAGTCAGTACTAGGCAATCATGGCTAATAACATTAAAAGAACACTTCCAGCTTAAGGAGGGAATATCTGTGATGAGGCCAAGGAGTTCACTTAGCAGTTTTGGTATGGGTGCAAATACTGATTGACTAGAGATCTATCTGGATATCTACCTATGTCACTTTTTTTCAAGGAGAAGGAAGATCACATTTATTTGCTGACCAGTCTGCAGCTTTCTCCCCAAGTAGGGGCCATGAGAACTTTTATCCCTTCTGGTTGGAAGCATGTTGAACTAACAAGGCAAATTCTAACTACTGAGAGCAGGCAACACATGTGAGGCTTTTGTTCTGGGTCCTCCCCCAAATCCTAATCTCATGCTGTTCTAATGGGAAAAAAAAGCAGCAACCCCCCCCCCCCCCCCCCCCCCCCATGGAACGTACCAAACCAGCAACCTAACCAACCCATTCTCTGACTCTGGGCTGCTTTTTCCCTGTTCGTTGTCTTCTTCACTCCTTGTACTCACTTTTGTCAAGAATACATATTCTGAGATTTCCACAATGGTTTGAACTTCAATGGATGAGAAGACTCAAGTCAACCATGAGAGTTCACAAAGAGTAATCTAAGGACTACTATTTTTTTTGAGGGGGGGGTAACATTTCTAATGCCAGAATTAGTGATTCTAAGTCAGAAATCCTGACTCAGAATTCTTGAGCTGGAGGCCAAAAGACTGCTTGGTTAAAAAAAAAAAGCCCCATTCCACTATACATCACCATTGAAGACCCATTAGACTATAAGATTCCCAGAGTCCCTTCTGGGGGCTATACCAAGTAACTACTTACCAAGGGTCTGTCCCCAAGGAGCCCACAGCCTAGTAGAGCACAGAGGAGGGAGAATGTCAAGGATTGCTTGTTACCTTGAATTCATTCTCTTTATCTTTTGTGCCTTTGTGGAATGGTCTGTCGTAGCGGAATTTCCAGATGTGATTCACTTTGTAGAAACTTTTGATGTTGTCTGGAACACCTTCTCTCTGCAGGACCTCCTGGCTCTCTGGTATGGGAGTCACAGCATATATTTGCAAATCTAGGATTCAAGAGTCAAGGAGGGAATCGGACTTGGCAAATTTCAAAGAAGTCTGGCTTGAGCTGAGCTGTGTCCAGGGGAGGGTGGGTAACAATCTGGTGTTTCCAGTACCGCTGAAATCATTTTTTAAAAATTGCCAAAGATGATGCTAAGAACTTACTTCATACTATGTTCTAAACTGTAGGCCTTCAATTAGTTCTTGCTAGGAGATTTTGACAAGGTGAACCTTTGTACCACTGGTATTTTTAGGGTTGGGTAGGTGGGGATGGTTTGAATTGTAGGTACTCAGACTCATCGTTGAACATAAATACAGTGTGTGCATAAACCCTTTCAACTCTATGATGTTATGCACAGCCACATAGGCCTATGACCAAAGAAAGAAACTAGAACACTGACAATGACTGACAATGACCTGTGCTACTGTGACCTGGCCCACAACTGTGGTGCGCATTGTCCCAAACACAGGTATTGATGCGCAGAGTGCTTTCTCAGTTGTGGTTATTTTAAACTCTTATATTCAAAAAGTGGTCATCTTTACTTGTATATGCATTTCCTTTTCCTCTCAAAGACAGACAGACAAATATTCTTTCTTATGTGATTTCTTCCTTCTCTTGCATTTGTGTCTCCATTTTAAAGGGCGAACTGTAACTGTCACAGGCATCTCATGAGTTCTGTATGATCACTGCTGCAGGAGGAGGTGGACTGATAGATAGAAGGAGCACTGGGCACGTGGTCCTGTCTGTAATCCCTACGCAATTCTACCTGGGTTTCTTTGTGACGACAGTGGGAGTGTAAGGTAGGTGGCGATTATTAAGTGCTACACAGGGCTGTCATAGTGAGGAGTACCCCCCGCCCTCCGAAAGTTACTGGAACTTCCTCTTTCTCTTCCATTCTGCATTTCAGAATAAAAACACTAAGAGGAAAAAAGGGATGAATGATGAATATCATGACCACATCCCTATATTTCCTTGAACGGACATATTTTTCTGCAGGGAGGCTAGGAAAAGAATCTAGGGGAAATTGCTAAAAAGGAGCTTTAAACAAAAGTGGGGTTGAGATATGAAGGAGTTTTAATTAAAAGGAAAATAAAGGTTCTTTAATGGGATCTTTAAGGGCTTTCTTTTCAACTGACATTGTAATAGAGCAATTACATTCTGTGCAGAATGAGCTAAGCTAAAATTAAGATGATCAGGGTAAGAATCGACTGAAAAGGGACTTGTGGCTGAACAACCCTCCAAGAAAACACCCTGTAGCTAACAACTGGAGCAACCTGACTGGGACCCAGCCGCTCTAGGCATGGATACACTGCGCTTCCGCCTGGAAGATGGTTTCGTCGGGCTGGTTGGCATGCTGCATGGCGATGGCATGGGGGAACTCGTTCAGCATCCTCTGTTGAAAGGCTTCCAACCTCTCATAGTCATGCCCCCGACACACAAACTCCTTATTCTGAGGAAGAAACCAAACAAGAAATCAGGAGTAGGTTACACAGGAAAGCCAAAAGGTACAGCCACAGACACGGGGACCAGCCCTAACACTAGACTATAATGAAGACAACATCCATGCATCAACCTGAAAAAAAAATCCAAAATGTTAAAATCTCAGGGCAGAGAGCATGTACTCTCTCCTGCTTTTGTTTTGTTGCTGCATATTAAATGATACAGATGTGTCAGGGTGGTCTCTATTGCTTTACATAAGGCTCAGCAGAATGCTTCACTCTTCCTACTTCTCTTACGTGAAGTACAAACGTGTCCAATTCTCAGAGCACCAAAATACAAGACCAAAAGCAACATTCCAAATGTTGGGGATAAAACCTGGGGTTTGAACTCGGTGCTTCACACTTGAGAGGCTGGTGCTCCACTGCTTGAGCCATGCATCCAGCTCTTTTTCTTTTGGGTCCAGTCATGGGACCTAAACTCTGGGTCTGGGTGCTGTCCCTCAACTCTTCAGCTCAAGGCTAGCGCTCTACCACTTGAGCCACAAGGAAACATTTTGCCTGGGCTATCTTATGTCCCACATAGCTGGATTGACAAGCATGTACCATTGTGCTTCACTACTGTGTGAAGTGGTGGTCACATGAACTTCTTGCCTGGACTGGTCTTAAGGCATGATTGTTCCTGATCTTCGTCCCCTCTTCCTTCATCCCTGGATCCCTGCTAAGACTACAGGTGTGAGCTACGGGCATGGGCACCAGCTGCAAGTCATTTTTATAAACTTGATGTCTAATTTATAAATAAATGTTACCATTTGGAAGACAAGAAGGGACATGTAAGAACTAAAAATGTACTTTACTGAGTTATTCTTAAAAAGCTCCCAAGGTCAGCCTCACCTCTTTCACTGACGAGAGCCTTCCATGAGAAAAAGGTTGAACTCATCTGCACCTGTACCTTTGGAGGCTAGAAGAACCAGCTCAGCTTGGTTTCTGATAATCAGGAACCCACTTATATGGCTGGAGCTATCTCTTAAAGAGTTTCAGGGCCTTGCCAAATATTGGACATATTTTTGGCTGTTTTAGGTTTAGGATAAGTATTCTGTAGGCCAGGACTCTTTCATTCATGTCAGAAGGCTGAAGGTCATCGTCGAATCCAGCCAGAGAGCTAGAAAGATGGGCAGATTTTCCAAAAGTATTTTAACAAGCTGGTTACATGTGATGGACGTCTTTCTGACAGCTCAATCTGGAAACTTCTACTGTTTTGCACTAATCAACTGTGCACTCTGAGTTGATCTTAATTAATCTGTGCAAGCTTGATACGTTGCCACCCATTCCAACTCTACAGTATAACCAGAAACCAAAGTTCAAAGGCTTCAAGTACTTTGTCCATGTATACTAGCTTTAAACACAGGCGTCTAAGGCCTGAGCTCTGGCTATCCTGCACATGGCATGGTCAGTTAGGGCCAAACCAGGAGCTGCTAACACTAGAAAGGTTGTGAGGTCTCATGCTCCAAAGGTCTTGAAGAAATGGAGAGAACAGTTTATGGCTTGAAAAGGCGAAAGCCCAAGGTTTTCAGTGTTTTTCAGCTCTCCATGGTTCTTCTCATTACATAAAACAACCAAGGGAAGAGCTACAAGACTGCAGTAAGGAACTCAGAAAAAACTAGAAGGTAGGTGTGATGGCACATACAAAAGATAGAGGGAGAAAGATCATGAGTTCAAGGCCAGCCTGGGATACACAACAAGATCCTATCACCAAACTAAATCAAACAGGGTAGGCACAGGTAGCTCATGCCTTTAATATAGCTACTCATGAGGCTGAGATTTGAGAATCTTGAGTAGTAGCCAGCCCAAAATGACCCAAGAGCCTCTCACCTTCAATTAACCAGCAAAAAGCCAAAGGGGAAAGGTGGCTCAAGGGGTAGATTACCAGCCATCAGCAAAAAAACCAAGTGAAAAGGTGAGGCCTAGAGTTCAAGCTCAATATCAGCACAGAGACAAAACAAACCAATAAACTCAACAAAAGTAAATTAAAAATAAAAACTAAAAAAAGAAACAATTGTAAGTAAAAAATATATGCACACATCTATCTATCTATCTATCTATCTATCTATCTATCTATCATCTATCTATCTATCTATCATCTATCTATCTATCTATCTATCATCTATCTATCTACACAAACAAAAATGAAACAATTGGTAGACTCAGGGCAGGTTTGTAGCTGCAGACAACTGGAGAAAAGGCCATAGAAAATGCTTCAGTTTCTCATGCCACAAAATGAATCACAATACTTTCATAAAAAACAGTTATGTAGACTATACCTAGAAATCAGGACTTCAGATGACTGTGTGCTTAACATTTTCTACAGAAAAGTGACACCGTCTAGTGCAAATAAATGTACCTTTGATTCTGTATTCTGATGTGCCCAGCAAAATGAATGATGACTAAATGGACAATAAATGTCCTTTCTCTCTCATTCTGTCTATATGTGTATGTACTGACAGTTAAGGAAGGTTTTGGGTTAACCCAAATACTAAAATATTTATACATTGGGATTTAAAGTTATAACAAACTGACTCAAATGCATCAGTTATCCAGGGTATTTCTCCTTAAGTGTGTGAGCATGAACATTTCCTCTGTTAACCAATCTTTTTTTTTTTTTTTTTTAGTTTTTTTTATTATCTTTATGTAGTTGTACAAAGAAGTTCCCATTCTACAAAACAGTATATGAATACAAAGTGTCTGACAACATTGTTAACCAATATTTTAACATTACTTTTCAATGACAAGCATTATTGAACACTTTTGTATGCTATGATCAAGTCTTCTATAAATACTCAGCCACATAAAACAGTACTTGGTCATAGGTGAAAAACTGAAAGAATGGAGTTGATTATTTCATTACCTAGTAGTCACATTAAAATGTCTGGAAATTTCTCTTTGTCGAAAGTTTATATTAGCAATAAACTGAATCTTTTGTGCTGGATGACATTTACCTTTTCACAAAGTCAGCAAAAAGGCAAAACAACACTCTTCACATAGTTCTGCAGGTACAATTTCCACACAATGTGAAACTGCACTGTTTCTCACAGGGACTTTATATCCCTCCCCCTGTTCTCTAAAGGAAACTGCAGACTGAACAGGATAGTGAATATCATAGAAGATAAACTATAATCACCCAAGCTTACTTATAATATACGCTTAGAAAGGAATAGATTGCTTTATCTCTTGGGATATTATTCAAAATGAAGGGCTCTAGATTAATATTAATGTGATGCTTGTAAACAATAAGGTTAAAAAAACAAAAACAAAAACAAAACAAACAAAAAAAACCCAACTCCCCAAATCCCATCATGCCATTATCTTCCTTGCTATTCATTACAAGATATCAAAAAGTTCTTAGTATTCTTTTTATGAGAAATCTGTATAGGATGCAAACAAATTAACTGGTATATTTACTTACTCTTAAAAAAAATGGAAACTTTTTCCCATAAAATCCAACTCTGAAGAACTCAGGTTCCAGGCGCTGCTGGTCCATGATCTTGTCATACAAAGAGGCCTCCATCATCTACGGAAGCACCAGAGAAGTTCAAAATATTCCATCTCAACTGTCATCCCCAATAGGGCAACTAATTAGAGAAGATAGTTCTTCTATAGAAAAGTGATCATTACAATTCAGAAAAGTGAAAGAAATAAGACCAAAAAAATGTGTTCTTTAACTTGGCAACGGTTTTCTATAAATGCCTAGAGAGCAAATATTTTGGGCTTGGCAAGCCATGCGGTCCATACCATCTCTGTTTTAACAACTCATCTCTGCTCTGCTCTGCTCACAGGCTGTGCACAGGGTATTGTTACATGGTATTATTAAAGTAAATCAGGCCTATAGCCTATAGAAGGAGTATTTTCTTCCTAGTTAAATAGAAATTATCATGAATGATTAGAAGCAAACACTTTCTGGAGAATTCTTGTGCCAGGTATATTTACCCTGTGGATTTGCCTTTTAAAGGCTTTACCTTTTAAAGCAGTTGGAAGGTGTACCCTCAAGTAGGTGGAAAAAGGGTAAACTAACAAACTGAACCCGAGGAGCCCCAGAGAGCCAAGTGCTGTCTGGGCTGGAAGCAATTAAGCCTGTCTCTGACAATGCATACATTTGATGGGATTATCCTCCCCAGGGTTTCCAGAGAAAGACTAATATTGCACTTGGAGCTTCCCCCTATCCCCAGTAACAGCACCCCAAAGAACAGTTGGTTTGAAGTGTATTGCTTTGGGTTTATAAAAATGTTAGTGACTATGGCACCCAAGGGCTCTCATGGGTAAACACTGTAACCTCGCTTCTGTGCAGAGACAGGATGCCAAGAGATGACAGGCCACGTTTTTATATAAAGCTGCAGTGCCTGCCAGAGTCAGCATGACGAATTGAAGTTAAAACAAGATTTCTCTCTTTGGTTTTCATTTTAGAGGAAATATCAATGAACTGCTGACATGAAGCTCTATGCCAAAGTACAGAGCATTTCATCCAGGTAAATAAAGGACTGTGGTGTCAGGAATTCTGCAAGGTATTAAAGGTTTATATTATCTCTTCAATGACTACCTCAGAATTAGTCACCATCATAAATTTTGTTTTGTTTTGTAGTGTGTGAGAGCTGATGATCTTGCACAAATGCCCATACTGGTGCTTGAACTCAGGGCTGTGGCACTATCCCTTAAGTTTCTTTTTTACTCAAGGCTGTCATAACAGTTAGCCATAGCTCTGCTCCTTCCTTTTACTGGTAAACTGTAAATAATAGTCTCCTAGACTTTCCTGCCTTTGGCAGGCTTTGAGCTGTGATTCTCAGATCTCAGACTCCTGAATTGCTAGGATTACAGGTGTAAGCCACTGGCATCTGGTTCCAGATGATCCTGTTTTAGAAACTCAGAACAAACACAGCATACGTAATGACCTGTATATTGCAACAAGGCACAAAATATTCATGCTACTAAAGAATAATAAGGACTGGGTAGACAAGCACTTCTTGGAACCTAAAGTGAGAGAATACAAAACAACTGACTGAGGAACAGAGAATGTTAAACTCCTTAAGCTTTTAGGTACTAAAAACCTCAGTTTTGATTTAGCAAGAACATACATCTGAAGCTAAATTGAGTTGACACAGAATTTGGCCCTAATTTATTTTAAAGTGAGCCAGCTAGCCATTTTTACTAATCTGCTTTTCGGATTATGGTCTATTGTCACAGAGATTTGTGTACAATTGGGAAGCTCTTCAACCTGCATGGAGATTTTCCACAATAAACTTAAAAAAATATTGATTCTGTGTGTTTCAGATATTTCAGATATTTTAGAAACACATCAAGGGCTCCTCTTTTGTGCATTAATCAAAAGCATTACACAGATCAATTTGTTATTTTTCTGTATAAATGAGTATGCTTCAGAAAAAAAAAACCCCACAAACACTTATCTTAAAAAAGGTTTCTGCAAAGCATATCAAGATGATCACAAGTTGATTTCACAAAACCAGGCCATCAATTTCATCAAAAGAGACACTAGAGCCTGATTAGAATGCACCTAGGTACCTTACCCTCATCTTGCTCAGGTTTCTGTAGTCATAGTAACTCTCGTACTGCTCTGCAATCTTCCGGCACAGGATGATACCATTCTCCCAGCACTGAACAGAAGAATGAGAGAAATGTAACCATCTACCAGATTCACTTACTTCCACCCAAAGGTCAGCATATTAACTGCATTCAGAGCAAACAGATTAACTCTATCTTTACATCATAGCTTGGAGATAGAATCACTGAAAGTTTAAATGTGAAAACACTGTGCAATTGTTGCGTACATTATTTAAAAAAATCTCTGGAAAGTTGGAAATCATTGTTAGTGACAAGTTATTAGCATATGGTGCAGAAACAGTATTTTCCAGTGTTATTTCAGTATCATCACCTTGAAAATAACTGCAGTGGCACAATGGCTGCATAGATAGATACTCCTAGGCTTTCAGTGCTGACAGGGAATTATCACTGACCCTAAGACCCAGTTATTCATGCTGGGTACTTCAGAGCCCTCACTGGGATAACTTGCACTTGACAATTGTTTGGGTCATTAGACCCTGTCTTAGACCAGCTGGTTGCTCTCAGAAAAAAATGCAAAAGTTCTTTGATCCAGCCTAGCTATCAACAAAATTTTCCTGCAAAAGGTCAGATAGTCAAAATATTTGCCTTTGAGGGTCACAGAATGTTTGTGAGAACAATTCATCCATCTGTTACAGCATGGAAGCAGGTGTAGGCATGAATGACTCCGGCTATATTCTACTCAGAATATATGGACACGAATATCCATATCCACACAATATTACTGTCTCATTTCTTTTCACCCATTTAAAATTGTAAAAGCTATTTGTAGGTTGTAGGCTTTAGAGAGATAGGTAGTGAGCCATGTGTCCTCAAAATCATGGATGTGCCCTTGATCTAGCACAAAACTCCTGAAATGGGCCAATAGTTGAGACTTTGTAACAGCTTGTTATACGTGTGGAAATTTTACAGCAGAAGGGCAAGAAGGCATTTCTTTTGCTGGTAACATAATGTTATATGTAGTTAGTTAAATAATGAGGATATAAAAGAGCAGCTTCCATTTATCAAATTTCAGGCACATCCCATGACATTTTGTAAAAGAATGATAGACACTGGTTAGATTTCATTTTTTTCTGTTTGACCTTTGTGATTAGGAAGGGACATTAAAATTTAAGACATTCCACCAAAGCATCCAAGGGTTCAAATCAAATTAAAAGTGGTGGTCAGGTTCACTTGCTCTTCAGAGAACAGCAACGCAGGCAGAAGTGAAGTAGAGTGATGTATGAAACTGCAGTAAGCCAGCTAGGATTTTTGATCAGCTCACGCATCTATAAGTATATGAAGCATGCCATAAACTTCTTTAAGAAACCCAGCCACCTTTATTTTACCTTAAAACATGTTGAATGGGGCAGAATGCATGCTAATTTGGTGAGTGAAGGTTTTTCTGAGAATAAAATAGCTGAGTGCTACGGTCTCTGTGTTCCTCCACATTCATATGTTGAAATTCTAACTCCCAAGGTGATAGTATTATGGAGAAGGGCTTTTGGAAGGTGATTGGGTCAAGAGGTAGTACCCCATGAATGGCTCTAGTGCCTTTATAAAGAGGAGTGAGAGCCAGGTACCCCTTCTGCCATGTGAGGGAACAAGCTACACTGAATTTGCTGAGAACTTCACCTTGAACTTCTCAGCAACCCCAACCATGAGAAAGAAATTTCTTTCTCTTATATTAGCCACCTACTCTCCATATTTTGGTATATATCAGTCTATCAGTCAAGATCAGTGTTCACAAAAGGCTGGTACAGAGGTCCAATGCATGGAATCTCCTAGTACTTGTCATAACTTAGATTCCCCAGCCCCATGTCAGGCCTACTTAATTAGAATGGCTAGGGCCATGGCCTTGCACTCTGCATTTCAATAGCTCTTGGGTGTTTCCAATGTACATTAGCATGAGGAATCTTGCTTGAGATGGTAGCCATTACACAGTAGAAATAAAAGGAAAGGGATATCAATTTAGTTATCACAGAAGAGATCCAGAGCAGGAGCACTTACTTTGCCTCTATCAAAGTTCTGAATGATGGTGAGGTGCAAGTGCTCCTTGCGCTGCCATTCCGTTTGCATAGGGTAGGTCAGGAACTCCCTGAGCGGCCGGTCAGACCATTCCAGCAGCTCATCATACAACAGGAGGGTGTACGCAGCCTCTGCAAGTCAAAGTGAGGACAGGGATTTTAAGACAGGACCTCAAACCACCTCTCTTTAAATGGGACCAATGTTTAGCTAAACTGGAGAACACGTTATATCCCAAATTTTGTTACATTGTATATATAAAGAATGTCCAGAATCTATGCAAGAACAGGCTAGTGAATAGCGATTTCTCTGTGATGAAATTATAGAGATCTATGTTTAACCTTTTAGTTCTTAGCATTTAAAAAGAAATCCCCCCCCCCATACTCTCCATTTCTTAAGGGTCTAAGACACATGCTCAAGGATATCTTATTGTATCTGGCTCAATGATAAGTGTGTGTGGGGCATGCCTTTGTTAGAAAAATTCATAAGCGAGCTCCTCAGGAACTATGACACGTTGAATAGGATATACTTAGAAAACAAAAATTAACAGCACCTAGATTCTTCAGTGCATAAAGGGCTATTTTTCAACTGGTATTGGGGAAGGAGATGTCATGCACAATACAGTCAGAATTTGTGAGGGCCAAAGAAGCCAGAAAAGAGCAGTGAAAAAACCAAAAACAAATCCCGTCCTCCTTCCCATACAAAAACAAAAATGAAAACAAAAAAGAAACAGTCTTCTCCTAGCCTAGGGATGAGATGATGGAGGGGCTGGATGAGGAGTGTGTGCGTGGAAGAATGGGGAGGAAAATGAGAGGAGGCTGTGCAAGCATGTGGGCTGTGGGAGAAGATTCTCTCACAGAGTTCAGCAAGGCTACTGAAATCATTACATGCTCGTGTAGCTGGATTTCATACAGAAATAAGCAACAGGTTGATATTCTGTATACAGACAAGGAGAAATGGTGGCTTAGGAACTTAGTTTAGTTAACAGATCAGACAGTGAAATTTCATAGACTACTTGACATTCTCCAAATAAATATGGATGGACAGATCAAGAATAGAAACCAAAATTCACTGCCCTTGATGAAGGACTGTTAATTTTTTCCATTAGCCATGTTATTGTCAACTCATTCTCTAAACTGAAGAAAATGGACCAACCCTTAAGTTATTAAAATCCATGTAAATATAACACCATATGCCTCTTAAAAGATGCAAGATTTGCTCTTAACATAATATCAGTACACAGCAAATCTTCATTTATCTGTCTTAAGGCTAACTACATATAAAGTTTGAAAGTACTGTGTTCAGTTCAAATACTATCATTCGGCCTTCACCACATATAAAATAGTGAAATAAGAAAGACCAGGCTACCTATCACTTTGATCTTGTCTAATAAGTATAGAAGTATCATGAGACAAGGTTTCTAGCCTTTTTAGTCTCTTAATAATTACCTTCGGTAAGCTCCAACAATCACCTGGCTTTGATAATTTTTTCCAATGTTTTCCTAACCAACCAGCAGTCTCTTATGTCTCTCCTTTTATTTGCACTCTATTACCAATGGACTCTTCGTTTGATGCAAATAGTCATGTTATTTTCCTGATCAAAACCAGTCAATAACTCTCAGTAGCCAAAACAATAAATTTAGGCTTCCTAAGAGAGAAAGCATTGCTCATTATATAGTTCTCCTTCTGCGTGGTTTAGGTAAGAAGTAGGTGAAGTTGTTTTTAAGAAGTTGGGTACAGGGTCTCATGCCTGTGATTTCTACCTATTTAGGAGGCTGAGATACGATTGAATCTACATGAAGGATTAGAGTCACATGAATCTAGGAGTTTCATATCAAATTATCCAGCAAAAAATGTGGAGGTGTGGCCCAAGTGGTAGAATTTTATTTATTGAAAAAGGCAAGCAAGAGCACGAGAGCCTGAGTTCAAGCCCCAATACCAGTCCCCTGCCCTCCCAAGAAAGAATTCTCAGTAGTTCCAGCTCTTATAGTTAGAGTCCCGGGGTTCCACCATCAGCTATTAAGGAAATAAGTTAGATGCACACTGATCCACACACAGCTGGGCCCACAGAGATGGGAATGCCTTTGGTGGCACTTCCTTGTGGGGCCTGAATGTCAGAGGAACAGAGATATTTTGTGATAAAAGTGTCAGCTACCTGGTAAATGAGGAAACGGCTAAAGCCCCATAATGGAGGTCACCATGGAAAATTCTCCAAGACTTACAATAAACAGATCATCAGAGGTGTGCCATATTTTGAACAGCCTTCTAGCTTTCTCAAACATCTAAGATGAAATTCTCCTGTTTAATTTCTTACCTATCTTTGTAATCTATGCTGATCACCTAAGAAAACCTCCTGTGTGTCTTTGCTCTCTCCTACACACTTTCTTCTGTTCGTTTGTTTTTGTGGGTCATGGGGCTTGAACTCTGGGCTTGGGCATCGTTCCTCAGCTCTTCAGCTCAAGGTTAACGCTCTACCACTTGAGCCACAACGCCACTTCTGGTTTTCTGGTGGTTTATTGGAGATAAGAGTCTCATGGATTTTCCTGCCTGGGCTGGCTTTGAATTGTGATCCTCAGATCTCAGCCTCCTGAGTAGCTAGGATTACAGGCATGAGCCACTGGTGCCAGGTTACATACACTTTCTTCCGGTCCTCTGCTTCCCTCACAGCCCATGCAGATTCCCAGCTGCCTCCCCAGCTTGTTTCTTCAAGCCTTTCTCCCTTAGCTGCCAAGTAACTCAAGTAAGTTCTCATCATGCCTCTTGAATTTCTTTTGTGTCTCGCCTCAGCAACTGTGCACTCAAAGGAATCTAGAGATTAACTGGTCATTTCACAGGATTAAGAAGACAAAGCAGTGCCCTTCCCCTCACTCCTCTCAGGAGTAATTTAAAGGATCATGAAAGTCAGATTTGCATACAGAGGATGATGGTGGCTGCCAGACCAGGGGGAAGAGGCAGTTTTCAGTTTGGGAAGATGAACAAGTTCTGGAGGTAGATGGTGGTAAGGGTTATACAACAAATTATACTTTAATGATTTTCCAATAATGCCTTGTCCTTGGAAGGCCCAGGGATGGCTGGGATGGCAGGTATGAGTGAGATGCCCTTGGGAGTCTGGCAGGTTGTCAGAAGAAGCTGACAAATAACTAAATGGTGGCAGGGGAGAGGTAAGAAGACAAATAACAATCACTTCAGAATGTAATTTGGAAACATGAGGATATATCTGGGAGATGTAGTTTATGTAGATGAGTCTGTGGAAAGATTTTATTAAATGAAAGCAAACACACAACGAGCTGTGATACTGATCTTCAGCAAATTAATGTTAGAAATGTTCATTGTAGTACTTTTTGCTTATTCTTCTATGTTTGTAGAAGACAGTATATATGGAATAAAGATTTCTGGGAGACCTTTTAAAAAGTGTATAATTTTACACATAAATCATTGCATTAGTTTGAGCAGTATGCAGTGAAGACATTCATGAAAAAAAGAAAAGAGGAGAGTGGAGATGGATGAAGAATGGGAGACAGTATTACACAAGGCTGGAAAAGGGTTGACTCATTTCAAAAGATAGAAAAGTTTTCCCCCAAATTTCACTTTTTTCAAGGACACACGCAGACACAAATGAGGACGTGGGAGAGGAAGCAAATATCATAAGAAAAAGCACCTTAATGCCATTTTGGGGACACAAAACTATATGCTGAGTAAATAAAGAGATCTATTTCTAAACTATCAGATAAATCTGGACCTTGTTTCAGAGGATCAAAATATATCTGTTCCATATTTGGAGTAGCCTGTCCTTGGTTCTTCTCTCATTTCTTATTTTATGGTCTTTAAAATGAAACAAGCCTAGTAGAGGTTGTTTCCTTACTGATTTAGGATTTATCCATCTTGAAGGAAAACTGGTGTGAAAATTTACTTAATGTCTGAATTCACGATTGATATTTAGCTCTCACATTTCTAGGCACTATTTCAAAAAATTCTGACTAGAAAACTGAGGACTAGAAAACATTATTTCTCTCCTCAGAAACTTACTCTTTTACTGGAAATCATCAATTTGTCTACCTACACACATATGCATGCATAGTGCACATACACATATATCTTATATAAAATATAGCTATAATAAACTGATATATTGCTAAGTGTTTTAATGGAAATTAGAGAAAATCTAATGAGGAAAAAGAGATGGAAAGGTCACTTCAGCGCATGTTAAAGAAGAAGGGTGTTAGCTGTACAGCTCTGAGGAAAAGAAAAAGAAGAGTATAGCAGGATGGGTGAAGAGTTCAAGGAAAAGCTGTAAAGGAATAGGTCCTGAAGGATGGAAAGAAGGTACGTGGGAAGTGATGTTGAAGAGACACATATTGGTGCAAATATGATAGACTTTCAGTGAAGAATTAAAACTTCACTTTGTAGAATAAACTGACAATATAGTTTTATCTAGAGAAGGAATTGGGAACTTTTTCTTAAGGGCCAGACATGATATAACTAGGTTCATTGTAAGACTGTAGTTATTTCAGGCTGATCTCAACCACTCAGTTTTTTTCCCCCATAGCACAGAGGTACCCACAGATAATACATGAGCGAGCCGGCACAGCTGAGTTCTAATAAGACTTTCATTAAGAAGCAAGTGGCTGGTCTGAAGGTTGTAGTTTGCTGACCCCTGCTCTAAGAATTACAGGTAACAGTTAGGAGGGAGTTCAGGCAAAAGACAATGAAGGTCACTGAGGCAGTAAAAGTGGGAACGATAAAAAGAAATTATTTGAGAGACTTTTTAGGAAATAAAATATGAGATTCTGTAGATTCTCAGGAGCAACTACTTGATGGAAGTTGGGAAAAGCTAGGCTCAGGGACAGTATCCCAGTCTCCACCCTGAGCAAACAGTGATGATACTGAGACTGTGGAGCCACAGCTACAGGCAGATTTAAATTCTGGGAGCCATTACAGAAATAGTTTCCCTGGAAGAGTATGTGACAAAAGCCTATGATTTATAATTCCTAAAGCCAATGAACGGGCTCTGGTTGGAATGGAGTAAATACATTCCACTCTATCTTACCAGTGATTACATTTAAATACTCTTGACAGACTATACAAGGCAAATACTGGAGGAAGCCAAAAAATAAAGATGACAAAATAGGAAAACCGACACTTAGAGAATAAAGTATTGAGTTGTTTGTTTTTATTTTTTTTTTTTGCCTTATTTATCTCTGGTCTTAAAAAGTTTTCTATCACCTGGAACTGCACATGGAAACAAGATAGAAGAGATCCAATAAAAGCTCTTCTAGTCAGGAAAGTGGATAGAGGGCTCCTATGGGGTCGTTATTTTCTCCTCTGGTTTCTCCCTGAGCGGATCCCAGGCACAGAGTTATGATCAGTGGTGGCAGTGAGAGAAACGGCATTGGTAGCAGTCACTCCTGAAGGCTTCTTTCTCTACATGGGCCTCAGCAGACCATTTGCAGGGCGCCTATCAAAGCATGGAGAAGGTTGAGCCTTGGCTTCCAAACCAAACTGACAATAGAATCATAACCTTTAGAAGGTGGTGCAGGACTTGAGGTCTGAACCTAACTGGGTTTATTGTTAAAATCGTCAGGCAACAATTCTCTAGATTTGTTAACAGATCCAGAAATTGGTAACATAATACTCAACAGGTCCAGGATGTAATCCAAAATTACTTGACATTCAAAAAACTAGGAAGCTAAATAACTCTCAAAAGGAAAAGGCAATTAACAAATGCCAACCCAAAGATGACTCACACATTGGAACTGTCAACACTGGCTATGAAGTATCTATTATAACCAGGTTCCATGTAGTAGAGGTGAACACTTTTTAATGACTGAAAGGATAGAAAGTCTTTGTAATGAAATTGAAGCTATAAAAAGAAATTAACCAAATGGGAAATTTAGAAGTGGATGATTTAATAACAAAAACAAAAATTTTACTGATTTACTAGAGATGACAGAAGACAACCAATGGACTTAAAAATATGAATCAGTAAAAATTATCCAGTCTGAATAATAGAAGAAAGCTGGAGAGAAAATGAACAGAACCTCAGGAACCTATAAGACAAATATTACAACTATTAAGAATAACAAAAATATTTCCAAGTATTTGCCGGTATCAAAAATTAAAAAATGACTAATTATACATGCCATTGTAGTCCCAAAAGAGAAGGCCTAGGGTGGAAATCATATTGAGAAACCCAAACAAGGTTAAACTTTTGCAAACCCAAACAGGTTAAACTTGGATGAAAGAAAACAATGTCCATACATATAATAATCAATCCACTGAAAATCAAAGATAGATTCTTTTTTTCTTTGTATCAGTCCTGGGGCTTGAACACAAGGCCTGCACACTGTCCCTGAGCCTTTTTTTTGCTCAAAGCTAACACTCAACCACTTGAGCCACAGCAGCTCCACTTCCAGTTTTTTTTTGTTGTTGTTTGTTTTGTTTTGTTTTAGTAGGCATTTGAGAATTAAAGAGTCTCACAGACTTTCCTGCCCAGGCTGGCTTTAAATCATGATTCGCAGGTCTTAGCCTTCTGAGTAACAAAGATTATAGGTATGAGCCACTAGTGCCTGGCCCCAATGACACATTCTTGAAGGCAAGCAGAAAACAGACACATTCTACAACAGATTAATGCATAGGATTACATATTTCTCATCAGAAACAGAGGACAGAAGACAATGGAACAAAAATTTTCAAGTACCAAAACAGAAGAACTATTCACTTAAAATCTTGTATTTGGAAAATACATTTTGGGGATGATAGTATGCCATATTTATACCTGGAACAGCTCCCTAAAGCTCATGTGTTAAAGGCTTAGGCCCCACTTTGGTAGTATTGGGAAGCAGTAGGAACTTGCAGAGATGGGGCTGGTGGAAAGTTTCAGGCCACTTGAGGCTGCTCAAAGAAAATTGTGGGAACCTCTCCTTTTCCTTTCTCATGTGTCCTGACCATGGCATGAATGGTTCTACTTTACTAAGAACTCCCTGCCATCACGTGGCTGCCTTAACCCAGGCCCTAAAGCAACATGACTAATCAATTATGGACTGTAATCTCTAAAATTAGGGGCCCAAAATAACAACAGCCATGCTGTTACAGTAACCTAAAGCTAACTAATACAAAGGTACAAGAAAGACACTCTCAGGTGAAGGAAAAGCAGAATTCTTCATCACTGGGTTTGCTCTAAGAGAATTACTAAATCATGCTCTTTGGGCAGAAAGAAAAAGATAGAAATGGAAAGCATCTGAAATGGAGAATGAGTAACCAAAGTGGCCAATATCTGAGTAAACATAATAAAGTATTTTTAAATTCTTTCAGGTCAGCATGAATGATGAAAGCAAAAATGATGCCATTGTTTGATCATTTTCAATATGGGTAGAAGTGGCAATATGGGATACAGGGCAACACCAAGGGAAGGACATTGGGATGTACATGGTTGTAAAATTCCCATACTGAACTTGAAGTAAATAACTAGCTAAGACTATAAAAAGTTAGGTGTGCATTTTTGTAATCCCATATAAAAAAATATGCAAAGTAATAGAATAAAAAATTGGAGTACTTACTAAGGTGCAAATAAAAATAGATTTCAGTTTTAAAAAGCAGAAATACTTCAATCTCAGCACTAACTACATAAAACAGAGGAGATACTATGGTTAATAACATCCATATATACCCCCCTACCCCCAGTCTCAGCTGAGGATAGAATTACCTGTAAAGTTCTGCGCCTTGAGATGTAGATCATAGAGTTTGTGGATGTAGCGTATATACATCTCTTCCTTGTTCAGTTCAGTTTTATAGAAATTCTGTAAAAAAAAAAATGTAAAAATAAACAACAAATTACAAAATAGTTGGGTCTATGAATATTTTCCTTTTATTTTGTTGAGCCAGGAGACATAAAGCATTGTTTCACGTGAATACCTTTTTATAACTAAAATAAGGAGGCTCAGTGACATTTCCCACTGAATACACACTTAACAATTCTCTAGAAATTACTGAATAAGTGGGCATCTGGGATTATAAATGCTGATACTGATCTTTTTCCTTTCTTTTTTCCTCTTTTTTTTGGGGTGGGGAGGGGAGGGTCACACTATGCACCTGGCTTTCTGAAAGTCATCAACTTCCTGCCTCTAACTTCTGAGTGCTGGTACCATAGGCATGCACCAAGATGCTAGGCTGTGTGTTTGTGTGTATGTGTGTGTTCGCTACTTTGAATTATTTTTTGTTAACTTTCATAGTCAATGGTATAGCCTATACATTTAATAAATATTTAACAGGGCTGGGCAGGTGGCTCAATGGTAGAGTGCTTGCCTTACATTCATGAGGCCCTGAGTCAATTCCTGAGTACCACATAAGCAGAAAAAGCTGAAAGTGGCACTGTGGCTCAAGTGGTAGCATGCTCGCCAACAAAAAATATGTAACAGATTAACTGTTCATTCAATATGCTGACTGAAACTCAAAGGACAGTTTCTTTTGTTTTTACATTTCAAATATCTATTTACCCTTATAAAAAGGTCTTGGTTAAGTGTTAATGGCAAATGCCTGTAATCCTAGGTACACAGGAAACTGAGATCTGGAGTATTACAGTTTGATCTTTTTTGCCCAGTCAGAAAAGTTTAAAGATTTGTATCTTCAATTACCAGCAAAATGGTGGACTGGAGGTGTGGTTCAAGTAGTGGGGTGCCAGATGTGAGCAAGTAAGCTGAGAGAAAGGGAGAGGTCATAAAATGAAGCAGTCATACTTGTGTGTGTGTGTGTGTGTGTGTGTGTGTGCGCACATGAGCACATACATGATCTCTTAGGATGTGAAAGATAATGTAAAATAAATGAAAATTCTTTATATAATTAAGATATAATTATGCATTTCTTACTTGTGTTAGTATTTAAATGTTTCCAGTTTATATCATATATATATATATATATGTATAGTTAAATCCAGGTCATGTCTATAAACTGAGATAATCAGGAAGCTGAGATCTGAGGACCACGGTTCAAAGACAGCTCAGGCAGGAAAGTCTGTGTGAGACTCTTATCTCCAATAAACTACTCAGGAAGAGTGAGAAGTAGTGCTAAGGCTCAAGTGGAAGAATGCTAGCCTTGAGCAAAAGAAGCTCAGAGACAATGCCCATGCCCTGAGTTCAAGCCCATGACCTACACACACACACATACACACACACACACACACACAGAGTGAAAGGAAGGAAGGAAGGAAGGAAGGAAGAAGGAAAGAAAGAAAGAAAGAAAAGAAAAAGTCTAGGAGTCTAGGTCTTACTAAACTTCTCTAAGTTATTGTAACAATTGTTATCAAAAACTCAACTTTTCCTTACCTGGTTATCAACATTAGCATTTTAAAGGCCTACTTTACAAGCATCCACATCTGTTCCTTCACTTACACTATGAAGTACATTAGCCCTCACTGAATTTAGGAAACACTGGAATAAATGGAAATGGAACAAGATTCCAGCAAAAGTATGATGCTGGAAATATGATCCAACTAGGCTACGTTCAGTGAGCAGATCATATACATAGTGAAATCCCTACTTACTACACTTCAACTGCTACTTTTATCATTGTTGTTTTGATGAAGCTACTCTGTATGTAGATGAAGGAAAATGAGTAATGACTAGAAGGAAGAATAAAACTGCTGACTTGGAGGACTAGTAGATTTTTAAGCAGGAGGGGGAGGGAGGTGCACGGGGACAGAAGGAGAAAGAGCCAGAAATTCTATGTTACTAAAACTGATTAGTTAGACAAGGCTTTAATAGTGGACCAACTAGCCAATGTGGCTCTTTAAATTGTTCTTGGACTTGAAACTTGATGACCTTCGACAATATATCTTCCCATTATCTAACTGGTGTCCATTTTTCAGCCTGAGGATTTTTCTAATTCGGAGACACTTACACTAATTTGAAAACATGGAAGTATTTTTTGCCGCAGTTGAGGGAATAAGTGGGGATGGGAGGGATTAGGGAAAACGATGAAAGGGGTGATATTGATTACATGCACTGTACTTATAACCTGACATGCTGGATAGTAACCCTTTTGTGCAATTATTTAAAGACAATAAAAAAAATAAAAAAACCATTTTTCCCAATTCATATCATTGTTCCCCTCCTTTTCTTTTGTATCTTATAGATTTTGGCATTCTTTAAAAAGCTAAGTAAATAATGCTATTCAAATCTCTCTCATTAAAACCAAAATCATTTTAATTAGCAAGAATTGTTGTACCATAAACATAGTCTAACAACACCACAGCAGGTTTTTACATTATTAAAGGATGATTTGCTCTAATAGTTTTCTGGTAAGAGAACAAAAATAAGCGATTACTCTATAAATGAATAGCTCTCTCCACCCCCAAAAAAACAACCCCCCCCAAAAAGCCACAAAACTCTCTCCAGTCAGCAGATAAGAGTCACATATGTCAGGCAAAACTTGTGACACAAAGAACAAGAAAAATTACATTTCCTAGTATTAGTCATGTCAAATATTATGCATTCTTACCATTTTAACACTAGTGTTTAGCTCTAATCTTAGAAGGAAAGCCAGAGGTCTCTTGAAGAGGATCTGGAACTGATCTCAGAGGAAGTGAATAGTTGAAGAGAACCATATTGCTGCTAGAAAACATTAAGTACTTTCCATATGGAGTAGGAGCTAAGAAGATTAGCTTCTAAGTGATGTGTCTGGTCCCTTAATAAGTATTCTTATGCTGGCTTGAAATCAAAACAGCTTTTGAAATGTTAACATCTCTACAAGGACTATTCTTGGTCATTGCATAGTTACCAGTATATATTCTTGTCTTTAGTGATTAGGGATGGGGGCCACTGATTTTATGGACTCTTTAGCTTATTCCTACTAGAGAGAAAATGCATTTAGGGCAATGTATAAAGCCTTTCACCCAAGGAAATGGTCTCTTCTTTTGTATCAGTTGAAGAGATGAACCTAATAAAGTGCCTTAAGACCTGTTTACCTCTAAATAGAAAGTACCTGGGAAATAAAGTGAGAACAGTGGAAGAAGATCTCTTTGGAAAAAGATAAAGGTTTTGCTTTGAGGGTGTTTCTGAGCCTTTCTGCCTGGAGTTGCGGCACAGCCAGGGTTAAGGATGCAAACTAAAGTTTACAGAGCTGTCCTCCCCAAATACTGTCATGAAAGCAAAGATGTAGTAAACAAACAAATAAACAAACAATTCAGGCTAAGATTCTTGATTGTGATGAAAGACTTAGGAAGCAGGAAGTGGGGGAAACATGAAGGGAGACTGCACAGAAGAATCGACTGCATTCAAGTTTTAGCTACTGCTAAGAGAAGGTGCATAAGCTGATGTGGTGAGTTTAGGCTGCTGGCCTGAAGAGGTCACTATTGGGTCTAATGACAAAAGCTATACAAGAAAATGCATAAAATATGAACAAGATCAGCCTGATTGAAGATGCTCAGCTCTATTTTTAAGGATTGATACTGGAGGTGGAGATGTAATAATTAAACCAAAATGAGAAGGAAGATGTGGGTGTGGAAAAGGAGGATAAGAGGCATGCACTCAAGAAATATAAAACAGTATAGCAAAAAACCTAGAGAAATAAAATGACAGTTACAGGAAAGTGAAAGTTTTGAGTCAGGTGTGGTGGTGCAGTCCTATAGTACCAGATACCTGGAGAGGCAGGAGGACAGACAGAGTTTGAGACTAGGCTGGCCAACGGCAGCAGTGAGAGTCAATTTCAAAAACAAAATAAGGGGCTGGTGAAGTAGCTCAAGTGGTAGAGTACCTGTGTAGCAAGCACAAGCCTTGAGTTTGAACCTCAGTAGTGTAAAAAGAAAATAGTATCTAGGACTAGAGGCATGACTCAAATAGTAGAGCATCAGCCATGAGCAAAAAAGCTGTGTGTGAGACCTTGAGTTTAAGCCTCATCACTGGCACAAAATCTAAAATAAATATGCAGGTTTAAAGGAACAGTTCAAGTGGTAGAGGGCTTGCCTAGTGTGTGCAAGGCCTGGATTTAGTCCCAGCAGTACTTGTGTGCATATATGCACGTGCATGCGTATGCATGTGCCTGTAAATCCACACACCAAAAAGAAAAAGAAAAAGAAAAAAAGAGACAGTAAGCTTTGAAGAAGGATTAAAAGAACCAACAAACAAAGCAGAAAGCCTGAAATCAATGAGCAATGACAAGACTGAATTAAAGCATGGGGCAGAGAGGACAAGGCAGCATGTGAAGGATTCACATGACCAGACTAAGAATGAGAACAAGGACAAGGGCTTAGACTGCATGGTGAGGATTCATCTATCCTGACAGATGACAGATGTATGAAAAAGAAGCCAGGACAGTCACAAAGTCAGAACTGGAAACAGTCACTGCAAATCTGATTTAAAGAAATTGTCTAATTCATTTTTTTACTCTACATTAAAATATGAAATATAAATGCCTAAATGTATGATTCTTTTTGCTATTTTTTTTCCCTGTGTAAAAATGCCATTCTAATCTGAAAAATTAGGTGGATGTCATTTTATATAAATGTTGGATAATTCTGGTTTAGACAGTTTTTCTTACATGATATTTAATTTTATTCTCCTGGCACGGTGATAAATTATATGGTCATCCTGGTTATAATGCGAATTGGTAACAATAGTGCTATGATGAATTTGATTTGCAAAGAGGTAAGAGAGTGAAAATTAGTGCGTTAAACAGAAAAATGTCATTGGTTCACAAAAGCAAATACCATTACTGTTTATTAAAATGTAGAATGATTATAGTCCTGTGCAAAAGGAAAAGGGGAGGGACAGAGAACTTGTCAGTGGAGCCAAAGGATTTCTGTCTGCGAAAACCGTGTGTGTTCCTGGAAGAGCCACAGAACTCTGAAGCGGGGGGGGGGGGGGGGGGGGGGGGGGGGCAAGGTAACAGGAAAAGTTCGGTGGGACTCATGGTCCCATGGAGTTCTGGGCTACAGCTGCCCAAACGTAACAGTACGTTCTGCAATGTTCAGAGCTGAGGATTTTCTGGGCTCTCATTCAACCTGAAGCTGCGTTTCTTTTAAAAACATTTCTGAACTCTTCTAAGAAACATCCAGAAAAAAAAAAAAAAAAGAAAGAAAGCATGTGGCAGATTTAAAAACAACCAACCAATCATAATTTTTTGAAAAACAAAGGTTAGGGTAAACGGAGGACAGGGGGAACAGGTACTAACCAGAAGGCTAACTGTGCAGCCAATCTTTTTGCCATCTACCTCTCCCATTTTCATGCAGTCCCTAAAAACAAAAGGAAACAAACAAACAAAAAAGCCATAGTCAGAATGTAGAATTTCCCTCCTAGGGGAGAAAACAGTTTGTTCATTGCAGATATGGAGGAATGCTGTTGAGACCAGAAGCAATTTGTAAGTGTTAGCTCTAAAAGGCTAGGGAGTCAGAAACTCCTGAGCAGCACTTTCTGCTGAGACTTTCGCTGGCATACACATCAACAATGTGTTTCCTCTCCATGGACAGGGGCTCTGGGGGCAAGTGGAGTGAATGCATATCACCCACATCCTAACCGGGTAATGGGGTATGAAGAGAGTCATCCGTATGCTTGCTTATTCATCCAACCTTCTTTTAAAACCAAGAACAGCAAGGTGATAGAGAATTCTCTATTACATTGCTCTCACTCCAAAATGGATCAAGTCTATTATCTTCAACCTAAAGTGCAACAACCACAGAAGATTTTCTTGTGGGAGAGTTGGACAACAACAAAATTTACTTTTCTTTTTTTGAAAGGACTGTCAGGAACTCAGTGCTCTCTCAACACACCGAGACTTTAAATTTGAAGGGTCTATCAAAAAAAAAAAAAAGAAACAGAACAAAACAAAAATAAAGCTCCAAGTAAAAACTCAACTAGTTAATTAGAAGTCCAGAGGCTGACAAACAATTCGTGAACTAACTCAAGTGGAATGTGGACTATATTCTATTTGGTTTCTAACTGAAGTACAGCAGATTAGATGGGACTTGGCTTACCTGTAATCTAACAACCTCTCCATTAGCCGAGTTACAGTGGCAATTAATGAAACGCCACTCTCTCTCCATGTTTCCCGCTCAATTTTCTTTAGTAGACTGGAAAAGAAAGAACCCAAGGCATTTTTAACATTTATTTTTATCAGTCACCATGACAACCATTTTACTTTCATCAGTACCTTAAATGCCTTAGCAACCACTGCAACATCTCACAAGTAGCACAATTTGCAAACAATGTCTTACCTAGGATAGGGACCAAACAGTGGAATTCTAATCCAGGAAGCATTGACAAAGCAAATTGATTATCAGATTATCCAGGTCATAAAATAGGAATACATACATGCAATCACATTTTCAGACTATACAAGCACCTCACAGCTAAGACATTTCCTAGCTTCTCTGTGAGGATGAAGAGACTTGCGCGTTACCACTTCAAATAACACTGCAAAAATTGAAAACGAGAGTACCTCCAAGTTTACTTTTAAGTAAAATCTTGCTTTATTCCCCTAAAAATCTTTTCCTACCTCTCAGTGGAATGCATCTTCATCCAAGCAATTTTACTGCAATGCAACTGCTACAGGAAAATCCTTGTACAGACGGTATGACGTTTTGCGTTTTTCCCTTTCACTTAACATTTGCCCACTCAATACATATTGTACTATCTGTGCGCTCCCTCAATGATTTCATTCATTTTGTCATTAATCACAGAGGATTTTCTAAGTGGTTGTTACAGCACATGGATGACAAGCACGGAGCCACAGACCTCCTCCTACATTTCCCCTAATCCTAAACACCTTGGAGCAGAACAGCAGCACTCTGTAAACACACAATAATAGCAATCATAATAACTGAGGATCCGTTTTGACTTCCACTTCCCCTTCTCAGCAAATTAACACTGTTCTTGGCAATGGCTTCAGACTGAAGATAAAAGATAAAGATATGAAAAATAAAAGATAAAAGAATGTAAGCATGGCAAATCAGAGTACTTTCCTATCCCTCTGAATTTAATGATCATCATCCCTGTCTAAAATCTTGTTTCCCTGTCATCTCAGTTTCAGAAATAAGACCGACAGAAAACATATCTTACAAGCACAATTTCAGTATATCTTACTTGTACTTGGAAAAAAAGAGTAAATATAAAGGGGAAAAAAGCAATTTTTGCCAAAGCTGTCTTTAATCTGTGGCTATGTTCTCTCCCAACTTTTTTTTCTCCACCTCTCCCCTCCCCCCATTTTCTTGCTACTGTCCCTCTAGTCCTTGGTCTCCTTTCTAGACTCTTATCTTTTGCTTCTGCATCTCTGGTCAATTCTTTTTCAGATGGATTAGAAACTGTTTCTTGGATTAAGGGAAGAGGGTGGGGCAGAGAATACATACAGGATGGTACTTGCCCTGACTAATCCTCCAGGGGAAGGCCCCTAAGTTTGTTTAAATGTGTTTTCTTTTGAAACAAAACAAAACAAAGCCTCAGAACAACACCTGTTTCAAGCATAAGTGGCAAACTGGTATTGAGAACCAAGTTGAGAGCTAAGTTCTCAAGTGAAAATTTGCCTGCCAAAGCAATGCAGAATGATGTAGGAATTTCTCCAAGTGACAGCCCACACCTCTTACACTTAGAGACTAAAAGAAAAAAAGAAAAAGAAAAAAGTTGGTTAAGTAATAATTCTAAAAATACATAGAGACTTCCTTTATGAGTTTCAGTAATTTGCACAGGTTCCCAATGTAGTCAGGATACAGAGCTATATCATCCTTTTCTAAGAGGCAAAGCTCTGCATAGCCTCTATCCCTGACTGCAATGGAGACCAAATGTTAGGGCTCAATCTAGAACCCAGTTCATCTGCATTCTTGGCCAGGCTGTTTTCTTCTGCTGGAAACTGCTCTACATCCTAGTTCATCTGATGAGAAGAGACTATTAGCAATCATAGAAGAATGGTATTAGATAGCACTGGTGAAGTTGGGTATTTTCAGCTGGTCTATAATCATGGCCCATGGGACCCCATCTGGGAGAAGTAAGAAGCAGTTTCTCCTTGCTGACTGATCAGACTGCTCTGGCAAATGCAAAGGGACTCCAACACACTGGGGAGGATAAACCATGGGGCTGTGGGATCACACCACTCATCAGGCTTTTACTCCACAAAGGAAATGGAAGTGGACAGTGGGTAAGGCATAATTTTTCTGTCTTTCCCTGTATCCTGCCAGGATTATGCTGAGACCATCATCTGAAATATAAACCTCTATCTGTGTATACTCAGAGAGAGAAAGAGAGAAAGAGAGAGAGAGAGAGAAAGAGAGACAGACAGACAGACAGAGACAGACAGAGACAGAGAGACAGAGAGAGACAGAGACAGAGACAGAGAGACAGAGGGAGAGAGACAGAGATAGGTGAGGTGGAGGGAGACACTAAAAGTATGATGTTTATATATAGCAAATCCGCTGTCACCAAGCAGAAAATAAATGGGACTATGAAGTAAGAAATCCCAAATAATTTGGTTGGAGTCTTACTGAATTAGATAAAGCAGAGGAAAGAACTGTGATGGCTGGCTGTTGCTTTTTAGGTCCCTCAAGACCATATGTAGCCCAACTGTGTGCTGCATTCCAGTCCACACAAATGCCTAGCACAGGAGGAGCTCAGCAAGTAAAACAGAGGAGGGAACCAGGAGCCAAGTAAAGCAGAATTTATTCTGATGATGCATTTTAGATATTTCTCATTGTGGTCTATGATCCACAATTTATTGAAATCAATAAATCCAGCAGGTGCCTGTGGCTCATGTTTGTAATCCTAGCTACTCAGGAGCCTGAGATCTAAAGATGATAGTTCAAAGCCAGACTGGGTAGGAAAGTCCATGATACTGTTTATCTCCAATAAACTACCAAAAAAGACAGAAGTGGTAGAACACTAACTCTGAGCAAAAAAGAAAGAAAAAGAAAAAAAAGAAGCTCAGGGACAGCACTCAAACCCCAAGACCAACGAAAAGAAAACAAGCAACAACAAAACCCCAGTAAAGTCTACTAACTTCAAAAGAAGGTAATATGAGTAAATGAAAATAATGTTGAGAATTAGTAAAGATGAGTTCTTAGGAAGGAAGGTACTATATAAGCTTCCACTACATTATAGGCGCAGCAAGCAAGTTACTTTCAGGTACTGAACAATCTTTGAGAAATTTGAAACATGAATTACTGAGAACAAATGAGAATCTGTACCATAATGCCATGTGTTCCCAATTCATAATGTGTGCAGTGACTCATTGTGGCTACACTAATTCACTGTGATTTCTATTGTCAAAAAATCTTTTTTTTATAGTTAGATTTTCACTTTCTTTAATGAGTCCAAATAGAAATGATACTGAATTATCACTTTAAATTTGACTTATTCCCAATGTTCTGATTACAAAAGCAGGAGAGAAAATATCTATATTAGCAATTCTGATAATATTCTGAAAATCAACAAAATAAAAATCTTTGTTGAATTGAATCGAGACTCTTAAAATAGTCCTAATTACAGAGGCTTAATATCTTAATTACTAGTTTGATTCTAGTGTCAAGGTGCATCTTCTCTTTCAAAGTCTTATTTATACACAAGCAATCCAAATTGTATGCTATCAGGCTTTTATTAAAGTAGATAAGAGGCACTCTTAGAACTATGCATGTATTTATTAATCTTGTGAATTTACTATAAATAATTAATCACAGATCTCAAGAGGTTCATTTCACTGAGTGCTTTCTCATTTTAGTTCTTTGTTCAAACCAAGGACTAGTAACTGAAATGAAAGCAGTTCTCAAAAGCAATTTATTATATTGGATAAGGTTTTAATCAGAATTCTTGGTAAACTCCAGCTGTCATGAAAGACAGATGCTTTGTACACAAGAATGAACAAGATCCTCGTGAATAATTATTAAAAGTTCTGGCTTAATTACATATCAGAAAAAATGGTGCTGTTCATGGTTTAGCACAAAGAACATTTTTTATCACCCACTACCACCACATGAAATCTCCATACCCCTTCCTGGCTTTTCCTTTCAATATAATTTTTCTGAAAGCTTTAAGAACAATTTTGAATTAGGCCAGCTCAAGTCTGTCCAACTTACCAGTCATTAATAATAATATTCAAGTCTACCTACTGATATTTGCATGGTTCCAAATTAATGATCTTAAAAGGACAGAATCTTGCATTTGGGCACCAGTACTAACAGTATTAACACATTAATATTTAGTTCTAGGTGATATTTGAGAGCATGAGTACAGACAAAATTATATTTTATAGTAGAAAAATGTGTTGGTGAATGATTTTTGCACTTCTGAAAGAATTGCAAACATTTTCCAAGCTCAATAAGCCAATTCATTTTTTCAAAAAGAAATACTTTTTAAGTATACTAGATTTAAAAATGACAGACCCACAGGAAACTAGAAAGAAAACAGGGGCCAGACGAGAAATCCCACAGCACAAAAGCATTTTGCACAGGTCCTCTGGCCATTTGAAAACAGTGAATGCATACTTGGGTTAAGCAATTCATCCTAAGACTGTGACTAGATTGTACTAGCATGAACAACTTCAAAGTCCTTTTACAAAATGTTGTTATTTCTCTACCTTCCACACAAATCCCAAACACAGAATTTTTCTTGAGAAATCATTTGCTTCTGTGATATTCTAATAAGAAGCACTTACGAAGAAAGTAGCAATGCTGACCACAGGAGATCTACAGCCATGTATTAATTCAAGTGTCAGAGAACAGATTAAAAACTAAGGTAATTTTTTTCCAACAGCAAGTCAGGCAAGTGCTGAATACAAGTTATATCATAATGCTACTTAGAATCATTATCTGGCAGCAATGAGCTTTTTCTTAAACTTACTAGGCATGAAAAGAGTGAAATTTGTTACATAACACAAGTGACCTGTCCTGATCAGAGATTAAAATAAAGAGACATGTCTAATCATCAACATAATAAGATCCGTTAGGCAATTATCTTTTATTTCACACTTCACAAAGACAAAGCATTCCTTTGAGACCTAAGCTGTTTCTGTGGTTTGCAGCTACATCGGTGAAGAGTGACTCAGTACTGATGCCCAGCCCCCAGAACAAAATCAACTTGAGATAATACATTACTCACATACTGTTGAAGAGCTCACGATAGGTCTCGTCACCTTTGCCTTCTGACATCAGGCTGTCCAGTTTGTCAATCAGCTTGGCTTCCACCTGAAACATACCCAAGTATTACTTTCTTTTTCCTCCCCTTTTCAAATCAAGTAGGATTTCTAGGCAAATTAAAACAATTTTCTTCATGTCTGGGAGAAAGCTGTATGTTTTGTGAAAGTGACTTTCTCAGCTATGGTTAATAGCAGACTTCTCTTTGGATTTCTAGGGGGCTAATTTGGACAGTGTTAAAGTGTCTTCAAATCCCTGGCTGGATAGCTTTTCCTACTGCCAAAGACATCTATCTATCTGTGATTCAAACACAAATGCTTGAAGCCCAATTTAAATGTCTAAATTCTTTTTTAGGGACTTCTCAAAGCTGGCAAGTCCTATTTCTTTTTTTTCTTTACATCATTCTATCTAAAAACATCAGCAAACTAACGTACCCACATACATTAATTTAAATCTTGAATGTGTCATATCTATTTTCTTTTCTAAAACAGTTTGAGGCTACACTCAATTTTTGCTGAAGTTGAGAACTTGTCCTAGCCATGTACAGATGGTACATCCACAGAAATATTCTATGTCAGCAATAAGCAGCAGGAGAGGGAAAGGACATATTTCCTGAAAAACTATAGTCAAAACATTTATATTTTCAAAGATGTAAATTTGTTGGAACTTGAATATCAGTAAAGGAAAAATATCCCTTCATCTATCTGAGACAGGAGAAGAGGCAGAAACAAAAAACCACTGGCTAGAGAGAGTTAAAGTAATTAGGGCTTAGAAGAGATAATTTGACTCTGTCAAAGGACTGAGCCTAATTATTCCTTCAAACCAACTTTCAATCAAATGATAAAGATAAGGGGAAAGGAAAGTGGGTTCCTCTCTAAGCAAGCAAAAATTTTGAATACTTTTGTTTACCTATCAGCTTTCTTGAAAACAATCTGTATATCAAGAAGACTGAAATGCCCACACAGACTCCTGTCTTCCAAGTATATTCTATATATGCAGTCAATTTGCCCATAGAGCTAACCACTTTTGCAAGTTTGAGGAAGAAGCATAAAGTAGGGCCACATCTTCTAGGTAAACAATTTAAGTGCTGTGATCTTGTAAATGGCCAGTAGACCATCTACCTCCAAGTTAAGGGACTTGGCACAGCCAAAAGGCAGCTGATTGCTTGTGAGATCTACTTTTGTAACAAGAATGCTTGTCCTTAATCTGGAACCACGCTATTAGAACCTCTGTCAATGAGAAATGATTAGTTCATCCCCTAGGAATTTCTTTTGCAAGATTTTCCACTGTGCTCTTTAAATTAATTCTCAATGCTTCAAGCTAAGAGCTATAAAACACACTGTGAATCAAATGTTCCAAGCTAAGCCACTCACCAAACACAGCAAACCCACAGAGAGCTCAATGATTTTAAGAATCATTAACCCACTGATACCTCTGTGCTGTGTCCACTTTGGAGCAAAAAAAGTCTCTTGTAAGTTCTTAAATAACAGACGCAGGGCTGAAAGGAATTAAGTGGTTTTCCCCCTACCCTCTTCTCAGGACTTTCCTGGAGGCTCAGGAGAACAGAGGACCAGAGAGAAATGTCAAAGACCACATGACCTGAGAGAAGCAGTCAGCCTGGATTCCCAAGTCATGCTTACATCTGGAAGTTTGGAGATGTCATAGGAGTAAAATGCTCCTACCTGTTCTGAGGAGGAGGTGAACTTCTGCCTACCTGTTTAAAGTTGCCACTCCGCCTCTGTTCCCAATCCATCATATCATGAAAAATAGGAATCATGACATTCCGGAGATCTGGCTGGGGTATCAGGGTCACTTCTAGGAAGGGACCAATCAAGGCAGGGATGAAATGAAGCTTGTGTTCTCCTAAAATGAAGAACATATTGGCATTTAAGAATAATTAGTCTTCAGGAGACCTTTACAAAGAAAAAAAGTATAAAATTTGCTTAAAACTATTGCCTCAGGAATATCCAATTATACCTGAATCCTCAGATAAGAAAGTATAAAAACTAACTGATAAGACACAATTGATATTATGTAAACAATTAGAAACTGTTTATACATATATTATTGTCCATGACAATGTCAATTGCAGCCCTATGAGGCGAAAGAAGGGTAAGGGAAATTTTACAATATAGCGAGGTGAAGAAGTGCTTCATTTATTTATACATTTTTCTTTCAGATACAAAACTGTGGTCACATGTGCTCTCTTGCCAGCCTCCTCTCCTTCGGGGAAGTTCTTTGTCATACCCTGGAGCCGATAGAAGGGGTGGGGAGTCCTCACTCTCCCATATCTACCTCCGGAGTGTCTAACCTGTCCCCTAACCAGCCTCATCTCTGCCCCCGAAAGACTTCTTTTTTGTTTTAAAGGACCACTATTAAGAAAGAAGAAATTGGCTTAAAGTATACAGAAATCACTTCCTCATTTAACAGAGAAAAGCAGAGTCAGAACAACGACTGGGAAATGGTGAACTCTGTTCTCGTGCCTGAAGCCAGCCCTACCTGCAGGCTTCCCAGCCACACAAGACAGTGTGTATAATTTGGTTCTTTTGGCCTTTGATTTTTGTCAAGTGCAAACAGCAGAGCTTTGTTACACCAGCTAGAAGGAAAGCAATGGTTCCTTTTGACAAAGACCTGGGCAGTGTCTTGCCTATCCTCTGTAGACCAATTAGACAACAGGAGGAGACAGGTTGTGTGCCTTCAAGCGTTTGAATTACTGCTAGTCTTGCATTATCTGGAGAAGGTACCCTGGACAAAGGCCTTTGGCTTCTCCTGTCTTGAAGGCATGTTGAGGCTTTGTATCAGCTTTGTAAATACAGGCTTCTCCAACATCGGCTTCAAGTCAAAGCACATGTCCTTGTCCTTGTCCTGAATCCTAAGTGCACCATGGTCTGAGATTCTCATGCTTCATACTAGCAACATGTTAAGAGGGCAGACAGAGCACTCTGGGGCATCTGTGAAATTTCTCACTCCTCAGATTATTTGCTTTTCCCACAATCTCCCTTCACCCCCTGCAGATACCGCATAGTACTGGAGCATTGCTTCTCTTCCACAATTGGGGGCCATGCTGACTATATCTTGGGTGTAGTTTCAGTGTGAATTAAAATGTTCAGACAAAGCGTTTGGAGCATCACAGGACCACAGTCCTTGATTCAGCTGGTGGCCCTTTGCCCATCTAAATGTCACTGAAGTCACAGTCCCTTCCTCTCTCATTGAAGTTTCCAGCAAAGTTCATCCAATCCTTTCTTATCATCCCTAAATTATTTATTCATACCCGTATAGATGAGGGAAAAACCCTGGCTTATAATTCTTTGTGAATTCCTACCTTTATTTCTGATCCTTGTAACCAAGTACCTTTCTGATTGCTTTGCTTTCTTCTTAGAAACTAGAAGTTTCACAAGAAACTTTCTTATTAACCTAGCTTTGCATATTTTCCTCAAAGAATGAACTCTTTAAAACTGACATACTCACTAAACCGCAGTTTATCCTTCTCCCATCCTCCTTACCCCTCTTTCCTATACGCATTTCAAGCAGGTAAGTAGCAGCTGTCATTTGCAATGCCTTTCCTGTTATTTTTGTCAGGGCAGAAAAAAAAGCAGAACTCTGAACTCAGTGACTTGTACTGTCATTGGTAAAAGCCTGAATCCACCGTTTATTTAAGATACTCTGGCACGTAAGAAGAAAAACGAGAAAAAAGGAAGAGTCATTAACTTCTATTTCCTGCATGGGGAACAGGAAATATTTGTCTCTCTCTTCTCCATTTCTACTAAATTTAACCTGTTAAACTAAGATAAAGACTTGCTAGAAAAAAATTAGAAAACAAAAAAGAAAAAGAAAGGAGACTTATCAGGAGGCAAAATCTGGCAAGTCCTGAGAATGCAGGTTTTTTCACGAGTCCTATAATAGGACTGCAGGAAAAGGCTGCAAGTTAAAGTCAACCACCAAACGGAAGGATTCAAGTATTCCAGGCTAAAGGTCATCTTAGCATCTGACTAGTTATCCCAGAAGAGACTCTCTGATGCTATCATACTATGTAAGACATCAGATTTCACACAAACTTTTCCTTTCTGTTTCATTACCTTTCCCTACACACATTCAAAAGTAGCTTCAGCACAAATTGAATTTTTTGCTAGCTCAGAGCATTCTAGCAAATTTGTGCTAGAAGGGTGAGATTTAGACCCACTATCTTATACATTTAATTTTGAATCTTATCGAAGCTTGGCATCCTTTGATCTTTTTCATGAAGATCATTACTTTAGTTATCACTGTTTTGTTTTGAATCTCTTTCTAAATATGATCCAATTTATTCTTAATTTTTTTGAAGTACATCAAATGACAGAGATAAGTAAAACAATCATTACATATCATCTTCAACATTTTGCTAATTCTATTTCTTCTAATATTCCAATGGTTTGATTTTCTTAGAGTATTTTAAATCAAGCCAGAAATATATTGTACTTGTGCATGCATCAGTAAGCATCTTCAATTGTGTATTTTAAGAATGCAGAATTATAATTCCTTTACCATACAAAGTCAAATACTTCCTTAAATTAGTATAAAACTTATTCAATATTAAAATTTCTCTGATAGTCTTAAAAACATGCCATTTATAATTGTTTTATTTCAACCATAGTTCAAATAAAGTCCATACACTGTATTTTGTAGCCCAAATTTTCTACTGGCCATAAGGTCAGAGGTCAGCCACACCCACATTTAAATTACCATGTGGAAATGTGTGAGAATAGTCTTATTTTCTGCAAACACACTTTGGAAACAGAATCTGTGCAGACCTGAAGAGGCTTCCCAAGCACTGTAAATTTAATTCCTATTAAGGCAACAAAGCAAATTTTGAGCTATGTATAGAAACAGCAAACTAAACTTCATTTCAGTGATTTCGTTTTAAACCACAGGTTTAGTATACTTCCCCAAGTTCTAATTGTTAGTCACATGGCCTTGTTTTGAAGTATTTAGGGCACCTGCTACTTGGGCTGTTGGAGTTTTATAATTATGCACACAGAACAGCCTGCTAGGAAGTATTGATTTCTCTACAGCAGTTACAAGATGCAGTGTTTGCAAATGTGGAACAAAGAGTCCACTTCATATTTAGTAAGAATGGGAGCTCATCTAGAAAAAGAATGGAAAACTTAAAACTCCCAACAAGATGAGAACTAAAGGTGAGATGGTAGTAAAGACTTCTTTCTTGTAGTTTATACTTGCAAGTCCAGGCACAAATGGATAAAATTTGGGAGACAGCAACATATGCCTTTCCTCTGCTCTTTATGGAATAATTATAGTTCTTCAACTTACAAAATGAAATACTAAGCAATAACATATTTAAGAAAAGATATTCACTTATCTCTAGTTGGTCTTTATTCTTCAAAATCAAGTGTTTTTTGTTTTTTTTTTTTACCAAAACCACAACGTGTTAACATCTCACATCCACTAGGATAATGACTATTAACATCTGTCTCCAGAGAGGGACAAATGTTGGCACTTATGTGGAGAATCAGGAACTCTTGTGTTCTGATGGGAATGTAATGGGTACAGCAGCTATGCAAAAGCAACAATATGGTAGGTTCTCAAAAAGCTGGTGGGCACTGCTGGTTCATGCCTATAATTCTAGCTACTCAGGAGGCTGAAAACTGAGGATTATGGGTCAAAGCCAGCCTGGGCAGGAAAATCCATGAAACTCTTATCTCCAATGAACCTCCAGAAAATCCAAAGTGGAGCCATACTCAAAGGGGTGTGCTAGCCTTGAGAAAAACTGCTAAGGAACAGCACCCAGGTCCTGAGTTCAAGCTCCACAACTGACAAAAAAAAAAAAGAAAAGAAAAGCTAAAAATGGAACTGTAATATGATCTATCAAATCTACTTCTGGAAACATACCCAAAATAACTGAAATTAAAGTCCCAAAGAGGTATATGTCCACCCATGTTCACAGCAGCATTATTCACAACATTATTCAGCCCAAAAAGTAGAAATAGCCTGCCTAAGTATCCAAGGATAGATGAAAAGACAAAGAAAAGGTAGAATGGAATATTATTCAAGGCAGGAAATGCTGATACACACTACAACGTAGAAAGATCTTGAAGTTATTTTGCTAAATGCGTAGGTCAGTCCAAAAGGACAAGTATTGTTCAAATTCATAGAGATAAAAAGTAGAATGGTGGTACCAGGGGCGGGGAGGGGGAGAGGAAATTTGGGGGCTGTTGTTTAATGGGCATAGAGTTTCAGTTGTACAAGATGAAAAGGGTTCTTGGATGGATAGTATTACAGTGTGAATGTACTTAGTACCAGCAAACTGTACATTGTGAAAAGGTTAAGGTGCTATATTTAATGCATTTTTAAACCACAATTAAAAATATCTGATACATTTTTAAATGAACTATGCTGTTTGTGGGCAGAGATGGGAGGAGGAAAGTGGAAGAAAGCAAAGGGGTGACACTGTCCAAAAAGAATCGTACTCACTGCCAGACTTAAGCAATGACAATCCCACTGTTCAACATCTTAATAATAACGATAAAATTGTATTTTAAAATAAATTATCGGAACCATATAATAGGGATAATGCTGACTACAATGTTCTACATGCATTAGGGACAAGTAGCATTCACTCAAATTTCCCATAAGTAACCCAAAGCCCCTCTGTCCTCAGGAAGCATTCCTCTCTTAGGAGGGAAGAGACTGGCCTGGTTATCTGTGCATTACATTTGTTGCCTGTAGACAAAAGGCTTTTGGTGTGGTTCCTACACTGTCAATTAGACCGCATGTTAGTGAGCTAAAGCAGGAGCCACAAATTTGTTCCTGTGAAGGTGAAAATGAGCACTTATAATCTTGCTTGCCAAAAAGCTCCAAGACTGGGAAGAGACAGAAAGAGAACATAGAATTCACTTCTCTCAGTTCTATGAACTTCAAAGACATTAAAACTCTAAATACTTGCATATTCAGAAAGAGGTTTAAATTTTCTGTTTAAAACTAATCATTACAAATTCATATTTAACATTACACATAAGTTTTGGAATACTTTAAATGCATCAACTTGAAGGCCTACCAGTCTGATGACTATGGCTGGAAGTAACACTGACAAGCCTATGTGTTCATAGCTCAGATCTGAACACTGGGGAGGATGACACAGGAGGATTGTGAGTTCTAGGCCAGCCTGAGATAATGAGATTATGCCTAACAAAACCAAATAAACAAAACCACCACCAACACAAAAAACTGTAATTTGTAATGGCTAATCTTGTCAACTTGATTGGATTGAGAGGCAACTGAGGGATTATTAGTAAAGCACATTTGTAGATTAGGTCAGAGATGATTTACTAAGGGGGAAGACCTGCCCTGACTGTGGGCAGTTCTATCCAGTAGGCTACAAGCATAGATGGAAACAAAAGGGAAGCAGGAAGCCCACTGGCAACAGGTCTGCTCTCCTCCTGGTCCCTGGAGGTAAGCAGTTTTGTTCCAATCCACACTTCCACTATGGTATTCTCCCTCACCACAGGCCCAGAAAAAAATGAAGCCATCTGACTCTGGACTGAAACTTCTGATACTGTGAACCAGCAATAAAACTTTCCTCCTTTTACATTGTTCCTTCCAGGTATTTGTCACAGCAGTGAAAAGTCTTGAAATCATGAGCCAGCATCTCATGAACTTTATTAGCCTGTGATATTAAAATGAAAAATTATAAATTCTCATTTAGCATATAAATATTCACTAAGACACACTTACGAATATATAAAAGGACACTAATGTACTTTGATATTGTAACTAATTTATTTTACATAACTAATATAACTGATATATTTTAATACTTTTACATAACAAGTTTAGTTAAGGCCTATAAGGGGTGTTACAAGAGTATACCGAATGTTTCATTGTGAATGTTTTATAAAAGTGTGTGTTTTAAGAAAGGCTTTAATATTTCTGAATATTTTCCAATTGTAGCAGTTGTACACTAGCAACAACCTTTAAAATTTACCTAATGCTTTGAAAGCCCCAGAAAAGTCAAGACAGAACTCTAGGGAAATAATGTAGAAACCAAGGAATGAAGCAAATTATATTCACTCTCCACTTGAACTATCTCATGGTGAGAACTTGTACATGGAACATAACAAAAATCTTTTACTGTACTAGTGTTAATCTTTAGGGATGGAATAACAAAGAATGGATAGTGTGCTTTGAAGCAGTGCTTTACAATTTTTAGCCAAATACCTAAGAATCACCTGGAAAACCAGCTAAAACTCCCAATGCTGGGCTACCTCCCAGAGATTCTGTTTCAGTAGTTGTAGGTTATAGCCAGAGAATTTTCATTCCTTACAGGCTCCCAGGTGACTGTGCTGGACCATTTTGTGTTATCACTGTACTCAAGAACACTGCATTCTAAGTGCTCCAGAGATTTCCTAGAATGTCTAAGGGAAACAGAGAAGTAATTTAACATAAAATTCAGAGAGGTAGAAATATTTTTGTTTTGGGGCTGGGAAGGTGGCTCAGTGGTAGAGTGCTTGCCTTGCATGCCAGAGGCCCTGGGTTCGATTCCTCAGCACCATATAAGCAAAAAGAAAAAAAAGCGGGAAGTGGCGCTGTGGCTCAAGTGGTAGAGCGCTAGCCTTGAGCTGAAGAGCTGAGGGACAGAGCCCAGGCCCAGAGTTCAGGCCCCACGACCGGACCCAAAAAAAAAAATTTTTTTTTTTGTTTTGGAGAAAGACAAAATGGAAAAGTTTATGAAATATACGTGCTATATGCTATATTTAGCAGACAAAAGGATATGAGACTAAGTGCATGGCTATCCTGGCCTTGATAAAGATTTACATGCAAATGCCCATAGACAGCAATGTTTAGAAGAGAAAACTTGCCATGTTTGCTAATATTCTGGTAATCCAACCAAATTTATCCTGGCTTCCTAATTAGAGCCTGAATAACTATAACTTTCTTCAGAAAGCATTTTGTTACGGTGTTCATTGAAAAATATCTTGCTAAATGAATGCCAAATTCAATATACAACAAGGTTCTTGATCTAATTTTGAAAGAGGAAAGACACAAAGAATCATCAAAACTTGGAGACTAAGAGGAATGCTCTCCAAGTGCAACAAACATTTAGTGCTATATTTGAACTGAATGTAAAGACAGACCACAATTTCTTTTTGCTGACCTTTCATAATTGCAAGTTATTCTTAAGATGCTAACTCATTTGTTTTCCTGAAATCACCAGCAAGCAAGCACCATTGACCATTGTGATCAATTGTATACAACAAGTCTTCTTCAATTGCTATGTATATTTGTAGGATTATATGTGTTCTGTTAAAAAATCATTCCATAACAAGAGTTCAAACAAAACTATAACAGAAAACAAACCCTGTCATCTCCAAGTTGTATTTGGATTAGCCCCAAAGAGAAGATACTCTCATGTCATTACATATTCAATTTAAATAAGTGAAATAGTTTTAATAAATCTCAAGGAGGAACTAAAATGCAGTAATATTTAATGTACCCTAAAATTTTCATAGTTAACACATCAAATTAAATGTTATGAATCTCTAGAAAGACATCATATGCCAACGGAATTTAAAATAATTTATTTTTCAAATATTCTCTTCTGTGTAACTAGATCTGTGCCATCAATTTGCAGGAATAACATGTTTTATGTGCTGTGGTAGATTAATAAAATGGATCTAACAGTCTCTTAGCAACTGTGGATGCTTTTAAAATCCTTTGGCTAGGTTCTTTATGACACAGGTCAATGGTTTGAAGATTTTTGAAGTGGTGATGCATAAGTCAATATTTCAGGAAGTTTAATCTAAATTTATGTGACTCACAGTCTTCTAAAATTTTTGTGTTGTTACACAAATTCTGAATGGTTACTTTATTGCTGGAAATAATGTTGGAATAATACTATATTTGAAAAATTATCATTAATTCATTATGACATATACAATAGTAGGCTGTTTTTTTCAAATAGAAACCAATGTAAAGATTTAGTTGTAACTTTTTCCAATGCCAACATGTCAATTGATTTTTGTAGATTATTTCTGCTGATTTGGATTTCAAATGCTCTCATTTGTAAATTGTTCTTCATTTTTACACTTAAAAGTATAGTGATAAACTACATAGTGCAGGTGGTATTTTCCATAACTTACCTAGGTTTTGCCACATGCTGAAAATTTCACAACCCATTGTTACCCGCATATCACCATACCTAAAATGGAACAAAAGTCAAATCTGACACAAGACCTCCACAACAATTTTGTTACTCTGAACTCAAAGGCAAGAATTTTTTTTTTTTTGTCGGTGGTGTGGCTTGACCTCTGGGCCTGAGCGTTATCCCTGAGCTCTTCAGCTCAAGGAGAGCACTCTACTACTTGAGCCACAGCGCCACTTCCAGTTTTCTAGAGGTTTATTGGAGATAAGAGTTTCACAGACTGCCCGGGCTGGCTTTGAACCATGATCCTCAGATCTCAGCCTCCTGAGTAGCTAGGATTTCAGGCATGAGCCACAGGCACCTGGCTTCAAAGGCAAGAAATTTTTAATTAAAGATACTTAGTGTAAATTTCTTGGTGCTTCAAAATCAAATCTTCACATACATGTTTTAGTAAAACAGATCTGTCTCATTTTTGGCTTCTACAATAATTTTGAATACTGGAAGATTTGGGGTAAAAAACAAGAAATTTCAAAATCTTTAATTTATGTAATAAATTGTCTCTTGTTCTTTGGGTCATGGCTTCTCAATTTGTGATTTCCAGTTTTGGATGTTTTGCTTTGTAAATCACTTGGCTTAAACAACCTCAAGACAAAAGTTCCCTCCTGATTACTTACTTTTCTAACACTTTTTTCTTTTTGGAAGGAGTGAACATCTCCAATTGTAGACACAACTGGTTTATAAAAATGACTGCAAGGTAAAAGTAGGAATCCCAGATCTATAAAAGAAGAAGACATTTACATATATATAGGTGAAGTGATTCCCATATCTTGAGTTTATTTCACAAGTGCTAAGTGGATGGGATTAAAGTTAAAATAAGATTGGCTATGACTTGATATGAATACATAGAGGTTGTTATATTCTTCTGCTTGAGATTTTCTTTAACAAAGAAATTATGCAAGCTAAATAAATACTGTCTATTTAGATACTACTTCAAAGCTGAATTTGAGGTTCCATGAACTCTCTGCTTTATGCTAAATACTATATATTTTGTTTCTCTTACAATATCACTGAGTGTTTCCAGGGGAGATAAGGTATAAGATAGGTTATTTTGGTTTGAATTTGTTTTTTTGGAGTTCCTTCTAATGTAGAATTTTTAAAAATGCATATATTCCTTTGAATATGCTAATTGCTTTAAATTTAGACAGCATTTAAAAAGTATTTTTCTAGTCAAAAATTGTGTGTGTGTGTGTGTGTGTGTGTGTGTGTGTGTGTGTGTATGTGCATTGTCATGCTGTGGTCTCCTGAGAATACTAACAAATCATTTGAGTCCATATTTTCTTGTACCAAATACAGAATCAGAAAGACATCAGAATAACATTTCCTGAAATAAATTTAGCTGAAGTAGGGCACACAGGACATAATGAATGGAAACTCTCCCTGCTGACACTGTGCAAAATGAAAGACAACTAACTACAAGAAATATGACAAAAATATTCTTCGTACGCAAAAAGCTCTTATAAATCAAAAGGAATATGATAAAAACCCAAAGCAAAAATAATTCCAGTAATGAATTTTTATCTAAATAACTGGGGACATATACCAAATTGAATTTGGTAAGAATGCATATAAAAAGGGTGATTTGTAAGAATAGTGAAAAAATTTAGAGATCAAAAAGTGGAATTGAGCAGGAAGTGGTGGCTAACACCTGGTAACCCAGCTACTCAGGAAGCAGAGAGTGAAAGGATCACAGTTCGAAGTCAACCCAGGTGAAGTTTGTGAGACCCTATCCACTCACAGCTTAGTGTGGTGACATACACCTGTCATACTAGCTATGCTGGAGGCATAAAATAGGAGGATCACAGTCCAGGCTGACTTGAGCAAAAAAAAGTGAGTCCTGCCTTAAAAAATGAAAGTAGAATGGACTCAAGTGCTGGAGTGCTTGTAAAGCAAGTATGGGGCCCTGAGGTCATACCAAGTATTGCTCCCCGAAAAAAAATGTAAAACTGATTATAAAATTCCAATATATTTTAAATTATGATATAGAATTGTGTGTGTGTGTGTGTGTGTGTGGTGCTGGTGTTCAAAGTCAGGGCCTTGTTAATGCTAGACAAGCAATCTACCAAGGAGCTCTATTCCACCGCAGCCTCTGGTTTCTTGACACAGTATCTCATGTTTGCTATATAGTTCAAGCTGTCTCTGAACTTGCTATGTAACTAAGGCTGGTCATGAACTCTCAATACTTCTGCCTTAGCCTCCAGGATTCTGGGGGTGATAAGTGTATGCTACCATATGGATCTAAAATTGCATTGATTTTTTTTCTAGTATTTGTGTTTCTTTTTTTAAAATAACTTTTTTATTGTGAAAATACTGTACAGAGGGGTTACAGTTACATGAGCAAGGTAATGACTACATTTCTTATCCTTTGTTTTTCCTTTTTGTGACTCTTTCAGCACAAGCCAGACAGTTATATAGATACTTACCTTATAATCAAAGTTTTCATTTAAGAAGTTCTTACGAAGTGCATCTGAGAGGTACAGAACTGTTGTAATAATAACACTAGGAAAAAGAAAAAGAAAATATTTTGAGTTGAAATTCTCACATTACTGTAAATCATTTGGCAAATAAGAATAAAAAGCACCGAAGATAAAAGAAAATCTCCTTCAATAGGCACTGGAAAAATGTTAAGATAATTTTAAAAAGAAAGGTGCCAGTTCCTGCCCTCCCTTACAGAAAAAAGAAAAAAATCTATTATGAAAGTTCGTTTCTTTGTAAAATAAAACAGAGGACTATCTATTAAATTACATGATTCAGGCAGGAATACATTAGTATCTTGATATCTCCGTGTTTTTATTAATTTCTGAGCAAGGCAAAATTATTAATGCAACCATAAACCCATTTTTTTTATCATAAAATAAAGCCTAACCATGAAACAAACAGCACCCAATGACAGACTATAACATGCATTTACTAGATGCCCTCTCTGCGTTCTCCCCCATGGAAGATGTTAGGCTGGGAGTTATGGAAAGCAGAGTCCCACTCAGAGTGATAAGACTGCCACTAAAAAACAATTATTGATTGTGAAGTTGCCTATGACCCAGAGCTAAGGTGTGTGAAAGCTACAGGGAGCCTCACAGGCACTTAAAGAAAGGGGCATCTACTTCCAGGGCGAGAACACTCAGTAAGCCTAACAGAAGGGGCATGTAGAGCTTTATGTATCCTGCCTGAGAGATTAAGAAGAAAGGATTTAGTGAGCATTCTTGCTTAAGGCAAGAGTTCTGCAATTTGTCCAAACTGTCCTCACTTTTTTAAAAATCCAGAAGAGTCTATCTATCTATCTATCTGTCTGTCTGTCTGTCTGTCTGTCTGTCTGTCTGTCTGTCTAGCTATACACACACACACACACACACACACACATATATATATATACACACATATATATAATTGAATTTGTTTCCAGTTAGGTTATTTAATGTTGAAACAAGATAAGCCACTAACATTACTACAAATTAAGCATCAGTATGTGAATGGATGATATTTAAAACCTCTGTGGCCTTTCCTGAGATGCACATGTAACACAGTGCTATGATATAAAAAAAGCCCCAGTTCTCACTACAAGATCAAGAAAAATATACATAAATGATGATAAATCACAACCTATCAAAAATAAATGATGTCCTTACAAGCCATTATTTTAAGAGATTAATATAAAGAAATGCTGGCCTGGTGCTAGTAGCTCACACCCATAAACCTAGCACCTTGTAAGGCTAAGATTACAGGGACTGAGGTTTGAGACAAGCATGAGCAGAAAAGTCAGTGAGATTCCATCTCAGCTGAAAAGCTAGGTGTGGTACCACGTGCCTGCCATTTCAGCTATGGTAAGAAGTAGAAAATAGGAGGTCCACTGTCCAGAAGCTTGTTTGGGAAGAAGCAAGACTCTATCTCAAAAATAACCAGTGCATGGGGCTGGGAAGGTGGCTCAGTGGTAGAGTGCTTGCCTTGCATGCACAAGGCCCTGGGTTCAATTCCTTAGCACAACATAAGCAAAAAAAGAAAAAAGCCGGAAGTGGCGCTGTGGCTCAAGTGGTAGAGCGCTAGCCTTGAGCTGAAGAGCTGAGGGACAGTGCCCAGGCCCAGAGTTCAGGCCCCACGACCGGAACAAAAAAAAAACAAAAACAAAACAGTGCAAAAAAGGGATAGAGAAATGGCTCAGTTGTAGAGTGCTTGTTTAAAAAGCAAAATGCCCTGAGTTCAAATCCTTATACCAACAAACACACAAAAGGCTTTTAATTTTTTTCAACAAAAAGCTGAGCAAAATATGTATCAACAAAAATATAAGAGCACAGCCGAAATCAGGAAATCAACTCCTTTTGTAACAGCCCCACAAAAACTAAAACACTTAGGAGTTAACTAAACAAGTGAAGGACCTCTACAATGAAAACTTTAAAACCTAAAAAAGGAAATGAAAGCAGAACTTATGAAGTGGAAAAACCTCCCATGCTCCTGGATTGTGAGGATTAACATCGAGAAAATGGCAATACTTCTAAAGGCTATATACAAATTCAATGCGATACCTATCAATATCTCATTCTTCAATGAAAAGCAGCCTAAAAATTCATATGAAACAATAAAAGACCCCAGATAGCAAAAACATTCCTTAACAGAAAGAACAGTGCTGGAAAAATATCAATACCAAATTTCAAACTCTACTACAAAGCCATAGTAATCAAAACAGCTTGGTACTGGCACAAAAACAGACCTGAGGACCAATGGAATAGAACTAAAGACCCAGAAATGAATCCACAGACCTATAGTCACTTAATCTTTGAAAACAGAGCTAAAAAAATAGAATGGAAGAAAGCCTCTTCAGTAAATGGTGCTGGCAAAACTGGTTAAACACATGTAGAAAACTAACGCTAGATCCTTATATAGTACCATACACCAGAATCAACTCTAAATGAATCAAAGACCTTGGAGTCAAAGTAGACACCCTGAAAACACTATAGGAATAGGAGAAATTCTACTCTCCTTGGCACAGGTTAAATTTTTCTTCATAAAGACCAAGAAACACAACAAATCAAAGACAGGTTGGACAAATGGGATTGCATGAAACTGCAGAGCTTCTGCATGGCAAAGGACATAGCTAGCAAGATCAATAGAAAGCCCATAGATTGGGAGAAGATCTTCACTAGCCATACAACGGACAAGGGTCTCATAGCTAAAATATACTTAGAACTCAAAAAACTAAATCCCCCAACAACAAATCCTCAAAGAAACAACTGCCCAATAAATAAGTGGGCTAAAGACTTAAAGAGAAACTTCTCTGAAGAATGGCCAATAGATACATGAAGAAATGTTCAACTTCTCTAGCCATAAAAGAAATGCAAAGCAAAACAACATTGAGATTCCACCTCACCCCAGTTAGTATGGCTATAATCAAGAAATCTAATAACAACAGATGCTGGAGGGGATATGGCCAAAAGGGAACCCAACCACATTGTTGGTGGGAGTGTAAACTTGTTCAACCACTTTGGAAAGCAGTATTGAGGTTCCTCAAAAGACTCCACATAGAGCTCCCCTATGACCCAGCAATCCCTCTTTTGGGCATTTACCCAAATGATCACAAACAAGGCCATACTAAAGCTACCAACATGACTATGTTTATCGCAGCAATATTTACCATAGCTAAGATACGGAACCAACCCAGATGCCCCTCAGTAGATGAATGGATCAAGAAAATGTGGTATATATACACAATGGAATTCTATGCCACCCTCAGGAAGAATGACATTGCCCCATTTGTTAGGAAACAAAAAGACTTGGAAAAAACTTACATTAAGTGAAGTAAGCCAGGCACAAAGAAACATAGGTCCCGTGGTCTCCTTATTTGCAATAACTAGTATAAGTCTAGGACAAGCAGACAAAGTCAAAAGCTATGTACATATGACTATGTAAGATGATGTTAAGTGAAATGAACCCCGAGATAGGGACACAAGTAGTGTTCTTCTTTCTTGCTATTGTTTTTTTTAACATATTTAAAATGTACTATGTGATTTTTTTTGTTTCTTTGGTATGTTCTTCCCCCATGGTATTATCCCTGTTTTCACTGTATTTGATGTTAGTACCCTGCATCTTGTATATACATTTTTCTAATTCGGTGAGAGGAAGGGAAATAACAAAATGCTGAAATAAGGATACAGGTTGACCCATTGTAATAATGAGATGTACAAGATACTACATTGAAAATGAACTATACAACTTGTGGGGGGGGGAGTGAGGGAGGAGTTTGGGAGGTGGAGAGGGAAGGGATGATAGGGGAAAAACAAAGGAGGAAGTAACAATGCTCAATAGGATATGTACTCATTACCTTACTCATGTAACTGTAACCCCTCTGTACAGTATTTTTGCAATAAAATACATAAAAAATCTGTAATGTGTAGCATGTAGACTCATTTTGTATGTTTGCTATGCTGAGGCAGAGGACCTCCAAAATAAGACTTCTCAGGAGATTTTACAATGACTACTTCAAATGCTTTTCAGTTATGCCTAAAACTTTCAGCCCAAGGCTAAGAGGTAGCTCCCAATAACTCAGCACTGTCACAGTTCCTTAACACAAAAGCTCTCGAGCCAGTTATAGCATTTGTACTTAATTGTTCCTTCTTTGCATTGGACAATGGTAGGGCTGAGAGATTTTCTTCACTTGTTCCAATTCATCTAAAGCCATGTGGTTCCTCTGGTTTCATTATTTTACTTGTGAGTCAGTTTCTGAATATGGGTGTATTTCAAATCTCAGGCCTCCAACTCAGTCAACAAGAAAGGTTTGCAATCTGTTACCACAAATGGCCAAATAACTGATTTCTGCTACAGAAATGCAGGAACAAGAATCAGTTTTGACAACCATAATTTATGGGCACAGAATGACACTATCTACTCAAGAAAGAGGAACTGATGCACAGGGAATAAAAGTAACTGCTTCATGATTTTCTAGCAGCCTGATTTAGGAATTATCTTCAATCAACTCTGTCTCATTCCAGCCTCCCCTGTAGAAAACACATTTCCTCTATTTGTTCTTTTGAAAGCTACTCCAACTTGAAAATCTGCTCAAGGATAAGCCATCTCCAAAAAACAATACACGGAGTAACAGAAACACCTTGTGGATAAACTGGGAATCAGCTATACAGAGATTTACATATTGAAAAAAATGAAGAGAATCTTAAATACAGTGCCTCCTTCCTCCCCAAATCAACAAAAGAACAAAACAAAAAACAAAAAAAAATGAAGAAAATCTATTCTTAAAGTATGACTTCCCTACAACATGCTGACTTCACTGGAAGTATCAGAAACGGACACAAAACCATATAAGGGCAGAAAAAGATCCTGGACAGTCACTATGGGACTTCATCCAGCTACTGCTTCTGAAACTTAAGTGTGTAAGAGAATGACTTAAAAGACAAATAGACCCCAGGGCCTCACCACCACCACTGGTTGGTTAACTTGTGATAGGCTGAACTAGTTGATTCTGATGCACTGATCATTCTTTCTGTGTGTTGCTTGAAGTTAGATAGTCTAAAAGACAGATAAGGTCAGAATGCAGAGAAAAATACCTCTGGGGAGTTTGGCCTTGTTTATATAGCCAGCAAGAGCCAAGTTAAAACATAAGTGTTTGTTGAATGACTGGCCACATTATCCATTTGTATCTCTGCTTTGCTAAACTAATTTACCAGATCATTCATATATGTGTATATATACATAATACATACATATCTCTATATGTATGTTAGATATTGTCAAAAAAGGATTGAAATTAAGGCAGGTAAGTCTGATCCAGGTGGATGGAACTAGGAAAAAAGAAGAAATTTTGCTTTTATTAGAGAAACATGTAGTGCTGTGAGGCTAAGAGAATGAGGACAGACTTACATTGGTGATTTTAAAAGGTTTCAGTACATAAGGAAGTTCTAGTAGAAAATCAGTCACATGGCTACTCTGTATTTTCTATTACGCCCCATCCTTAATAAAGGGAAGAAGCTGAAGGAAAGCTTCGGGTACGCATCCTCCTTACCAACTCCTCTCAATATATAAGAGATGCAATGAGCAAGCAAATCTTGCATAAGTATTTGCAACAACCACTTACATCATTGTGACACACTTACTGTAACATACAGTTTTGACTAAAAAATCACTAACTCTGTATGCGTTGACATTGGCACAAAAAAATTCAGGGCTCCTGCTTGGCTTTTGTGCTCAAGGTTGGCACTTTATCATTTCAGCTACAGCTCTACTTCCCCAGATCACTGTTTCACTGCTCCCACCCTCCCTTACTTATTAGGTATTTTATAATTTAAAGGTAATTATCCTTAGAAAACAAAAAACACAATCGCATTAGCAATGTTCGTGGATACACTACAGGTTATATACACCACTGTTCACAGATTTCTGCCTTCCTTCCTACAATTCTGGACGGATTGTGAGTGCTTCTAGTTCAAGTACAGCTTTCTGCCGGTGTACCTGATCATTGCCCAGGAATCAAACTGCAATACCCTCATCTACTTCCAAGCAGCTAGGGGTACAGGCTTGAGCCACTGCACCTGGCTAGCTATTGTTCCACGGGGTATTTTACCTTCCTGCTTCTCATCCTGCATGACAGGCATCTCATTTTTCTTGGGCACTACTCTACTAATCTGTTACTTTCTCATCTCTTCCTGAGTGCCTCATTTAGTTCCATAGCTTCCATTCATAGTCATCTGATGATGACCCTAAAAGTACAGATCCAATCCCAAACTCTTCCCCTGCACTCTACTCAAGCACATCTTGCTTGTTCTAGCTTATTCTTCCTCATCAACTTCACTTTTCTAACCCGTGATCTATTCCTCTCAGTATTTCCACCTAAGTAAATGGTCTTCAAACCTAAGGACAATCTTCAATCCCTGTTTTTTCTCCCCCAATCACATCCAGTTATCTCATCTTCAAGTCTTATCCTCTTTATTTTCAAAATCGATCTTATTACCTTCATTACTACCTACATGTTGAGGCCACTGTCAGCTCTTTCCTAGATGGTTGCAGTAAGCTAATGCATTCTTCCAGGTTTCACTTTTGTTGCTCTACCCAACACTTGGGCCCTGATCCCTTTCTAATCGGTCCCTTCCTTCCCCCATACTGATGATTTTCCAGTTTCTGAAAATAGTTCATGTTCTCTTGGGCCACAGAATCTTTGTTCATGCTATTCCTACATAGGAACATTCTTCACTTGCTGTTTCCTGAAATAATTTTTGGTTTAAGTTTTATTCCTTCATGAAAAGACTGTTCCTATTTCAGTGAAGAACAATGTTCATTTTCATAAATGCCCTCATAGATCTGTGCTTCTCTCTCTCTCTCTCTCTCTCTCTTTCTCTCTCTCTCTCTGTACATTGGTTACTGGGGCTTGAAGTCAGGGCCTTGAGCTGTTGCTTTGGTTTTTCTGTTCAAGGCTGGCATTCTACCACTTGAGCCACACAAGTGGCTGGTTAACTGAGATAAGAATCTCTTGGATTTTTCTACCCAGGCTGGCTTGAAATCAGGATCTTCAGATATCAGCCTTCTGAGTAGCTAGGATAACAGACAGGTGTGAGCCTCCCTCCCTCCCTTTCTTTTCTCCCTCCCTCCCTCCCTTCCTTCCTTGAATTTCACTGTGGAGCTCATGTTGACCTTAGGAATTATAGGGATGTGCCACCATGCCTGTTTCAAAAATCTAATTTTTAAATTAATGTTAAAGAATGATAAAGACACATAGGTGAAGGCTTATTTCTGGACTACATTGTATTTATACAATGCACTACATTGTCAATTTATGCAATGGAAAATGAGTTTCATATGATTTCATAATTTGAATGGGAAGTAGATAGTACAGTTAGCTAAGGAGAAGAGAGGAGAGGGTTGAGGAGAGGAGGGGCACACAGCAGGTGGTCTGTTCAGCATAGCAGTTTCTCATTTAGATTCTTGTCCATAAAGAGACTAGACTTGTAGCTTCCATCACTGCCAGTGGAAAGGCAGTGTCAGACTTGCATTAGCATCCACTTAGGTGGCTATGGTCTGAAATTGCATTTTGCAAAGCATCATGGCTCTTTTTGAGTTTCCTATGGGAGAAATTTTCAGTTTAAACTCATCACACAGAGATCATTTCTGAAAACCATGTTGCCATTTAGTTAATACCATAGACAAAAATTTCAAACATTGTATGTTTATCCAAAGGCAGAATTTATACTTCTTAAATATATTATCCACTCATCTGGCCATGAGTGTGCTCATAAATGGAGTAGGGATTTTTAGTTTGGGAAGACAGAGGCATTTTTTCTATTAAAAAGCCACATTGTTACTGTACATTTTCAACATGCTCAAGAGAGCCTGGGTACCTAAGAAGAAAATGTTAAATTTACTTTCAGTATGAATTCCTGCCACTGAAAATTCTAATTCAAGCCAAAATATAGCTCTTCATGTGCGGCAGGGGAGATGACCAAATGGTGAGGACCTCTTCCCATCAACTAGCTGCGTCACTCCCAGCCCTCACCAGGACCAGGACAGTTGATCCTGAGTAGTAAGGACAGAGCAAAAGAGCAAAAGCTTCAACTTAAATCTGTACCATCCGGAAGAAATGATACTCCATTCTACTCACAGATATCAAAATATATATATGCAAAAATCTAAACAGAGCTATGTCACGAGTCTCAATTAGTCTTCAAAATGGAAAAGCTGCTTCTGTACTTATGTAAAATAGAATATGCCATATTACACTATTTGTTACTTTCCCAAGTTTTTAACACATCATTTTAACACCTCCAAGGCTATAAATGTATACTGCAGCAGAAGCCACATTAAGCTTATCTAATCAAAATGTAATCCTGCATCCCTTGAGCTCTTTATCATCATACCTGGGAATCTGGGGGAGACATATGGTGACCTTGGCCTATGGAGAGATGTGTAGAGAATATAACCTTCACCCTGAGAATGTGGGTGTTGGCATTTGGAGGAGAAGGGAAAGGAGAAGCAGGGGAGGGTGGGCTTGGTAGTGAGAATGTTAATGAAATAGAGTAAATAAGGAGTATGAAGTGAAAGTCAAGACAGTTTTTTTTCCCCCTAAACTTTCAGTGTCCTGAGAATTAGTGACAGGAAGTTGAGAGCATAGATAAATCCATAACATCAAACTTTCCTAGAACAGTGCTTGTCATCCTGAGTGCATCATAATCTCCTGTCCTTGCTCGTGTTCTCTCAAATATTGTCCTCTAATCATTTCAGTTTTTGCTGGATATGCTCACTGTAAGTTATTTCACCAATTCTAAGAGATTCAAACTAAGGTTTATGTTAATAATTATCTAAACATCTGAATTTTGTGCTGAGGTTTCCTCAGAGTACTCTTTTCATTTTCATATTACTTATCATGGTCCTAGAATACTGGAATCAATAAAAGTAGCTCTAATCGCCAGCTGTTCGACTCAAGGGTCATGTCTTATTCCCAGGACTCAGTGTAGTAGTTGCTTAATGGATGGTTTTGAGTTTAAAAGAGTTATAAAAGATGAGACATGATTCAAATGTCCAGGAAGAGTGATATGGTTAAACAAATTATGACACACCAATTCAATGGAACATTATTCAGGGTAAAAGAGAATAAAAATATGAAAGAATGAAGAATGTTTATTTCTAGGATTTTTATATGTAAGAGCAGTGTGCAGGACAGCACATATACCATGTTGCCTCCCAGACTCTAAATAAAGTATATGTAAGAAACAAATAAAAGTGATTACCACAAGGTCGGGCAGAAGATAGATCAGGCCAGTGGGAACAGGATTTCCCTATTTGTTGTTTGGTATTTCTATGATGTCAGTACATTATAAATACTAATTCACGAATAATAGTAAAACATATTTTTTAAAGAAAGGTAAGTTATTTTAGTGACCAAGAATCCTAAAACCTGGAAGTTTCAAACTGGAGATGGCATTTAAAAGATCATTCTCTTCTTCTCTTGTCCCCTATACATTCAGCTGTAATTATCATCTAAAATGGCTTACTTGTTAGCAACCAAACGCATCACAGTCCAGTCCTTTGGGAACATCTCCGGGCGTATTAATATTCGGAATACAGTAAATATCTGCAGCAGGAAATCCTTGGATAAGAAGGAAATATATCATATTACTAATTTATTTTAATTGTCAACACACACATCCCCGTAGACAGTCCTGTTGTTACCATCTCAATGGTAACAACTTTATTTTAGTAGTTTACCAGGAACACTATGACCTTTCCTGTTCCCAGTACCCAAATCCATCTGGCTTGCCCAAGTGTTTTCTCTTCTTTTCTCAGACACAGTGCAAGTGATTCTCCATGGCTTCTAATTAGCTCTAAAAATTTAGGTTCTAGAAATAAAAACTTCTAACAGAAGATGAGCAGGCAAATATACTCCCTTAAAAAAATCTATTAAAACATCTTTAGCATCAGAACTTCTCGTTCTAATAGAGCAATAATTGAACCAATTGTCTTGATTTGATTAAGTAGCTGTTAAAATTTAGGAAGTGATGTTCATAAGGAAGCATTTTATATAAAAATCTGTGCTTCTCAGAGGGCAATCTTAGATTGTACTTGAGGATGTATGCATGTTTAGGGATTCTGAGTGAATTTTCCTGAATGTGTTATACAGAATAAATTCAAATGAGAATGTGTCTAAGTTGAGCCCAGTGACAAGTGCTTGCCAGCTGTGAGTGTCACAGATTTGTGCCAGAGGGCACAGGCATTTCTATGCTGGTTTTTAAGCTGACTGCCTAGAGATGCATCTGCCTTTTCCCTCCCTCCCGCCCTCCCTCCCTCTCTTCCTCCTTCTCTCTCTCTGATTTGTTTTAAACTTTAATTTCATTTTTTCTTAAATGGACAGATCACAATGTTTTCTCCATGTACAACATGATGTGTTGAGGCACATTTGCATTGTGACACAGTTATCACTTTCATTATAAGACAAGCAAACTCTGCACAAGTTAACTTCAGACATGGAAATATAACTTCTTGAAAGTTAATGAGAGATAGGGCCCAGAATGCCACAGCATGTGACCTATATATCATTTATATCTATCTATATCTATATCTATCGCTATGCATAAAGTGTAGTTTTCTCTACTCAAAGGGGTTGGCTCATCTAGCATTGATTTAGATTTATAAATTAGAAAAGTTAGTTTCTTCTAATTTTAAGTGATTCTAGGAAAGTATTTTTTTCTTTTAAAAAATTGTCTTTCAGAAGTTATACAAAAGGTCTGAGTCCAATGAACAGTACAGAAAAACAATGCCTCTTGCTCAATGATACCTCTTTCATCATTCTTCCCCATCTCTCCCAACCTCAACTATCGCTTTCATTTGCTTAATTCCATTTTCACATATGTACATTGAATATTATGACTGCATTCTCCCGCCTCTCCTTTCTTCATCTACTCCCCAAATATTATTTCTTGACAATCTAAATTAAGGCAACAGTGTGATGCTGCTTATGAAATAATTCAAAACAGTAGACTTTCATTCATCAAATCCAACAACAGATTACGTTAAACATACAAGCTGCCTAACTGTGAGATCATGATTGTCATTCTCATCAACAGAAGACAGAAAGCTGAAAACTGAGAACCATGTGGTTCTTAATTTTTTAACACACTAACAACTTCAATCCAACCCGTAAATATTTTGACAAAGCCTTAGTTTCTTTGGCATTAGCATACATACATGGATATGTAGTATGCATCATGAGGAAACATTCCCACCAGGTCACCTGTCTTTTGATGACCAATCATGAACAACAGTTTCCCAAATGTACTCCACTGTAGACAGACAACTGTGGGGCAGGGGTGTATTTTATAGGAGTTGCTGTACTTAGATGCAGGAGGTTCTGGGTTCAATAGTTGCCCCCCAAACAAACAACAACAAAAACTAATCATTTCACATTCTAGTCCTTTTGCATATGAAAACTGTGAGAAGTCCTTTTAAAAAAACATTTCTAAAAGCTACTCTTCTAGTTTTCAGTTGATTCTTTTGGAGTTTTTCAGGCATAAATATGTATAGTTTCTGTTTTAAAAAAAACGCATTTACACTTATCTTTCAAAGATGTCCCATATTGTTGCTTCTGCTTAAATAGAATTTAAAGAAAAACCATCAAAGTGGTGAGTCATTTGTTTACTGAAGTTTATTAGTTTGGAGTATAAATAAATTATAAATTAATGTGATTTTATTGTTCACCTCAGAACTTTTAATAGCATGAAGGGTGGCTATAGGGCTATATGCAAAGTAGGGTAAGGAGGTGGGATTGGAATATCAGGGGAACATTGGATGAAAGAATGAAAAAGAGGGGACAAGATTTTATCTACTTGGCCAGTCTTCAGTTGTTAGTCTAGGTACAGCTTTACGAACTAGGATAAGACACAGGAAGAGGAATTCTGAGACCAGAAAACCTGGGTCAGGACATCCAGAGAAGAAAGCATCATGAGGCAGGTAGTCAAATCAAGAGCAGTGAACAGGAGAGACTTGTAGAAATATATCTCACTCACATATTACTTAGACAATAGTCATATGTTATTTTCAAAATATATCAGAAATTTCAAGTATAAAATATCCTTGATAGCTTGAACGCAGTGAAAGAATATTGGTAACTATCACTGTACTAAGCTATACATTTTTGTTTTGGTCGGTCATGGGACTTCAACTCAGGACCTGGGCACTGTCCCTGAGACTCTGTGCTTAAGACATAGCACTCTACCACTTGAGTCCCAGTGCCACTTTAGGCTTCTAAGTAGTTAACTGGAGAGGAATCTCATGGGGACTTTTCAGCTTGGGTTGGCTTTAAACCATGATCCTCAAATCTCAGCTTTCTGAGTAGTTAGGATTACAGGCATGAGCCAGTGATGCCTGGCTAGCTTTACATTTTTAAAAGTGCATTAGGCAAAATAACTCTCAAATGGTATTCCATCTTTGGAAGCAATAGAACTATTTTTCTATGATCAATATATTCAAATAAAGCAAGTTAAGATAATTATATGGAAAAAATAGAAATTCATTGGGGGTGCGCACTCATTCAGCAAAGATTTAATGTCTCAGGCTCTCTGCTTAAGGTAAAGATGTGGTTACGACTCAAGGAGCCAGACGCCATAAAAAACCACAAGGCCTTGTAAATGATCACAGTGTATGGTATGTGATCAGACAGGTGGGTGGCAGACAGGGACAGTGGTACCTGAGAGGGATTATATAGTGTGAGTAGAAATCAGAAAAGGGACTGGCAGAAGATGAAGTAATGTAGAATAGGTATTTCTGATAGAAAGAAGAAAATTATTATTAAAAGGCATATATGTATATATGTATATATATATATACTCCATATATATGGAATATTTAAGTAGTTTAAGAGGCTGGAATGCAAGTGTTTGGAAGGGGCTGGAGGATACTGAAGCTGGGAAGTTAGACTAAGGACGGAATCAAGGTGACAAAGGAGCTAGATTTTGTCCTGTAATGGAAAGTACCCAAGTTTTAAAGTTGTATTGAAGCTTGATTAGATATGAACATTTGAAAGCTACTGAGCCCGTATATGGGGAAACAAAGAAAAGTTCTGGGCCATGTATAATCTTATACCTACAACAAGCTCCCCATGGCTCTATTTGAAAAGTCATAATCACCAAAGAACAAGAGTCTCAATGTTGTACATACACGAAATATCAAGGATATAGATTATATGCTAGTTCCCAGTGGAAGGTGGGTGTATAATAAAACATTACTAACTACAAAAGGAGAAAGAAAAAAATACTTAATCACTACCTAGTGATTACTTTTGTTCATTTTAAAAATAATGTAATATTTTATAGAAGGCAAAAGAGAAAAGAATACAGGCTACCAGTGCTCAGGTCTTTGCTCCCACACACCAGTGCTGACAGTGACTCATGCCACTCACACACAAGTACCTCAGGATGAAGAAGGGCACACTGTTCAAAAAGCCAGAAGCCACTTCACAATAACTGTATAGGCATCCTGGTTCTTTAAGAACAAATGGTGTTCAATACCATTAGTCTCTGTAGATACCTGAGAACTGCTCAATTCCCAAATTTGATTTGGTTTAGAGAACCAGTGGGAAATATTAAGACAAATCTTTGAATTGGTAAAGAAAAAAGCAGTAGTGCTAGGAATAAAGAACAATGAAAAGTCATTTAAAGCTTTAACATGTAGTTTTTCAGTATCAATTGTGATTTTAAAAATATGTATATACTTTTCTGTTGCTATTTTAAGTAGTTGTACAAAGGGTTACAATCCCATAAGTCAGGTTATGAGTATAAGGCATCTTTATCAATGGTACCCCTTCCATCATTCTCTTCCTATCCCTATCCTCAAGTTACATAGCTCTATTTTTGCATAACGTACACAGAATATAATATAATGTCATTATATTCAATGTGTATATTCTACGACCTAACAATTAAATCCAGGAACTTATTCCATACTTATAAAATCTGTATAAATTCATAGAGATAATTGTTAACATACATATGTTTACTTCAAGATCCTTTCTAGTGACAAAATCAGAAATATCCACACTGCCCATCAGATGGAGACAAGTTAAATTATGTAGCATTCATACAGTGAGATTTGGAAAAACTAAAGTGCTGGAATATCTAATACCAGTAAGATACTGTCATGTGAAAAGTAAAAACAATATGAATAGCACAATTCAATTAAAAAAAACCATATATGTATATGTATATAGCAACTATAACATAGAAAGTTTAGGAGTACATTTATGGGTTTAACAACAGCTTCTTGTGGGGATTAGGGCATACAGGGGGAAGGAATAGGACATCTTTAGTTTCATGGTGTTTTCCCAAAGTTCACTATGTCAGAACCTTAATTTTTTAATATAGTAGTATTGGGATCTGGGCCTAGTAGGAGGTATCTGGGCCATAGAAACAGAACCCTCATGAATGGGATAACACCTTTGTCTCACTGTTAAGTTCTTGTTTTCATAGACTAGCATAGTTTTTAAGAACTGGTTGTTACAAAGAAATTATTCCCAAGATTTTCTTCTGCATATTCCTACTTGCCCTTCAATTTCCATTATGAACTGACGCACGAGAAGCTTTGAAAAGAAGGCAAGTAAATGTTGGAGCCATAGCCTTGGACTTCCTGGCTTCTAGAAATAAGAGTCAAATAATGTCCCTTTTTGCTGTCTCGTGTCAGGCACTCTGTTGTAGCACCAGAAAATGGACTAAGCCATTTTACATATCTTGATGTGTCACTTTTTAAAAATTAGTACAGTTCCATGGGATTTTTGTACAATCCCAATATGAGATTTTTTTTCATCAAATACCACTATACTTATTTGCACCTTGCTTATCTACAGTTTTTTATTTAATTTCTAAGCTCAGTGTAGATCAAAATCCCAAATAACTCTCCCTCTAATTTGACCCTTCTTATACATTTCCATTTTAAAGCTAATAATTTCTTGTAACGTTTAAAGAGGTAAAAAGTTACATTTTATAAAGTTTGATAACAAAGATTTTGGTTTGCTAACCTTCAAGGGAAAACCTCACTTAGCTGCCTGAGCAAAGATATCAGGATGTTAATATAATTCTTAGTTCTTCCATTTACTTGGGGATAGTAATGACATCACTCAACCTTCCTGCAATGGACAGGATGAAATGTTGCAAAAATTCTGATTTCCAAAACACATTTGGTACTAAGGATTTGGGACCTGTATTACTACTACTACTACTACTATTATTTGGTTGATTGTGGGGCTTGAATTCAGGGCCTGGGCTCTGTCCCTGAGCCTCTTTGTGGTTAAGGCTAGCTCTCTACCACTTGAGCCACAGTGCCAACTTCCAGTTTTTGAATGGCTAATTGGAGATAAGAATCCACAGGGACTTTTCTTCCTGGACAAGTTTAGAACCATGATCCTCAGATCTCAGCCTCATGGTAGCTAGGATTACATGAGTGAGCCACTGCTGCCTGGCCACCAGTATTGTTTCTGAAAAGTACTATAAGATAGCTTTGGGGGAACATAACTAACAAAACATTCAATTTTGTAGGAAATTGAGCATAGGGAAAATTTACCTATTAAAAGGTGACATATGAACTTTTAATATTCAGATTAAAATCAGATGGCTAATTAGCCCTTAGCAAATTAAATACATGACCTCTATTTTGCATTTACTCTAGTTACTTTCCCTCTAACACTTCTAACAAGGTGATCTTCTTCCCAGGCAAGGCTAATTCTTTCTATGCCCGATGCCTATTGAGGGCCTCACCGTGTAGATTAGCATGTTTCTTTCCATCAGCTCGAATCATTAATATTTAAACATGCTTCAGTCTCCATGATAGCTGTTTTCTCTGGCATCCAAAGTTATCATTCAGTAGCCACAATACCTTGTTCTTCTTTAAAGATTATGTACATCTTCCCATTCTTTTGCTTTCTCATACTTCAATGTAAGACGGCCTGGCTTCCTTCCTTTCCCTGCACTGAAATCACTAACTATCTCCAACAATACGCATAGACCTTTTTGTGACTGTCACTTGACCTCTGTGAAGCAGCATGCATTAGAATGCGAAGATAGGGTCTGTAACTCTACAGTTTCCTTGAATGTTCATGTTTACTCCCATGATGTCCATTATTCATGAACTGTCAGTTCTTAAATCTACGTATCTGCAGCCTCACTTTCTCTCTTGAATTTCAGGCATTATCTATGAAACTGCTTTCTTTTGGATGTCCCTTGAGTGACCAAATTTAGACTAACATTGGATTACTTCTGCTTACAAACTTGTCCATCTACTCCTAATTCATTCAGTGAACAGTGCCAGCATATAACCCATTGTTAAAAACTACTACCTCTCCTTCACAGTTTTTAATGTAATAGTCATCATATCCTGACAATTCATGTTCCTAAATGTCTCTAGTTAGTACCTACCACTACAATCAGCTGTTCATCAAACTCTTCACAGGGATTGTTGCCTATTCCATTAGTCCACTTTCACATATAACCAGACAAATATGATTATATCGCTCTCTATAGAAGCTCTCAATAAGTTATAAATGTCTTCAAAACAGAGTCCATATCCACTCACAGAACCTTGTATATTACAACTTTGCTCTTCAGGTTCCATATTCTATCAAATGATCAACAAATATATCTTGACTGCCGAATATGCTGGACATGTTCTGGGATATGACAATATGAGCAAGAAACCAGAAAACATATGGCCAAATCAACAAAATGTTCCAGATTCCAATGAGTACTGTAAAGATGAGGAAGAAGACATGCTATGCCAGCTAGGACACTAAAGGTGGCATTTTAATTAGTAATTAATTAATAGTTGATTCATTTTCTGGCACTTAGCATGGAACATAGGGCCTTGTCCATGTTAGGTAAGCAGTCTACTGCTGAGTTATAACTCTAGTTATCACACAAGTGATATTTTAATTGTGAATATATTTCTACTAATGTTATAGTTCTCAGATGAATTCTGTTTGGAAGTTTCCTTGTTGACTTGAGCTTTCCTGGTACACACAATACTCAGGGGCCAATGCTGACTACTTGTTTGATTTCCCCTCAGAACTCCAATGCTTGTCTCAGTGCTCACCATACTTGAGGTGCTTGGTTTGTATTTCCTAAATGACAGATTAAGTAGTTAGTATCATTATATACTTTTCCTGGTCTGAATAAAATATATCTCTTTTGAAAAAGTATGTTGATAGCCAGGAATAAAGTCCACAGTATTTCCATTAGTTTTCTTGTCAATATGAACAGTAAAGCATTTATGCTTTTAAAAAAATTACTAGGTAGATACACAGTATCTATCAGTATGTGGCACTGCTATTTTTTAATTCTCAGACTCTAAAAAAATGCAGTTTTTTAAAAATAGGAAAACTGTTTTGGATGCTGGGGATCCTAAGCCAAGGATCTTGTGCTTGTTAGCTTGTGAGCTCCTACTGAGCTCAATATCCAATCCTGGAAAATTTTTGCTAGGGAAAACCCAATTATTCTCCCATTGTGTTAAATAGGCAATGTCTCCTTGAAGTTAACTGGGTGATTAGTTTTCTTCTGAGGCATTTTTTTGTTCTTGTTTTTGTTTGAACTCACAGAAGGCAAGTTCTAATTTTATCCTTTTAAAATTCTAAAGTGAAGATTGCATGTAAGAATGAAAAGTATGATGTCATGTGCAAATGGACTGATTCTATCCTGGATCTTGCCCTAGTAATTATTGTTATACAAGGAAGCTTGTCAACTGCCCCAACGTGGCAGAATGATTCTTGTGAGATAACAACGTGGCTCCCCGGCACTGAGAAGTCTGCAAGTGGTGACACCTACGCACTATTTATATAAGATAGCCACATATCTTCCCCTAAGGTACTGAGAAGGGTTATAGTCAAGCAACTGCTGCACTGTCCCCTTACTTATTTTCCTGCAATGTTCCACTTAAAAAATTCTCCTAGTGTGAGCTTTGTAACTTGCAAGGTACCTGGAAAACCTCAAGAACGAAAGAGAATAAAAGTAAACAGGGGTGAATGACAAGTCATTTCTCAGTTTCCGAATACTTACCAGCTTTTTTTTTTTTTTTCGGGTCTAGTCGTGGGGCCTGAACTCTGGGCCTGGGCGCTGTCCCTCAGCTCTTCAGCTCAAGGCTAGCGCTCTACCACTTGAGCCACAGCGCCACCTCCGGCTTTTTTCTTTTTGCTTATGTGGTGCTGAGGAATCGAACCCAGGGCCTCATGCATGCAAGGCAAGCGCTCTACCACTGAGCTACCTTCCCAGCCCTACTTACCAGCTTTTTAAGTGTATAAGTATGTGCTGGTAGTAAGACTTGAACATAGAGTGTGGGTGCTTTCCCTTAGCTTTCTTTGCTCAAGGCTAGTACTCTACCACTTGAGCCACTGCTCCACTTCTAGCTTTTGTGTGATTAACTGGAGATACGAATTTTATGGACTTTTCCAACCTGGGCAGGCTTTCAACCAGGATCCGATGATTTCGACCTCCAGAGTAGCTCAGATTACAGGCATGGACCACTGGTGCCAGGCAACTTCTTACTTTTTAATGATGTCCCCAAATCTTAGTGAATACTGGATGTTTCAAAATCTGACACCTGTATTTATGTTTAATTTCAGCCTGCTAGACTCACATAGCATCATGTCCAACTCTGCTTCATTAGTTAGATAGCTGTAGCCAAAATTTCTCATTATGGCTGAATAGGGATGAGATGTGTTTATACATTCTCCCTTATTTCATATGAAGGTAATATGGATGTCTTCTTAACTAGAGTTATTCTATTTTCTTTTGTTAGTTCTTCATTCTGCATCTAGTTTACTGAACCTTGATGAAGTATTTCACATCCTATGCCCTTCTCAAAAATAATATTTCATTGCTTTGCTTGAATAATATAAATTTCACAGAATTGATATATATGACATCTGTGGACAGGCTTAGAAAAAAAGAAAACATTGTTTAGGATTTAATAGAAAGAGGTAATTGTCATAAAACCTGAATAGCAATAAGTAACACCAAGAAAGTTAGATACATTAAAGAAAAAATTTAAATATAACTTACCCTTAACTCTTCCTTTGTGTTGAAACTATCAAGAAGTTGTTGATAATGCCTATCTGTCATTTGTCTTAGTAGGGACAAAAGACAGGCAACAAATTCCCCCTAATGAAAAAAAAATCATACATTAAAGGAAGGCCATAAAAGAACATCAGTAACTTACTCTGAGCTTCCCTTAAAGAGAATAATTTAAAAAATAATTATGGTCCAATTTCACCTAGGAAGTCCTCTTAATTAAAATTATTTATATCATATCCAAAATTTTCTTCATGGTGACTACTACTATTCATTTGGCATATATTCACTTTTACTATTTATGGTAGAAGCTTTCCTCTTTGGAATTAACTCCATTTATTTAAGAAGGTAAGGTTCTGAGATCCATGACCACTTACTCTGTGTTTAAAATGCTTCCATTTCTTTTATCATTTGAGCCTCATGTCAGTGCTCTGTGGTAGAGAATATATTACTTATAATGACCTACAAAGCTCAAGCCTTCAAAGTTAAAAAGAAAAATATGTATATCACACTTAGATTTGATAAATAGAACTGCTATAACTTGCATATTCTAATCCACTAACTAAAAACTTTTTCCTTTTCAATGCAAACATGTTTTGCTCAGCAAAGAATTTTATCTATTTTTAAGTAGAACAGTAACATTTTAAACAATACAAACACAACAGGCCAAGCAATTAGTGGTAACTAACCATATGTATACAGAAGGGAGATTTAATTGTGGAAATTGATTTGAGTTTATGTGGAAACTGTAGGATCACATGTAAAACCACAGTCTAGATGCCCTGAGATTTGAGTTTATGTGGAAACTGTAGGATCCCATGTAAAACCACAGTCTAGATGCCCTGAGAAGGAGGAGTTTCCAACATAGGGATCAGCTTAGTCAAACATGTCTCTAAATGCTCACATAGGAAGCCTGAGACCATTAGGACATATTAGGTGAGCCAGAGATTCAGGTCTTTTGCACGTGGGTAGTTATTTCCAACACAGAGACAGGACAAATTCTTGCTTTTCTACGTTAATTAAGCTTAAAAAAATTCAAGGAACTAAGAATAAATGAGTAGAAGTATCTTCTAAGTTTAACATACTTGTTAATTACAAAGGACTCCTTGAGAATTCACAGGAGATAAGAAAAGTTAGAGAAAAATATACTGACACTTTGATGCATGTGTGCAAAAGCAACCCAAGTATAGGAAAATAACTGTGTAAAAGGACTATGGGAGTAACCATAAGCGTTCACACAAGACTGGGAAGGGAGTAATTAGACTACAATGTATGTGAGGAGACTTCATATTGAAGATGAAACTTTACTGGGCCAGTGCAGAAGAAATTATTAAAGACAGAGGAGAACAATGCATAAAGAGAAAAAAAACAAAAATCGATGAATTATAGAAAAGTTGAAGCTAACAGTATATATATTTATTTTTTCCCCAAACTTCAAATTCTTTGAAAACTATAAGCTTACGTGTCAACAAACAGGCAAACAACCCCAAACCATCTGTAGACTTCACACATAAGAAACAAGAAAATCATAGTAAAGTACATGAAACTTTAATTGCTGAAGCAAGTAAACTGGGAGAAATCTTAACACTAGTCAGAGAATAAAGACATCATATATAAAGGAAGAATGGTAAGGCTGGCCTGGAACAACCCATAGAGCATGGAAAGGCAAAGGGAGCAATTTTGGCAATAAGAAAAAAATTCAACAGTGAATAGAATTACTTAGGTCTTTACGGTCAGTGTACAGAAGTGAACACTTGTTTGAGTGCAGGTTATTTGTTATATTGGGCTGACTGCAAATAATTTAATACTCTCACAGACAGGGTTTGACATATTTATGTTATATTGCCAATCCCAACATTTACAACATAATTCACTTTTCTTGGTTGTTGTTGGTCCTGGGGCATGCACCCACATGTGTGCATGTGTATTTGTGTGTGTGTGTGTGTGTGTGTGTCAGTACTAGGGCTTGAACTTAGGGCTTTGGCACTATCCCAGAGATCCTTTTTCTGAAGGCTAGAACTCTACCACTTGAGCCACAGCACCACTTCCAGCTTTTTTCTTGTGTGTGAGATTAACTGGAGATAAAAGTCTCCAGAGATGTCTTTGAACCACAATCCTCATATCTGAGACTCCTAAGTAGCTAAGATTATAGGTGTGAGCCACCAGTGCCCAGCTACAATTCAATTTTATGTACTCTCTTATTGTCCTTGAGTAAGAATACTCTTGTAGTATCCAATCTTGTCAAAAGAATTTGATGTTTATTATTTTACCAATTTATTTCCCAGCAATAATGTTATTTCCTTCATTTTTAAGATATGTTAAGAACACAAATATAGGTAGATCTTAGAGTCACAATTTGTTTAAAAAAATAAGACAAAAAATATACTGGCCAAGATCCACTTAATTTTACTATATGAATTTCTTAACAAGATGTCCTTAAAACACTCGTATTCAGGCCAGGAGCCAGTGGCTTATGCCTATAATCCTAACTATTCAGGAGGCTGAGACCTGAGGATTGTGGTTCAAAGGAAGCTGAGACAGGAAAGTCAGTGAAACTCTTATCTCCAATTAACCAGCAAAAGCTAAAAGTGGAGCTGTGCTCAAGTGGTAGAACACTAGCCTTGAGCACAAAAATTAAAGGACTGTTCCCAGGTCCTGAGTTCAAGCCCCAGTGCCAGCACACATAAATATACACACACACAACCCCCTCCCCACAATTCTAGTGTTTAGTAGCTTACATCTGATATATCTTTACATCTATTTATCTGTCTATATATTTATCTATCTATTTATGTATTGCATATAAGTAGGCATTTCTACTAGTAACTTTCAGAGTATTAGATGACTATTCAAATAGTCTTCAAGAAACCATCCATTATACATACACATGATTTTTCCAGATGCTTCTAGGTAAGTGCTCTACCACTTGAGCCATGTCCAAGTCTAGATTCTTTCCAATTTTTTTTTTCAGAATTATCATGCACCATTTTTGCTCTCCTAACCACAAGCCCACAGCAAATGCAGACTTTAGATAAGCATGCCAAGCTATCAGGGTCTTAGACAAGGCCCTAGCTGAGCTGAATCACTGTTAAGTGGTGCTTAAAAGAATTATGTGAAAGGAAGTATTTATAAATTGTAAGGAACTCTGGAGACCAATTACTTGAGGGCGTGAGGCAAATGGCCATTTATACTGCTTTATAAAATGTGCTTCTAGGAACAATTGGATTTGTGAAAGGAACCAATTACAATAGCGTCCCCACCCCTTTCCAGCCAATGAGAGCATTTTAAAGTTTAAAGACAAGTTGGTAGAAGAAGAAAAATAAAATAAAATTCTCCTAAGTAGTCAAAATAAAGCTACTGTTATCTAGAATTACAATGTAGTAGAAGCCAGTCCTCATGCTGGGGTTGCTGGGAGGTAGGCTAACAACTTGGCACTTGCAAAGCACTGGAAAAATCCATCATGACATGCTTGTGGGAAATGTGTCTATTCACACTGTGTCCATTTAGCATGAGCAGATTTTGATATAAGTGCTTGCAGAGACTGAAAGGTGCTTAATGTAGAATTCCATATAAAGACTCCTTGTTTGGGAAGTCTTTTCTCTGTGGGAAAATGCTGAAGATATTAGTAAATCTGTAGACCCAAAGAGGAGTGACTCTCATGACAGAATTAGTTATAACTATAACAATCACTTCTGTAACACATACAACATTCATGTCACTGCTATTGCTAAAACACTAATAGCTAAAGCTCTTTACAATTTTACCAAATTGGTGAAATTCTTATATTAACTTTGAAATAAAGATGATTATTTTCTCTGTTTTAAAAATAAACAGAAAGCCGGGAGCCAGTGGCTCATGCCTATCATCTTAGATACTCAGTAGACTGAGATCTGAGGATCTCAGTTTGAAACCAGCCCAGCTAGGAAAGTCTGTGAGACTCATTTCTAATTAATTAACAAAAAGCCTAAAGTAGAATTTTGGCTCAGGAGGTAGAGCACTAGCCTTAGCAAAAGAGCTTAGGGTTAGTATCCAGGCTCTGAGTTGAAGGCCCAGAATTGGCACAGAAACAAAGAAACAAGCAGGCTTACAGATAGTAAATTAATCAACATCCTATTGTCAGTGGAACAGCAAAGAATGAAGCCAGAATACTCTCAAAAAATGTCTTAAAAAGGTCCTAAAATTATGGATGTGCTTTCTAGAAAATTTCATCCCATGTGTGTTCAAGAGTTTGGCTTTATTCTCAGTATATGGTCTTTCTAAAATTTGTACATATGTGGTCATCCTGTCTTCCCTGTGCCCTACCTAAAACACAAACCTAATCACTTCTTCAAATCTCTCAGTTTGCCTTGTATACACTGTTATGACCTTAAGAACGCTATACCCCAAATGATGCAGTGCGTCATAGCCCTATATAGCTACATGGCAATATAAAGCAGTCTAGAAAGAGTACTTTAACTTTTAACCCATCTACCATTTGCTATGATTTTGTTTGCTGTGTTATTACAACTTCAGATGTATATAAGAGGTTGAGTTCCATGAAACAGTTTGAATGTTAATATCAGAATCAAGGAGAGTTCCTTCCCTATTCTTCTTACTAAACAATTAAATACCTGGATACTGTATATAAAACTTATGACTACACATATAAGAGATGGACCAGGAAACTAGGAGCCTAAAGAAGGACATGGTATTAAGCTGGGCTGCCTTTTATATCCTAGACTTAAGCCTATAAATGCAGGCAACCCCACTATGTCAGCAGTTGATGGGGGAGGAAGAGGAAATCCTGATTAAAGCCTGCTCTGTAACCAGAGAACTAGGGAAGGGGTACTCTCATAAGCCAATGGTTTGGATAATAACTGCTTTCCTCTATCTGAATACCACAAAAAATGTTGACTTTATTACTCATGTTATCACCTGAATAGGACAACTGGTAGCCTCTAGTCCAGCGTGTATACATATATATGTATATATACACATATATTTCTATCTAAATTTCATATGAACCATGTTATATTAGATTAGTAAGACAATGGAGCTTGAATGCCCCATATCTGAGCAAACTGAAGAGCAATAAAGTTAAAATTCATTTGTCATGATTTAAAAAAATCCAGAATTAGAACTCAGGGCTCCTGATGACCAATGGTCTTTTTCACTATTCTTGGCTCCTCAGGCAACTTGATGGATGAAAAGAGGATGCAGAGTGTTACCAAGGTGACTGAGGTTTAAAAAAAAAAACATAGATAGTTTAAATAGCGCAAAGTTAGAGCTAATATCTGAAATTAGAAACTGCTTATTAGAAGATGTTTTAATAAACTTTGTTTTCTTGGTGAGGGTAGTCTCACCTAAGTTGGAAATGCTTACAGGTTTCTCTCCTAGAACCAAGTTCCTCAGACTTTTGCAGCAGTGCCCCCTCATAGTGAGGGAACTATAAGAAGCACCACTTGTGGGAAGGTCTTACAGTAACGTCCTGGAACTGCAGCCGCATGGTGGAGCTGGAAGGCTGTGGTCGACTGGTGATCTCCAAGATAGTCCTCAGCAGGATGTCCAGCAGGCTGGCCACGATCACATCTATTTCTTCTAACACAGACTTTTCCTAAGAGGGGGTGGGGGTGGAAGAACAATGCATTCAGGAAAGGCTCCTTTAGTATAAAATGGGAGAAAATCAACTTTCAAATATAGAATCAAGGTTGGGAAGGTGGCTCAGTGGTAGAGCGCTTGTCTTACATGCATGAAGCCTTAGGTTTGATTCCTCAGCACCACATAAACAGAAAAAGCTGGAAGTGGCGCTGTGGCTCAAGTGGTAGAGCACTAGCCTTGAGCTCAAGAGCCAAGGGACAGTGCCCAGGCCCAGAGTTCAGGCCTTACAGTGACAAAACAAACAAACAAACAAAAAAACAAGATAGAATCAAAGGCTCAGGGAACTCAACAGTGAGGAATCTGAGCTTCAGTAAGTGAATGGTTTTGGACAAATTTGCTCCTGGGTCTCTTTCTTCACTGAAGTCTTTGGTTCTGAGAAGTATGTAAGTCTTCAGTGCCCAACTGTGCTTCCATGAACAAATCTCAGCTCTGGGGAGTTGCACACATTTCCTTAGACTAGCTTATACAGAGGACTATTCCTACAGAAGTGCTTTAAAAACAACCCTATATGTCAATAAATACTAGGAAGCAGCATCTAGTCTAGATGAACATCTTTGGCTACCAAGGCCTAGGGTGAGTAGCCATGGCAGAGACTAAGAGTTGACAAAAGAAGGAGAATTGTTCTGTGTTGACTTCTAGCTAGTGAATTTGGGTTCTCGGTTTATCTATAAGACAAAACTTGTGTATAAAGGCCTTCTACCACAGAGACAGCTTTCTGCAAGGAATATTTTTAGAAAGTGTAAATTTGAACAAGGCTTTTGGCCATAATTTTATGATAAAGTTTCTTACACTTATAAGAAAACCGGCAAGGTTTTCCTTCAGGGAAATGGATTCTATTCTGAATTCCTTATCAGCTTAGACTAAAAACAGATTTAAAACTTCCGAATTGAAATGGACAAAGAGAAATAAAAAGAAATTACCTCTATGTCTGTTACTTGTTTTAGGTTTGGAGTTGTGTGTACTAGTTAGCTTACATTTCTTTTCCCACAACAATAATTTGGAAAATACACCTAACCAGGTATGGCTTAGCAATTCTTTGTTCAATCAGAGTGGGAAGCCTGTCTCCCCACTGTCATTGTGCTATGTGGTTCCAGACCACCAGGGGCCTGAATCATGGGGTGGGTACTCAAGGCTTAATACTTGTTAGGCAAGTGCTCTACTGCTAAGCAACACCCTTAAACTTACTATATGTATAGATGCAGTTTCTAGCCTTTTCTCCTCAAAGACCAACTCTGTTACCATACTACTTGGACCTCTCTCTACCAGCTCTCATGGGATCATATATTGACTGCTCTTCAGAAGCTGATCATAACACTGATAAACATGGGAAAAACCTAAGCATACAGGTAAAAGGAAGAAGAGAAATCAGGAAGCCCAGAGCCCACTGCCAAACTCCACTTTGTATAACGTGTTACTGATAAGTACAATGCTTAATTAGCAGCTGCAGATCCACAAAACTGGAACAGGACATCTCTCCTATATGGATTTCATGTCAGACCCTTGAGCCATGATCATGAGGATCCTGGCTGTCCTGTTTCTGGACAAGCACGCAACCTGTTGTTTCATTTTTCATTACACTTGAGCACACTTGTATTGTATATCCAGGGCTCAGCACAGGAATCCCCAGAGCTATCACAATTTAGAGATCACTTCAGGGGCTAAGTTCTGAATGTGTTACAAGATAGCCCTTGTCTCCTGAGGCTGTCCTTTGTATCTGCTAGTGTGATAGGAGCATGCCTGAGGGCCACAACCACTTTCTATGCATGGTCATGCAGAACACAGTTTCACAGATTGAGTCCCTGTGATCTCACATTTGTAAGTCATCATTGTCTTTTTGCCATGTACCATATGAAGATGAAACAAAGACACAGTATAGAAGGCTTTCAGATTTCCTTCTTTTTTCTTCTCAAATACCTATTTAGTTCTTGCTTGAAATACAAGCTGAGGAAACCCAGGTTATTGAGAGCTACAACAAACAAAACAAAAACAAACAAACAAAAAAACCCCTCTAAGTCCTTCCAAGAAAAAGCAGAAAGTTCAGCCTAGCTGTAAATAAAAGTCTCTGAAGGCTCCTCTTTTCTCTGCCTTCTTTGAAGACATTTAGAATTTTATTTACAGAAGCCATGGGATGAGAAGCGCATACTATGACCTGCTTGTACTTACTGAGCTATTTTTCTTGATGAGACAAAATACGTTGCTAAGGATACGTGCACACATGATCAGGTCCTTCTGTTCTTGCAAGTGGATGTGGAGGTGATGTAACACGACAGGCAGGAGGATGTACCGGGAATCTGCAGAGAAAAGAATCATTAATGTCACATCTGTTATGGTCCCACGCAACTCTTGGGTGAATCCTTATCTACTTTTAAATTCAGCTTTAATTGTCCAATTATTAACACTTGTAGTTACAGAAGCCCTAGCTCTACTTGGTTTATATTAAAATCAGTGTTCCTTTCTCTGGTGCATCATTCCTGTGCCCCAGAGGCTTCCGGCTTGTAGTAGAAATAGGTGTTATTTTTTTTTTTTTCTTTTCCTCTCAAGTGTTTGTTTTGCTTCTCAGTTTCCATACAGAATGCTTCTTCTGCTCTTTCCTGAATTGTCACAGAGGTAGGCCATGTATGACTTCTTACTAAAGTACACAAAGACTTAGATTTTGCACCCTGTTCTCATCTCCCCAAATTCTTTCTTGTTTTACCTTTCTCTCTCTTAGCTCTTAGGAAATTATCTTTATCCTTGGTAATCCAGCATTCCTACTAAGTGGACCCATTGGTCTGTAAATCCATATTCTCCAAGTAGGAAATTTGATTAATTTCTAGAATGGCTTTCTTCCTTCTGTGTTCTTGGTCTATAGGAGACTTCAAATACATTGACATTATGATCACTTCAGCTATATCCCCAATATAAGAAATTGTTATTGTATCTTCTACATTTTCAGCTCAATCAACTTATTTATGCTACCATATATTTAATTTCTGAGAGCTTTCTTATTCTCAGGTCCAGTATCATGGGTGTAGAGCCTGTGCAGCCACACAGGTCCTTAGACTCAGAAGGGGGCTATACTTGGTTGAATGCTCTACTGCTGCCATTTTGAAATTCTTAATTTTTTTTTAACAGCAAGACCTGAATTTTTTTTTTTTTTGGTTGGTCGTGAGGCTTGAACTCTGGGCCTGGGCACTGTCCCTCAGCTTTTCAGCTCAAGGCAAATGTTCTACCACTTGAGCCACAGCGCCACTTGCGGCTTTTTTCTTTTTGCTTATGTGGTGCTGAGGAATCGAACCCAGGACCTCAGGCATGCAAGGCAAGTGCTCTAACACTGAGCCACCTTCCCAGCCCCATATTTTTTGACCTTCTTTCTTTGCTTCCTTTTATCTTTTACTCTTTCCCATTCTTGTTTCATAGATGCACTATTTTCTTTCTGTGGGGATATCAGAAACAATATTGGAGGTAATTTGAATTCACTGGATTATCTTTCAAGCTATTCTTGTTATTTTAATACCTTATTGTGACCTCTGCCTTTGGCATTAAGACTTTTTCTATCAGTGTCTAGTGGCCTTTCATAGTCCATTCATTTTTGCAAGTGAAGAACTAGAAAGAGGGTACCTCAAACAATAAAGCCCAGGAGTTAGGCTTCTGGTCTCATATTTCTTTTAGTGCCTGTTACTAGGCTACCAATACAGGAGGTCTGGGCTTAGTTTTTCAAAAATCCTAATGAAATAAGACACAAGGGAGGAAAAAAACCCAAATACAATAAAATCCAGATTTGTAAAATGATTTATTGCAGGCCCTTTTTTTAAAAGTAGCAATCCTCACCAGGAACTCTACTTATTTACAAAGCATTTGCTTGACAAAAAGAGCTAGGAAAAAGAAAATGGAAGATGAAGTGCCAGGAATCACTATCTGGAGAGTTTTAACTAGAAGAGAGGATGAAGCTTCCCTGGCATGTCCCAACAGCTAGTGTGATGTGCTTCTTAAAGATTCAATTTGCAACCAAATATTCAGAAAATATCTACTCCCCCACCACCCAAAAGTAAAACTGGTAAATAATTTGTATATGGTGTATTAAAATAAAAAGACTGGCAATAAGCCAGTGGGTAATGCCAAGCAAGTTCACCAGATGAAATGTTAATTCTTACCTTTAAGAGGCAACATGACCCATCAAACAGAATCCCTTCAAACAAACTAACAAACAAAAGTCAGATGGCCTTGCAGAAATTCAAATCTTCTATACATTTAACTATACAAAGTGTCATATAAACGTTGCCTTAAGATACACACTCATATTCCATGTCTTAGATAAAGTTTACTACGTGCTTTTGTGGTTCTACAGAGCAGTGAGCCACTTACTTCTGTTTTGTTTGTAAACAGTGGAGTGGATAAAGCCAGTTCCTTTAGGAACGTTCTAGGGCATGGGACTAGGAAGTGGGAGAGCAGCTAAGAACCACTGGAAGTCTCCCTTTCTTTTGACAAAAGTTCATCTTTGCCTCCTCTGTAAACCAGCTTAGACAAGGATCCTTGATACAGTATCTGTCCAGAGAGGTAAGCTACATACAGTATAAAAACCTGCCATCAAGCCCAAGAGTTGGTGGCTCATGCCTATAATCCTATCTACTCAGGAGGCTGAGATCTGAGGATCGTGGTCAAAGCTAGCCCAGGCAGGAAAGGCTATGAGACTATCTCTAATAAACCACTCAGAAAACAAGAAGTGGCCTGTGGCTCAAGTGGTAGAGCCTAGCCTTGAGATGAAAAGCCGAGGGACTACTCCCAGGCCCCATGACCGACAAAAAACAAAACAAAACAAAACAAACTAAAAAAAAAACCCTGCCACCAGACCTTCCAGGTACCAGAGTACAAACAGCACATGCTGTCTTGGGGGGAAAGTACCCCAGATCATACATCAATCTCACAAAAGAGCAATACACAGGCTTGCAGATCTCACTTAGTGTTTTGAATCCCACCATGGATGCATAATGGATACTATATGCACTTCTTACTTCTGCTAATCATGTCCTCTCCTGGCTTGCGACTTCCACAGTTCTGTGGCCATACTCATTTATGCCTGTACTTAGGTAGAATCTACCAATAAGATGTTCTTTTCTGTCTTTCTTTGTAAACTTTCCTCCATTTCTTCAGTAGCTTCTGTTGCTATATCCAGATCTCTAGCTAGCCCATGAACCAGTGCAAAACATCTACTCATGAAACACTTGCTAAGAACTGACTGTCTACAGGCTGCTACACAAGTGGGAGATAAATAAATAAAGCACCTGTACTCTGGAGCTTTCCTTGTGGAGAGGGAGGGGGAATACAGTCAACTCTGAGAGTGATAATGGGCTGGGCAGGGAATACAGATTTTTTTTTTTTTTGAGAGAATGAGAGAGTTAAACTGTCCTGAAGGGCACATGTAGATTAACTAGACTCCAAGAGCACATGTAGATTAACTAGACTCCGGGAGTTGAAGAAAGTAGACTTCAGATGAAGGAAAGCAATGAGATAGGAGGAGGCAGCTGAACAGGACCAGTCACAGGCCTGGATGATCAATTCTGAAACCTAATCTCTAAAACACAGGGATGTGAAAAAGTGAGCAGTGACATCTCCTGGAGGATTTCTAAAGGGCACTCTGGAGTATACATGGAGGATGAAAGGAAAGAGCCAATGGACAGCAAGGGCAGAAAGGACTGAGCGGCTCAGGCCAGGGCCCTCGGTGAGGAGATGGGGTCAGATGTAAGTGGTAGAAGAACACAAGCAGCCTGGGTGACAGGTGGAACCGGAGGGCAAAAGGAAGTATCAAGAATGACTTGGAGGTTTCTAGGTGGGTGGTGCTGCCACCTAGAGATGGAAAAGAGTAAGCTTAGAGTGTAAAACAGGACCAATATGGATCAAAATGCATTGATTTATAAATTGGTTTGTTGAGTGTACAACTATTTAAAGATACTAAAAATATATTAAAAAGACATGCTGAGCTCAAGAAGCCAGTGAGATGGTTGCAGAAGGATGCTTAGAGGAGCGCTAGATAGTGGTTTGGTGCTCAGAGGGTAAGATTTAGTCTAGGAATCAATACCTGAGGGTTGTGTCAGTATACAGACCCCTAAGATTAAGAGGGTGGGGTTAACTCCAGGACTAACCCAGAGCTACCTCCTTGCTACACGGGCCCCAACACGTATCCTTCATCATATCTGCTAACATACCTTATAATTACTGTTCAACATCTGCTATACTGTTACATTGTAGGTAGACCAAGAGCAGAGATTGTTTACTTAATTTGTAGCAATGTTTCCGGTGTTCTCATATAATAATGCGGTGGAGGATTCTGGTCATAATAAGAACTTAATACAGGAGCTTCATCATGGGTGCTGGTGGTATCAGGACAGCTGAAAGAGCCTGGCATTTGTTGTCCTTGACCATAGCTTAAGTAGGATGGGAATGGGAGGCGCCTGATCGCAGCCCAGTTTATGACTCCATCTGCTCTGCTCACTCTGAGCACGAGGAAGCGGCTATTCTTGTCACCACTGCAGTCACAGCAGCTGCTGGTGGAGCACATCCGGTCCCCATTCTCCATCCCTTGAAAGTCCGTGCAAATGTGGATGAGTAATGTTTGAGAAATGAAAAGACACAGGTTGACTTTCTCCCTGGTAACATTCTGGCAACTACCAATCAGTATTGTGAAGTTCAGAGACATGGCAAGAGAGCAAGGAGGAAAGACCACTAGGGAAACCCAACATATTTGACTGACCTTCCATCTCTACAGCACAGGACTAATGATGACTGGTTGGACACACAGTTTGTCTCATACCATTGTCTTGTGTTCAGGGAGAGATGTTGCTTAGCACTCTTAAAAGTTTATCTTTGTCACATCTGGACAAAAATATAGCATTGATTTCTCAAAGATACACTTTTGTTGGGTGAAGATGAAAACACTTGTGATTCCAGCACTGGGCTGAGGATCTGATGTGGAGTCCAGCTTGTGTTACATAGCAAGATCCAGTAACAAAAACAAAACAGAACAAGACAATAACAACAACCACCCAAACTCCCCTTGGCTCATTCACAAAAAGAATTTCCACTTAAGTTAATTATAGCTAGTATGTTTTATTTTCTTTACTCATTTATTTTTTGTGCCAGTACTACAACTTGAAGTCAGGGCCTCGCACCCTCATTGCTTTGTCATTCAAGGTTGGTACTCTACCACTTGAGCCACAGCTACACTTCTGGCTTTTTATTGCTTAATTTGCACATAAATCTCAAAGACTCCAATCAGGCTGGATCTCAGCCTTCTGAGTAGCTTGAGTCACCAGTG